CCCCCCCCCCTCCCCCTGAGAAATTCTAAAGAAAGCCCACGCATCTCAAGGGTCGCACAGAAATTGTAACACATTTTGCCGTTTGTGTGAGTGAAAATTTACTTACCCTCGCAACAGACAGCCCTGTCTACATGTAAAGCAATATGTTTTTTCACGCACGTTTTCTACACAGAAAGCGCAGCGCCGCTTTGAACGGTCGTCAGATGGGGTGCTCAATACTCATCGCTGATCAAAAATTTAAATCTCCCTCCTTTTTTTACCCTTCTATTGACCGCTGTTTTACTACGTTATTCAAATAAATGAATACGGTCTTGGCGGGTAGAGTTTCCTTGAAATAGATTGGTTTAACTTCAAAGACCTCCTACTCATTGGACGCAAAGAGGAAAAAATATATATTCGTTTGCGCTTTTTCCCAGTTTTCGTGAAATCGTTCGAATAATGTTGAAGATTCAGTGAAGCAGTATTTTGACTGCTAGGTCTTATCGCGTTATCAGCTGTTCGACTGTAAATTCAAATTTTGTTATGGCAGTATTTTTGATTAATATTTGCAAATTCAATGATTGCGGACTGATTTTTGAACGTCTAGCTGATCTCATTCAACATATTGAAGACTGTCATATCGGTAAAACCTTTTTTCAGTAACAATTTTGCCAAATTTCCGAGATATTACCTTTACCTTGACCTTACCTTCATTGCTGGGGTAGCATTTGAGGTTAAGTGATTACAGCCCAAGATTTGCAGAGGAATCTTCTTTTTAGATCGCCCCTCGGTTCTTCACATGCATTTCTGTAGATAAGATAGGAAAGGAGCACCAAAGCAATTCAGCTCTTCCATTTCTTCCATTCAATTATATCTGTCTTTAAGTGGAATCCTTGGGTATGCCTATCCTGTCCTGTGTGTAAGGGTTCTCTGCAAGTCAAAATCTCTCACCTCAGTAAAAAGTTCTGGTGCTGAGATAAAAACCCCACCCTGGAAATTTTTCGAAGACAGGTGTGGTAAAATTGCCTAAATAGCAAGGACTGCTGAGGGATATAAAGCTTGACATTACTAATTTTTGTCTTTAACTACATTCCAATCCCTGTTACTGAACTGCTGGGATTAATCCAGCTTCAACATCAGATGAAATTAGGAGTTTTACAAATGTATCCCAAAAATTCAACTAAAAACTGACCTCTTAGATGGATAGCTAAAGATAGATAGATTTTCATTTAGAAAAATAAATCAACAAATGAATAACTATATCTATTGAAATAAAAAATAAAAAATAAATTATTGATCCCAAATTTGGTAGAAAGACAGAGAATGTAGAAGTCCCTGATGTAAAAAAGATCAATCAGAACAATTGGTGTATTCATTTTGAAAGCTTGTCATTTCTTTTGCAGAATATTGGAGATAGAAATATGATCATAGTTTCTGCATAAAAAGAAGAAAAAAAAAATCTACTATTTAATCTTAGAAAAATTAAAATTAAGAATGTTTAGTATTACTATGCAGAGCAAACATAATTGATTGTCACCTTCTCATAAGCTCTATTTTACAAGGTTACAGTAGATACCACTTTTAATTCCGATTTTTGGACCATTTTTCCTTTTGGATCACTCGATTTTTACAAGATTTTAGTTTGACCAACGAGTCAGTTGACATTAACTTCTGGAAGAGTTAAATGGGGAGGGGAGGGGGGATACAACCCTTCCTGTGTTCATCAGTGTCCTGTTCTACTCATTGTCTATCTCATTTTTCAAAGCAGCTCCTTTAAAATCTCAATCCCCATGATGTCTCTAGGGTTCTTAAGTCCAAGCCTTAGCGAGCCAAAAATTACTAATTGAGGGATTTAGAGAACAATGCGCAAAGTGCAGTTTTAGAGAAAATTGAATTATCAATGATTTCCAGTAAAACTAATATTAATGCATATTTTGTAAACATATCACTCCCAAATACCAATTTTTAAGCATCAAAAAGTCAGTTTTAACTTTCTTTCCGTTGTAGGAATCCATGTGATATCAAAATTTCAAATACATATTTCTCAAAATAGCAAAAACTACACTTAAGCGCCTTGTCCTCCAAACCTCTCAATCATTTGCAAACATGATGAAAAAAACAAAAACAAGTCCGATGAATTTTTCATTCCATGAATGTCTTATTATTCTAACTTAATTTTTCGTTCAGATTTTTCCCCAACTTAAATGTAGTTTATTTCTTTCAGACTCAGATCCAAAAAAGATAGAGGAAAAGGAACACCAAAAGCCTACTTGCCTTCCGTTAAGTTATGTTTTGCGATTTTACTTTGATGGTAGCAGAAAGGAGAATGTCAACATTAAACCCAAGACCAAACCAATATCAACCTCAAATGTTCCTATAATCCAAAACTCCCGTTACGTTTTACCTAGAGGTCAGTGTATGAATTTTGAGAATCCTCCTTTCCCTTGAAACTTTGATCCCTGTGCGCTTTGTGCTATCTGGTGTATCTTACAAAGTAGGTTTCTTCTTGAGAAACATACATAAACAATAAAAATGAACAAGTATGGGTACTAAAATAAGGTCACACCTCAAAATTTTCGGTTGCATTTTGTACGTCAGACTGCATCAGCCATGACAGTATACTACCTACTATGGAAGGACACCATATGAGCTTACAGAAGTTGCCAAATTTCCTTTGACAAATCAAAAATTTTCTGGAAAATTGATACTTAAATATTTGTCTACAGATTTCTCAGAGAATTTTCAGTAATTTGATCAAAGATATCTGAAAATTTCCAGGAAAAATATTCATAACTTTCTTCACAAATAAATATATTCTGAGAGGAAATTTAGCAACATTAAAATGCTCAGTTTTTTTCCTTAGCACAGGAGCATACAGACATGCATTAATGTGATGATTGATAGCAGCCTCAAAATTTTTTTTGTCTGTACATTTTTTGGGGCCCATTATTTCCTTACCAGAAGGCACCCCTGGAAGAGGGGGTTATAAATACAATTTTGGACACAGCAAAATGTGTAAAAAACTTGATGATCAAAAATGTATAGACCAGAGATGGAAAACTAGCCTAGTAATGATGTGGTACAACTATTTTTCAGGTGGACGTAGTTTATTAAAAATATTTACAGATGAACAAATACTTATGGTGAATTTCATGGAAACTGATCGATGGAGAATCAAGATGACTATATGTCCTTGAACCAATGATAACTTACGGAGAAATTACAACTAGACAATGATAAATACAAAAGTTTTAGGATGGGAACAAGAAAAATACCTGCTTCTTCAAAGAAGTAGTGATACTCAAGATTTCCTAAACTTACAAATTTAAAAATATGCTGATTCATAATAAAACTGCTTTGAATGGTTCTAAATAAAATCACTTAAGGATGAGTATTGTGATGCTATCAGAGTGGAACATGCTATTTCTTTCAGAGGTAAAATAACTTTTTTAAAATGCAAAAACTGTCCTCTGTGCCTGTAACAGAACAAACATAAAACCAATATTACTTCTAAGGCAACGCCAGTGGAGACAAGAAAAACAAACTCCAAAAAGTCTCCAGATTATTTGAGGAGGGTTGAGATAAAACAAACATCTCACATTGAATTAAAAATTTGTGACCCCTTAGGGACCTCTGTCTGTAGCAGTAAAATTGTCTGAAGAGTGATTTTCCTCATGACTGAAAAACTGAAATTACATTCCTTTCTTTCAGCAGGAAAAACGCTGGTTGGGGAAGAACCAACTGGAGGTGGTGATGATAGTAATGATTCTTGGGCTACAACAGAAGAGTTCAGTTCGGAATTTATTCTTAGATATGGTAGTAGGTCAGTATTGCCTCTTTTGCATTTTTAACTCAGCTATACTCAAATGTCACTAACAGAGAAAGAGGAGAAAAAATGAACGAACGAATTCACACTGTTACAAGTCAAAAATGCTTGTTCTGTAAAAAATAAGGCATGCTAAACGCAGGCCCAATAAGTAAACTACCCCGCAGGCTGTCAGGCAAAACAGTTTATTTAAAAAAAATCTGTTAAACTCTCACTCACATTAGGTGACTGCCGTCTGTGTAACAGTGTATAGACAGTCCTAAAAAATGATAACACCAAATTGCCTAAACCAAGTTGACAGTTTTTTACACTGAGAACAGGGCAAGGTAAAAGCAGCAGAGAAGACTTCGCTATTGCCACAAGCTCACTGACTGTTAAGATTTTGGACCAGCACTAACAAGGAGTGGGCGTTTAGTGTCAGTATCTACTTTAGTGAAAGTTTGAAAAATACACATGCTTGGATTTTTTTTCTCAAGTGATTTCCAACTTTGACATTCTAATTCAATCGTAGAACACTGAAGCAAAAATAAAAAATTCATCTACCTTGTAGTTCCAAACTCAACTTAACCCAACTGGTGGGAAAGTGAAATAATCAGAGTTTAAAAATGCAGGTGGTCTTCTGCACAAGAACCTAATTTTCTTTGAAAGGCAGCGATAACTGATAGGTAATGAACAAGAAACGTGAACTTGTGCGTCCAAATTGTAATTGCAGCGAGCACCTTGAAGGTGTATACTTCCTGCCCAATTCAATGGCTTGGAGAGCTGTTTTTCGTTTTTTTATTTTCCAGTACTAACTAATTTCCACAATAACATGCCACTGTTCTTTCAACAGGATGTTAAGTCCGAATGCATCAACCAATGTCGATAAGCCTTTTGCCTGCCCAGTTCCTGGCTGTAAGAAACGTTATAAGAACGTGAATGGCATCAAGTACCACTCAAAAAATGGCCATAAGAATGATGGAAGGTAATTTTTCACTTTTACAGAGGAATAAGATGTAACAATCGAAAAATTTAATTTCTCTCTTACAGGAATAGGAAGGGAGAAGAGGGAAAAGTATCGTGTATCTCCAGAATATTCTTTTGGTTGAGAAGAAATGTGTTCTTATGACAGCTTAAATGTAGAATAATATATTGTTCTCTCCTGACTTTTCTCCGTGAAAAAGAAAAGGGAAAAAAACAAAAACGAAGAACTAAGGCCAGATTAAGAAGATATGCTGCTCATTTACTACATTGATCAATGATGAATTCATTCGTTCAGTTGCTGAGTTTTTGGATTTGGGATTATTTGACCGAGATACTAGTTGAATTTTCGACAGAGATGGTGTCATTCACAGTATTCAGCTTAAGACTGAAACTCATGACAGGGGAAAAAGGTATCAGACCAGAATTTTTTCTGAGGAATATGCTCTTTGAAGCAGCTCTAGCGACCAATCAGGATCACACCTGCAGACACATTTCGGGTCAAGTTGGTCCTATCACCAGTGCAATATATAGCCTTATGACTTAATGGTCCTAACCTTTGAGTATACAGAAAAACCACATTGAGATTGTGCAAGCATAAGAAGACATACAACATCTTGAGGTAATTAGTTCGCATTGGAGATGTTGCATGTGTGAGGAATTTGTGATTTGACTTTTAATTCTTATGTAAAAGTTCGCGAGAAACACAATGGTACCATTGGTTTTCTCTGAAATCAACTCCCAAGCTCAAAAACAGCCTCAAGTTGAGGCCAAAATGGAGGGGATATCCCACGCTATCCTGAGAGTCCATCTCTACATCAAGACAAACTCTCCATGCAAAGATAGGGCTACATCAAGACGAACTCTCCATGCAAAGATAGGGAGCAAATACAGCTGCCACTTCATTTGAGGACTCTAAAACTGAAAACACAGCAACCCTGCTAATGTATTTGCGCCCTATCTTTGCATGGAGAGTTTGTCTTCTGAGTTTGTCTGGAGAGATGTTTCTCGCAAACTTTTACAAAAGAATCAATGGTTAAATCGCAAATTCCTCACACGTGCAACATCTCCATTGAATCTGATGCTGATAAGTAGAACTCAATCCCTGACAAAACGACTACTGCATTGAATTGCCTTAGTTCTTGATAGCTCTGCAGCCTGATTGTTGAAATTTTGTGTCTGTCGACTTAATAAGAACAGATTAAAGAGAATTGAGTTATGTGATTGTCAGCTTTATCCTTTGTCTTCTTTGTCATGCCAATAAAGGATGGATTCGACCAGGATTTGACGATATAGTGTCAGGAATTCAAGAGGTGCCTTTAGGAAGCTGTTAATCTGTCAACTCAATGTTATATAGCAAAACCCAATCCTAGTTTTTTGGATTAAAATCTCTGTTTGAACGACTTGTGCATCTGATAACTTGCATCATTTGCAGTTCCAGTTCCATTTTTTCCTATATCATTCACTGGTCACACTGTTTTCCATCATATTACCTACATTAATTAGTGAAAAGTAGATTTAATTATAAAAAATTTTTGGTTTCAGAATTCGCAAGGGTTACAAGTGCCACTGTGGGAAGAGCTACAAATCTAGTCATAGTTTACAAAACCACACTTTATTGTTTCATAACAGTGACCTGCCTCCATTGGGTGGACACTCAAGTAAAGTATCTCAACTCAGCCCTCGTGTGACACTTCAACCTGTCAGAACTCTCATGTTGAAGCAAATCAACAACCTCAATGGTGCACCTATCAAAACTCTTGTTGTTAAAACAGTGAATAGTCTTAATAACCCCAGCCCACATCACAACAATTTGTCCAACATGAAACCAGCATTAAAAATCTCTACAAACTCAGTGTCCCAGGTGCTAAAATCATCACCAAGCATCGCTCCACTATCTAGTATCCTGACGCCAGCTTCCTCTCCATGCTCTTCAACCTCCTCTGTCAACTCATCATGTGAGTCTATCGGCTTAAATATTTCGAGCATACCGACTGATTAGCTTTAACTTCAACAAAATGTTTTGACTAAGACCCTCATGTGCTACAGAAACAGCTGTAGACACCACCTTTGAACTTGTCTTCCCTTGCCCTATCTACTTAATGCTCAGCTGCTAAAACTTCCTTGTGTTTCTGAAAACATAAAAAATTTCTCTAGTAGACCGGTTTTGAGGAATGGACGACCGGAAGAAAACTTTCAGGAACTCACTTGATGACATGAAAACCAAGCTTGGTTTTCGGCTGAAAGACCAGATGTCTTTCTTGGAGGTACAAAATGAAAAGTACCACCACTTAATGGTCACATGAACATACTGCACAGATAGTTTGTTTTCTTTTAATGAGGAGCTTAAAGGTTTTGCACTTAAGGAGTGAGATTGGATAATTCATTGTGAATGCCAAGAAGATCCTAAAATGTATTACGTACTTACACAGGGTAACTGGATCAGTTTGGCAACATAAACTGTTTTTAAATCAAACTTACTTGACTAGAACCTCAAACAGTCAATACTGATGAGGATATTTATATTTCAATGTTTCGATTAACAGGTACCACCTCAAATATTGACTTATGAGCACACATATTGCTTTGAATTCGATTTTGCCCTTCACTTCTAACTTCTTGTCCTCTCATTTGTTTCTTTAGATTGAATTTCTTTCCAACTATTTGTTAGGCAAGCTTAAATATTTTTACTACGATTAAAATAGATAAATTGCACAAGATAATTAATTCCAGATGATAATATGAGAATCTGACCGAAAAAATAGATGAAACAGGAGCTGCTAGCAGTAAGATTTTTGGATTTAAAATGTTACAATAGTGTAGTTGAGTTGATTGAGGCTTTTTTAACCTCCATGGTTAAAAGCATTTTTATTGGTTGGTCACATGGTTATAAAGAATCCCTCCCCTCCTCATGTTCTTTCTCAGCATACAGAAAAAGGAGACAAAACTACGAAAGTGAGAGGTATGTACAAGTATATACGTAGCCACTCATTGCTTGGGACATAATAATTTTAAACGTTACGATGTAGGCATTTTTTTATAAAAATCTAACTTAAGATGACTTCTCTGGTCCCTCATCTTCTTAGTCCTGTTTTTGTTCCGTTATATTGTGCCCATTTTGCTCTGATTAAGAGTGAATGAACACGAAAACGTTAGTACTTTAGTAATTCAAAATATGAACAAAGATTGGACAGAGGTGGCTGAAAAATATGTTCCTCATTTGTTTCTACTCTCCTACATGAAACCTGACCAAAGTCAGGAAGAAACGAATCCTGCCCTTGATCCGCACTCAATTGTTATCATGTTGCCGTGTTCTTTAATTTTCTTAGGCATAGATTTCTTTGAGAGCCTCCAGCTCTGTAAAAAAAGCAATAATTCAATCGTAACTGTGAAAAGAGATGAACTCTTCAACCATGATTAAGTCCAATTCATGCTTTAAATTGTAGTGTAGGAATTTTCATTTAGAGTTATATTTATTTTTCTACTTTACCCTTTTTAAGGATTATCCGAGGTGTCTTGGATTGAATTAAGTAAACTTCAGAGATCCGTTTTGCACTCAGAAAAGAGACTTTTGTTTCATATCTCTTCCACATTTCAAACATTTCTTTCTTAAAAACAGCTTTGAACTTTAAAGAAAGTCAAAATAATATTCTTCCAGAGCAGTAGCAGCCCTTCAGTTAATAAGGAGAATCAACTTCCGGATATTTATTTTTACTTTATTTTTTTTAAAAAAAAAAGACAAAGAGGGTTCTAGCACAGTAGCATTAGAAATTGTTTTAATGGAGCAAGATTAACTTTTTCATTACACAGTCTCAGAAGTTGGTTTTGAGCTCTTTTTTTCTCAGAAGCTCCATCTTTCAACCAATTTTTAACTTGATAAAAACAAAAAAGGATATTGACTTGGACCAGCAAGTTGAATATTTTACACTCTGCAAGCATCCTCAAGTCTCGAGAAGTAGGTAATACATTAATAGACATTCTCATTCTATTTTTGACCAGTTTTCATTTACTTTTATTTCCTGCCCATCTACTTCTTGATCAACACCCAACATTTTAATGGTCTTATCTCCCTGCCATCTACAGAAAAGGAGCAAAACTAATTGCTAGAAGGCCTCTACTAGAATTTTTTTTAAAAATAAAAAGTCTTCTTTTTCACAGTATATGAAGATGAAGACATAAAATACTTTGACCGTCATTTGATGTGAAAGCTTCTTAGATAATTTAGTTTTCTTTAAAGGACTGTCACAAGTAATGCTTAACAAACAGTATTTCATGATGAATGTTTCTTGTTTTAGCCATACAAGTGTTTTTGTATAAGGTATTGTTTTTAGATTTAGGTAGACAAAATAACTCATTTTATGTTCCTCTATGAATAGTATTTAAGCCCCTCAGAATAGAATTGGCAAGTGCAAATAGATACATCATCAAACATTACAAAGCTCTTGACTTAAAACTTCAGGCTGCAGGTCAAATTATTAGGCTTGAAAATGGTATTTTAACACGAACATTGATTTTTTTTTTTTTAATATGTGTAATGGAAAATGAAATGATAGTCGCTGGATTAGCTGCTTATTTTCCCATCTTCTTTATGCAAAATTTACTTCGCATCAACATTAAGCTTTTGCTCGAAAAACCTAGATGTTCTTGAACTTATTCACTTCAATGCTGTATGATGCCAATTTGCTGTAACTCAGCTAGTTAAAGTCCTTAGATTGAATTTATTTTTCATCTTTATGGGTTCATATGTATGTGCGATCCGATAAATTTGGCTGCTCCCTTTAGAATTATGGGGGAAGAGCAGTGAAAACTTTTTCACATCCATTACCCTGCTTTTTTAGTGTGATTTGCCATTGGGAAAAAGCCCAAGTACCTCAAGATGCTGCAGGGATCTTCGATGGAGATACAACTAACCTTATCTAACCTTGATTATGTGCGACTTGACAAAATGCTTGGGTTTACAGCGTCTCCCTGACAACTCCCTGACCAATTTTATCTCCCCGCCTTTATGTATTTTCTCAGTTGCTAGAGACCTCGTATGTGGATCCCAAGTACCATTTTCACAGCAGTATTTACAGTGGCGATTCTTGAATGTTGGCAGCACAGATTTTCCTCCATTTAAATGCATGTAAAACAATTGATTCTAAAATAGATATTTTCAACGGATTCAAGTGGAGGAAAAACAGGGTTGCTAACTTGCAAAATCGCCACCGAGTATTGATAGATAACAAGATGCTGCGATTCCACAGAAAAGAATTTGAAATGTCTTTGTGCTGATCTGAATAGCAGCCGACTAAGTAATTTTACTTGATTGTATTGCGGTCATCATTGCTATACCAGTTAAAAATGATCAGTTCCTTTCATTGATGCGATGGAGGCAAAAGTGCTCTTTGGTGAAATAATGGGGGGACACAAGTGCCCCTCTGAGGAAAAACGCTATATGAACATTCAGGAGTTACCAAAGTTCCTTAGACAGTAAAAAGTTAATTTTGAGGGAGAGTTATATACATTTTCTCTTGAAATGTTCTGAAATCTTAGATCTGATTGCGAATAAAATTCTCTGAAAAATGTCTGAGTACATACTCACAGATTTCTCTGGAAATTTGTAATTTATCAAAAGGAATCTGGCAACGTCTGAACGCTTATACAACATTTTTCCTTAGATTGGCAAACATGCGATCAAAGGCTATTCACATAAACGTCCTAAAATCTCAATTTATCTTTGAAATAGAGGAAGCTTGAGGGTTCCCTGTTTTGAACTGGAGTGAGTAAATACTTGTCTGTGACAGCTGGACAAAGAAAAAGTAATGTATTACAGTTTTTTCCATCACATATCCTCATTATTTTTTTTTTTTCTCAGTTTTTGGTACTAATACTGAGGATTTTATTCCTTTTTATTAGATGATATTTCTGATGACGAGCCATCCTCCTCTTCCACTTCTGCGCCTCCCAGCCCTCTTCCATCCTATTACCACTCCTACTTTTAACCAGAACAGCCACCGTGAATATGAAGCTGGACATATTTTTAAACAAGCCATCATTTCAACTTTCCTGTTCTGATTAATTTTTCATTAGCAGAAGCTCTTTAATGTAAGACGATACATAGTAGAAATCTCTGCTATCCTTATTATGAAATTCTAACACCCATCTAAAAACAAACAGGCGAAGTTTACTTTAAATTAATTTCATTTCATTGACCAACTGTTCTTTAACTTCTCTGCCTGAGGGCCTAAAAAGACAGCATACAAATCCCCTGCAGGATTGATAACTTTTCTTCCATCTTACATGTTTTGATACCTTTCAATCTGAGAAAATGATTCAATATTAGAAAATTAAGTAATGAAATTTATGGACTTTTCCTTTAAAAAAACTCAAGTCTTAATGACTACATCTTGGGTTTTTTTCCTCTTGCTTTCATTTGGCATTTTCTTCACCATGACCGCGGACCACTAATGTTATTAGGAAAGATACTATCATGAACAAAGTACATAATACATCTCACGTATTGAGATTATTTGGTGCGCATGAGAAAATAATTATTAGGAATGCCTGGCTGATGAACAGATTTTACAAATCATACATTATAGTCATATTGGCCTCTTGTGAATTGTGTCTCTAATAAATATCCCGTTTAAAAACATTCATTAATTGTAAACATAGAGTACAATAGAGTCACAATGTACTGGAGCGCAGATGAAGTCACTTTTTAAGACTGTTTTGTCCAAGACTTCTGAGGATAGTGTGCAGCGATTAGCGGTACTGTATCCGGAGGGTCCGAGCTCCAGGGTCCGCTCAGAAAATTCAGGTATAAAATTTATCTCATTAAATCTGGGAGTTCCGTAAGTTTTTTAATTTGTTATAATATTGGTCAACATAATTTGCCAAAATCCGCGAAAATAGTTATTGATTTAAAATAATAAATCCCAAAAACCAATCATAGTCCGCAATTCTGTCATAAGCCGCCGTGTTACAAAATGCCGTCGGGTTCACACTTGGTTCACACTTTCCGGCGAACAAGGGGCTCGAAATGGCCCGTTCATGGATTGACTTCATTGGCGCTCCAGTACATTGCGACTCTAATGTACTCTATGATTGTAAATGGAGAAAAACAGTTCTGTTTGTCCTCAAATTTTGTCTTTCAAAGAATTATAACGATTATTCATTTTCTTTGAAAAAAGAAACTGTATCAAAAGATGGAGATCTGCTCCCTCTCCCCTAACTTTCGTTTTCTCTTAAATTTACTGCCCTTATCCTAGATGAGAAAAAACCAACAATTTACTGGAGACATGTTCTGACGTATTTTCCACATTATTTTACAATGATGTACATAAATAAAATCAAATGAAGAAGAGAGAAATAAAATTAGTTGTTCAGGAGCTACATGTTCATTGTAATCTCCGAACTGAAACTTTAAAATTTAAATTGCTTTGAAAATCTTTCAAACTCATTTCTCTTGACTTGCATTTTTTCAATTTGAAACAATTTGTGTTGCGATTATTTGAGAAACCAAAATTTGTTCAAAATTTCCATTCTGACTGAGGGTCTACGTGCTAATACCCACAAATGTTATTTATTTTTCTAGCAGATTAGAATTACCAAAAGTAAATTGTTGAAATTTGTTATTGTGACTGAAAGTACTTACTATGTTGATCTTATCACCTTTAATCGTTTTTCAAGGTGAAAAGTTACCGTGTTCAAAACAAAAAAATAAAATTATATTTGTTCTAAGAGCCTGTGTTTACTTCCTTTCATACTTATGCATCTGAGGAATATACAGGGCTTATTAATTTCCCATCATAGAATAATACTAATTTAGATGGAGTGATTTAAAATGACTGCAGCAAGTAGCCCCTTGTATTATTGCATGGATGGTTAATTTATATTACCTTAGGATGGAGGAAAGTCATGCTCAGTACACGTAGTTTGGATGCACAACTATCAATGGATCTGTGTCATCAGCTGCATCGGTTGTCAGTGGAAGAATTACTCCATCCTGAAAAAATGAAATATTTGTGAAAACTCAAAGTAATATAGGTTTTTTTAGTCCTCTCCCAATTCTTTCAATTTGAAAAAGCTCAAGGTTAATTCAACACACTAATTTTTTTCTGCTGATTCCTTGCTGAAAACACCATTCTACAGTGAAAACTTCAGGAGTCAGTTGAAACAGTGCAAATAATGCAATTGATTGCAAAAACGAAAGTGAATAATTTAGTATGTCAGTGTGAGTAGTACGTCATGGAGCACAAATAGCACACAAATTTACTCATACACAAAAAGTGATAATATTACAAACATTTTCAAATTTTCATAATTTTTTTTTTTTTTTTTTTTTTTTTTTTTTTTTGTATTTTTACCATCTCCTCTTGAAAGTACTTTTTTTTTAGTTGTTGTAGAATTTTGAAAGACAAAGCAAAAGAGATGATTTGGAGATGAATTTGATGCAGATAGAGTTTGCTCGCGACTTTTGGTGGGAAAAGTCTTATGGCAGCTGCTTGTCACCTGAGCAGCTCTTCTTTCTGCCTCCCTAAATCACTAAATTTGGAGAGGCACACAAAAAAACTGCACAAGCAATAAGTTTAACTAAAGTCTTAACATGACTTTTAGCGCTATTAAAAAGTTTCAAAATGATTGAAATGTGATTCAGGTGAGATCTTATGCCGCCTTTGATGCCACTGGCATCATTTGGTCAGAGACCTACTTACCGAATTATTTGTCAAGGAAAAATATTCAGTTTTAAATAAGATGAAATGCTAATTTGTGATGTTGTTTCTCCAAAAAAAAAAGAGGCAATTATACAGGGTAAAACCTGTATGTTCAGGGAAAAAAACGAATTTGCTGCAGCACAAATTTTGCTTTAGGCTTAAGAGCCTAGGGCAAAATAAATCACAATAAAATGTGTAGACATGGTTTTTTTTTAAGAAAAAACCATTTCTACACATGTCAAAAGTCATGTCATAGTGATTTTTTACCATGTTGAGGGGCTAATTCTGATGACAATTTTATTTAAAGGAGGTTATTCACTGCCTTCGATGTCACCTGTGCTGATCGCAACTAGATGCTATCAACAGAGGCGCTAACATTTCAGTAACTGTACTGCACTCTGACTGCTGTGTCGTTATTTGTACTAAATTTAAAGTCAGTTATATCTACAACCCAAAGAGCCATTGGAACAGAATACTTTATTTGCAGCGACTGCAAATGAAGCTAGCAGAGAAATTATAGTATTCACAAAAATAATGGAGATCTTGTTGTTTTCTTTCAGATTATGATCTAAAACTTGCAATAATCAGCCAGTGTCCTAATGAATTCGACTTTACTTCTAGGAGCAAATCAAGAAGCAAAGAAACTTAATTTTATGATTCTTGTCCATTTCCTCTATAATGGGACTTACAGAAATGTTTTCTTCCTAATTTAAGGCAAACCTAAATACCGAAAATGATACTGAAAACTTACATGATATATTAGCCGATCCAGAATTTTATCAATGAAAACTTTTTTTTCTACTAGATCATCCTCAGATTCGATTTGATCTTCAACTTGCTCCAGGTACCAATTAACAACTTCACTGCGCCGCACTCCTTCACCTCCTGCAGCCGTCCTCAGCTCCTCTTCTTTACGCATGTACGCTGCTAACATATTTGTAATTGCTATGTACTCTTCATAAGAAACTGTCAGTTTCTTCTTCTGTGGCGCTTGTTTCTCTGGACTTGTTTCGGGTGCCCCATCACCCTGGTCTAAAACAGAATTAAAAAAATTAAGGAAGAATTTATGATGAACACTCGAGGCATCATACAAAAATCTTCGAACAGGAAAGCAAAAGAGGTACTGTTAAATTTCAAAGTTGCTAGAACTGCAAAGGAATTGATTTGATTTTAACCATTTACATACTTGCAGTAATTTATCTTATTTGTGTCCGTCTATTTTATTTTTCACCGGTTGCGTTGTCAGTAGACAAACAAATATTTGAGTCCTTCTGTTTACGACTACTGCTAAAAAATGCAACATTAAACGATGAATGTGTGCCGTGAACTTTTAAAGGAACTCAGTTCGATTAACTCTCGTTTTCAATCTGTCAATAACACGGAAAATAGCTAAAAATTAAAAATTGATAAGTCTTTCGCCTACCTTCATTATTAACAAGTGAATAGAAAATATGCATAAGCTACAATAAAGAACACAGAAATTTTATAGCTACTGATGAGATTCCTAACGTTCGGCTGAATTAATAATGATAAATTAATCAGCAGGGTCATCTATTATTTCAAGGAAAAACTAACTCAAGAAAAATTCGAAGATCTAAGTTTAAAAGGCTATTTGCCAGATAATGAAAGGTAAATTTTTAAACTTCTTCCTTCAACAGTTATTCAATTAATGTAGAAAGCAGGTTTCACTCCCATGTTACAGCCTTATTTTTATTCCGCAATAATTTTTAGGGTTTAAACTTGATTTCCTTATTTTTCAGTATATTTTGACTACTTTTTAAAAAAACTGAGAAGTGATATTTTTAACATTTTTGATACCAAACGATTCCATTTTGCTAGCACTGATGGATTTTGTACAAGCAAGGCAACAGGTAAAACTGGCCTATACTTATTCAAATGATTTTGCCGTGACAACAAGAGTGCCACCGTTTGATTTCTTGAAACTTGCACACATTGATTCCATACAGACAGTGAAACTCCCAAACCATGTATCTTGTTTGCAATGTGTAAAAATCACCGCTATTTTATTTTTTTGAAAGATAATAAATCAACATTATAAGAAATGCATATTACTGACTAGAGCTCCCAACGATGAAAGTATTTTGTTCAGAGGCAACAATTTGAACATGGTGCAAAAACAAGCAACAATCGCATTTTGTTTAAAGCTGTTTTGTGTTGTGGAAGCGGGACTTATTTTGGCACGCCAAATTTGGAAAATCCTTGAAGCATCATAGTTGTACAACAAGTGTAACGTTTTCAGAGGCAAGTTGTTTTTATGTTGTTTCCCAAAACAACGCTGCTTTCTAATCTAAAATTGGAAGTTGCTCTCTCATTGGTTGTGCGGAGCTGAGTAAAAAAAAACAAGAAATAAAAACGGAAATACTTTGTTTTTTTGAACAAAATGGGACTAATATGTCAGTGCTTTAACAATGGCATTTGGGATTCTAATAGATTCTTCTTTGCATGTTAAGTGGTCTATAGAGAAAATGAATACAGAAAAACTATGGCTGAAAGTGTGGTCACAGCATTCATTCATCATCATCACATGCTACTGATCTCTAGTTTTCATTCTTCTCCAAAGTTGAGCAGGAAGCTTGAGGGTGATTTTGGAAGAATTAAGTTAAGTATTTATAAACGAATAAAATAAAGGAATACAAACCAGCAGGTGCTGGAGTTGAGGGCATCTCAGCCGGTTCGTCCACATCCATTTCATCTTCTTCTCTGTCCAGTAAGACATCTGGCTGTTCAACTCGTAAAAGAGATTTGTTGAGCAATTTCTTGGCCTCCTCAACATGCCTAACAGTGACATCGTCTGAGCATTCCATTTTTGCCATAGCTTCCGAAAGTCGAACCAAAGATTCTAACTGTCGTACTGTTATGCGCCATGATAAACCTCCACTTGTTCGGTTGTCTCTCTGCCTTAGTTGCGCATATGCTTCAACCAACACTTCTTTGGCTTCCTGAAATAAAATAAAATCATTCGCACAATCTGAAGTCCATGGTCTTATGAGTTTATATTGGGAGATGAAAATGTTAAATACACTTCTGCATGTCTGCAGTTGAATATCAACATACTGATAAAAGATTGAATCAGAAATTTGACCATCTTTGTTCATTCAGACCTTCCACATATTCTAAAAAATAAGGGGCCTAACGGTAAATGAGAAATTGGATGAAAAAATTTTATTTGCCAACAAATGACTCTTCCATACTTCAATACCAAAAAAAGCACCTCAACACTTTACCACCACAGACTTCAAGGGAGTAAAGAAAAGCGACACATCTTCACCCATTTAAATTCAAAGGTTATGATCCTAGACATGACAAGTGCCTGTGGCACAACTAGTTTATACGCTACTACATTTAGTGTAACAAAAAGAAATTCAAATCAAACTTTAGATGAAAAGGAAAGACTTAACGGCAAGTTACACAGTTGAGAAACAGGTGAAAAATGGAAGCTTGACCTAAAGGGCATTAAACAAAAATACCATCCTGTCCTTAGAATTTGAAATAGAAACCTAGTTTACAAGTATAATAATACAATCCCAGTAAATCTTCAACAAGGGTATGAAATCACTTACCAAACTGATTCTTGGTTTGAATTGCCGAGCAAAAGTGATATACCTCAGGATTTCCTCTTGAGTGTACATCCTGGGGGCTTCTTCAGCATTTTGATGAAGAGCAACTATTTTTTGTGCTATTGTGTGATCCACTATTGGGTTACTCTCATCAATGAGGACAAAGAAGAGATCAAACCTGGACATGATAGGTGCTGAAAGAGCTACATTCTGCTGCAAAGACTTTCCTCGGTCATACCTTCCACCGATCGGATTTGCAGCTGCCAAGATAGAGGTTTTAGCATTCAAGGTGGCTCGTACTCCAGCCTGAAAAGAAATGATAGTAAAAAAATTAGCTAAATCCAGAAGGGAATAACTTGCATACAGTTGTTTCCTATTCTTTACCATACGAGGTAAAGGATAGGTATACATACATGTGTAGATTTTTAAAAAAATTGTCTGTGCAGCGAGATATTTCTTGCTTTAAAACAGGTGTCTAAAATTCACTCGAGTAGAAAAATTTGGGTGGGCTCGTGAATCTGACAAGCTAAATCACATTCACAAGATGGCAGCAAGAACACAGAGCTCAAGACTATACCACCTAATCTGGATCAGTAACACACAGCATTACCGCCATAAATTCTTCCACTTCAGATTCCGCCACCATCTTGCTTAGTTATGTTCTTGTCCGATTCCTGAGCACAAGACTGGAACTCTTTTCTCAGCCATCCTAATTTTTTACATCTGAGAATTAACTTTACTCCTGATTGCTATTATTGTAAGAGACCAGCAAACTAACTGTTGGCTCAGTTTACCTACCACTTTCAAAAGGTACTTGGAAGAAAATCGACTTTACTGACTATTCAATGGATTTTTCTGGTGTTTAATGAATGTGGAATCATGCTAGCTGCGTTAAATACAGCATACTTTGAAAAAATCTCAGCATTAAGAGAGTACAGAGTTACGGAAGAAGAGAGAAGAGAGAATTAATTTAGAAGCATATTAGAACATCGAAGCTAAAGACATGACAAGTGCATTAATTCCATTGTTCGACTATGCTGTGGATAATCGTTTTATGAGCCTTCAGACGTTGCAAAATTTTCTTTGACAGAGGACGAATTTTCGGGAAAATCAGTAAATGTTAGTCTTCCTATTTTGTAGAGAATTTTGATTGTAATACAATTTAAAAAGTCTGAAAATTTCAGGGAAGTATATTCATAACTTTCTTCACAAATAAATGTTCTCCAAGAGAAAATTTAACAACATTTGAATGCTCATATGGCGTTTTTCCATCGCACGATAGTGTTTGTGTTTGTTTGGAACAACTCAGTTGAGATACAGCATTCTAACGATACAGGTTGATGATTTGTTCTTCTTGCTGACTCTTTTTCGCTAATGTTACTTTCAAGAGTTATTAAGAAGTCTTGAGATAAACTGCTGCATTAAACTATTGATTACAGTGAGAGCTAAGTAATTTCAACATTTATATTATAGAAATACAGAAGTCGAAATGGCCATTGTGTAAGAGTGACAACCGAGGAAAAAATTCATCGGGCGAAAAAGGAAAGTAAGTGTCAATTTATATTATAGCCTTAATAATCCAAACCAAATGATAATGGAGTATGAGTGATTAAGAAATAAGAGAGGAGTACTAACTTTGGCTATAGAAATGGTCTGCTGCTCCATTGCTTCGTGGATAGCAACTTGATCTCTGGGGTCCATTTTGTCAAACTCATCAATGCAGCAAATTCCATTATTGGCCAACATGAGGGCACCTGCCTCGATGACAAAGTCGAAAGACTCCTCATCACGCACAACTGCTGCAGTTAGACCAGCTGCACTAGAGGCTTTCCCGGATGTATAAACTGCACGTGGATATGCTTCGGCAACCTGCAGAGGAAAACATTTCAGAGAAATATTTGAAACTATATTTTACGAGTCTTTTTCGAAGGAAACACTGGATTCTTATACCACCATAATGGGATTCGCATTTTCAGAGTGTCAACTACAATTTTATTTTGAAGTAGGGGGCTCTGCCGCCTGGCCGCTACGCGGCCCAACCCCTTGGACACTGCGCCCCCCACTCAAGGACACTTCTTCCTCTTCTTACTCCCCTTTCTCACCCTGTTCATCGAGCATCTTAAAAATGATTTTATTAGAATAGAGAGGATTTTCCAGGTATTTCCCTAATGTTCTAAAGGAAATTGTTCAATTTTTTGAGCAAATAAATTGACACTTGTTTGGTTTTACAAACTAACATATTAACAGTGAAACTACCAAACCACATATCTCGGTTTGCGATACTGCAGACATCCTGTCATACTTTATTTTTCAAAAGACACTAATTGTCATCAATTGGATGTCTCAAAGAGTGAATTTGCCTCTGGAATTAATTGAAGTGTGCAAATAGAGAAATTTGGCATGTGAAAAAGCTACGAAGCACAAGGTTCAATGTAGAATTTGACTAAATAAAATTATGCAAGGATTTGCACCATCGCTGGTCACTGGTCAAATTATACTGAAAGCCTGTTCTGTTTTCTTTCATTACCTGTTACACTCTGTGTTTATTGAAACAGAGTGCAGCAAAACTATTTCCTCAGTTTTAGCATTTCTAGTAAAACACTGCAAAATACTATTCGCTATTTGAGATTTTTGTTTCGTAATCCTTAAAACATTCAATTATTAGTTGAGTTTCACAGTTTATTCTTCAGGAAAAGGAGAAAAAAGATGGAGTAACTGATGTTGTGATTCAGAAGTTAGATTGACCAAGATTACACAGTAAAGCAGTCCCCGCCTGGAGAATACCCGTTTTTCAGCAGGCTAAATTGCGGCAACTATTGGCTTGATTAAGCTATGCAAAAATTACTTTACTCATCATTAAGGAGAATATTGATGGTATTGCCATGAAGAAAACGGTAAGAAAGGGTCGATATTTTGAAACTGCAGGCATCTCAATCATCGGATAAGTCATTCCAATCCTCCTTGTAGAGTTTCTCATTTTGAAAAGCGATAGTGGATTATTGACTATACTCACCAGCTTCAGAAATTGAGATTTGGCAGTACTAGGATCCCCTACAATGATACAATTGAGGTCACCTCTTAAAGTGGTTCCCTCAATTGTTGTTTTAGGTACACCACCGAACATCATCAGTAAAATTCCTAAAACAGAGAAAAAAGGTGAATCAATGAAAGTAGCCGAACATTATGTGCATTGAATGGGCCACTAGGCAAAGTCTAAACGGGAGAAAATGTCACATGTTTTCTTTTAAAAATCTTACTCGGAAAACGATTAACACAATGGGAAGTTTGGGAATCTCCTTGACGAGATTTTAACAAGTATTTTTAACACGGATCAAAAATGGAGGTTAGATTATACAAATGACATTGTTTGTATTCTTGCTATTATACCAATGTTCATTGTAAACACCTATATCTTGTTTAGGAATTGATTTCCAAACTTCTCGTTCAGCGTTCTGTTTCCTGCATGAAAATCTGGAAAGGAAACATGTTACTTAGTGCTTTAACTCATATCTTATCTAGTTGCTCATGGTGCATTGAACATGAATATTAAGTGATAACATGTGATCAATCACAATGTTAACTCTAAAGAAAATTTTAAAATTCAAACAAGTTAAGGTACATAAAATCTTAGATTTGGGGTTTGGCCCTGTACATCGTTTCACTACAGAATTCAGAAATGTAGCAATACTGTAAGGTAAAAAACAAGGCTGTAAAAATAATGGCCTAAAAATATACAAGTACCTTTTTTGACGGGAACATTCCCATGAATGGAAGGGAAAAAACTTGACACCAGATTGTTAAAAAGATTTCGATCTGTGGACATTTCGTAAATTTTTGCCCACTCTGCTTCGGTCATTTGTTTCTTCATTAATTCCGGAGTCAAATCTTCAGCTGACATTTCATTTCCTCCAAACTGCATGATACAAGAAATATGTTCATTAAAAGAAATGGCAAAATGTTTTCATGATCAATTTCTGGGAGGGCAACATTGGCCTTAAACATGAGCAAGGCCACGGACTGCTCAGGTTTACTTTTCTTCTTTCATCCCTTTTTCAAAAATCTCGGTAAAAGGCAGGACAAACTTGGTTTTGATTTTCTATTTTGATAAAGACTTAGGCTAAGCGTACCAAGGATTGTCAATTCTTTATGGGCTGTTGAAAACTGGGAAATATTTAAAAACATGGAATAAAAATTTGTGTAAAAGTTAGTTGATTTTACTAAAAATTAGAGAATATTTGACCAAAAATTTCGAATATGACGTTTTGTAAAAAGAGAGAGCAGCTTTCAAAACAAACTATGAACCCAGAGGTAGAATTTTTGTTCCGATTTCCGAAAAAAAGCCATTGAAATTCATTTTATAGCTAAACTGGAAAATGAATGATTTACCCTAGTATTTGTTGGCATTACAGAGCAGGCAAGAAAAGCCATTCTGTAATTTAGTTCTCGAACTCCTAGAGATTTTAACCCTCTGATTCCTTCAATATTTGAATCTCCCATTTTGTGACGGGAGGCAGGCTCAGCTCTAGCTCCAGGCATTGAAAGAGCCCCAACATCTGGCACTACGATGGGAGTCCCTGTGAAATCATACCTATCTCCAGCTTGCACACTTTCAACAGTTTCAGCACGTAGAATTATTTCCACACTGAAAAACAAACAAAAGAATACAAAATCAAGATGGATTCATCAGAGATTGTGTATTAAAAAAAGGTAATCCAAATTTAAAATTTGGTGATTGTCCATTTTTTGTTGGACATGAGTTTAAAAGACGGGGACTCGTGGCATGGAAGACTCTTGTAGGGCTTCACAAGACTGAATGTTTTGATCCTTTTAATTTTTCATTGTTTAGACCATTCATAATAAATGAATGATAAACAAGGGAGTGGCTGGAGTTTTCAACACCTCTGCAGACCGATTACTGAAATTTTGTGTTTGTCAGGCGGACATAGATGACATAGGTTAAAAGGCGAGGCATGATCGGTCGGCTATGTCTTATCGCTGCTTTGTCCTGCCTATTAGTCGGGTTGAACTCACGACGAGCTATCGGTACCTCTTAGGTTTCCGACAGTATGTCGTCCATTCCACCTGACAAAGGCACGACAAAGCAGTGATAAGACATGACCGACCAATCACGCCTCACCATTTAACCCATGTCATCTATGTCCGCCCGACAAACACTAAATTTCAATAATCAGTCCGCAGGCCAACTGGGTAGTTTGTGAATGCTCACATTTTGAGAGACCAAACTCTAAATTTTGGAAACTCAAAACTTTAAAAGACCACAAATTGGGAGGGTTCTCTCCATCAAAACGCATGATTGTATCCATGTATTCCTCAAAATTTTGCTCTGTACACAGGTGGTAGAGAGGATTTCTTGCACATTCCCTGAAATTAAGCTTAGGGATGAAAGTGTAACAAATAAAGCTCTGATAATCATTTCTACATACCACCGAGGAATACTACCACGAGGCAGTTCTGAGGGTATTTCTTGAACACGGACCTTCTGAAAATCAACGAAAACAGAGTTGTGGACATCTAGCGTGAATCGACGCCGATTACTGCAGATTGGATTGGTGCAAATAGTGGGCTGCGTAAACTGGTGGAGCAGAACAAGAAAAAAAAGTGGAAATAGTATAAAGTGATGTGAATACAAAAAAAATCGAGATTAACGTTTTTAGTGGATATTACACTGGAATTAAACCTGGCCGTGCTATTTGGTGAGTTACTTAGATTAATTCGGCAGATTTTTGTTAATGTTCTTGATCTTTTCTTTGTTAACAAAAATTGGCAAAACTCATCAAGATGTAATCATTTCTTGAAGAAACAATGGTAATGCAGGAGACTGAAAATTTCCGGCCTCTCCCTTTTTCTCTAGTGTTTTCCTCTCGGAAGAGAATCGCACCACAAGTGAGAGTGAATTCTACTTATACAAATAAAAGTTGTTTCCAAAAACCAAAGCCTATTTTGAGATTGGTCATTTAAGAAGAAGCATTATACAGCCCTTACTTACTTTAAATTCCTGATGAACGTCTCTGATGACCTGCTGACAGTCCAAACATTTGAAGGTTCCGGAGACCAGCTCTGGGTGCACAGGATGTGTACGGGTAACCTGGCCTGATATCCTGATTAATGTACCAATTTTGGTTGCCGTCATTTCTCTGACCTTATGCCTTGTTGGAACATCGATGAAACTGACATAGAACTCTTTGTTCTTCTTTGTCTCGCCCGCATGATCCTTGACAAAGTTTGCAACAGCTTGGCACAAGTAAGGGTATATTCTAAAACAAGTAGATGGATTTCCATTTAACATAAAATTAAATGAACATATCACCTGTGATGTCATTAGGGCTCTGTATTTCACTAATGTCAATATGAAATAGAGATGAGGTAGGGATGGTCAAATATTTAGATAGTCGAATATTCGATATTCGAATTATCGGTACCGAGATAATCGCATCACATTCGAATATTCGCTTCCGAAGTCTTCGAAAACGCAAGATTTGAATTCTCAAATAATCGCAATAACAGCATACGAAAAGTTTCAAATATTCGAATAATCGCATTCAAATTCGATATAACTCCATCCCTAAGCTGAGGCCTAAAATAATTACCTAGCTGCAAGATCACTTATCAAATGATAGCACAGATGATGGTCGGAGTTCATTGACGCAACTTGTTGGCGCATACAATTGCAATGATGCAAAATTCTTCAGAACATTTCAAAGGATTTCAGAACTTTCAAAGGACTACAGAAAATTTCAAAGGACTTGAACATTTCTTTTTATTGAAGAAGGGAGGGAGGGATGTCCTACTCTTATGTGCAGTTTTGAGTTTCATTATTGATTCCACAGTATTACTCCAAGATTAACTGCAGATTGCTTTGAAATCTATCATGTGAACACCCCATTCTACGTCAGTGGGCCAAAGATTCATCTTGAGAGATAAACATTCCTTAAGTTGAAAAATTTAAGAGAGTTCTCTGATATTTCGAATGGCCAGGAGTGTACTGAGAGCTCATCCAATGTTTATAATTAAGGGTTGTGTGATCTCCATTGCAGTAATGCCATATGAATTGTAGTCAGAGAGCCAGACGATTTAAAGTGACGAACTCTTGACACACATTTTGACCACTTCGATCTGCATTGACACAGGAAATGGTTTCCTACCACATAATGACACATACTACAATGTGGTAGATGACCATTTTCCGTGTCAGTGCGTGTAAGGCTATGGATTTAAGTAATAATTAGAGCTTGTGTCACAAGTCTGTCACTAAATATTTTCTGGCTCTTGGACTATCGTATGTGATGCTATGAGGGTGGTTTCAGTGCCTTCAAGCATAAGATTGAGTCATCGCTTTGCAAAAATTCTGATTCACATTATTCAGCTTTACAACGTACACGTAACTAACGTGTATGTACATGAAAAGTTGAAAATAAAAAAGAGTAGTCACCTAAAATACTCCTCTATGATTGTTGCAGAGAGATTTTGATTGTACTTTTCAACGTCTTCAAAGCTGACTTCCATCGTATTTCTTTCCTCATTCTTGAGCTCTTTTGCTCCATCCAGGTACTTGACGACACCATCCTCTCGAAATCTGAAATGACCCAGAACAATGTTAGAAGTCTTTGTTTCCAGTAATGGAGGCAAGCTTGCTACCTCGCCCTTGTGTTGGTAAGAGAATGGCAGTTCCACTATTTATTTAGGATTCAAGAAACTTGGAAATTAGCAAAAATAAACTACAACAGCCAAGTTCTGTCAAAACAAGATCAATGTATGTGCCTCATCAAAGTAAACCTACTTGATACAGATTGTAAATCTGTATAAAACCAATTACTAACCAAAAACCAGCGGTCACCTCACCCATTCGAGAAGTAGAACTTTCAGTTAAAGATTTAAGATTCAGTTGTCACACAGGCAAGTCATGGGGTAATCCACACAGTCTCAAAGAACGTTAACCATTAGGATAGGGTAATTATGCTCCCTGACAGTTCCAAACAGCTTATAAAAGGGCTTCTTTCTAACCCATTAAACACATGGAACACCATGGATCAGGTTACCAGCGATTCGGCTCTGAGTAAAGATTGCACTTGACTGCTAGGTGGCCACCTCAGAGGAGCAGTCCAAGTGTTCCACTGGAACGAACTGAGCCTTGACAAAACACTGCGATAAAAAATTTAACAATTCGACATGATCCTGTACATTACCAAGGCAGTACTCCTTCAGCAAGGTTAGGTGACTCCCAGCATTTCTGATCGACCAGTTAAGCGATAAAGTTTTGCACCCTGGGGCCTACGTAATTGAACCCTTGATGATGGACGACTGCTGAAATGAGTCTCATAAGGCAATTAGCACTCATGGTACCTTTTTAATTACATGGTTTCGAATGATAAATAAAAAATAAGGGTAATGATTACCCGTCGCTGGTGATAGGAACAGGGTGATTCTACCCAACAGGTCGATTACTTACTCCTCGAGAAAATCTTGGAATATCTTCTGACAGTGAACCCCAACATCATCCTTGACCTTTTCTTTTAGATTTGCATCAGCCCTGACATCCATGGCGAAAAGAAATCACTAGGAATTTGCAAACAAACCACTTGTTGGTCACTGGTACTATAACCAACTCCACTCCAACTGAGAAGTTACTAAGTTTCTAAGTATGATAAAAATGCACTTGGTTTAATCAAGAGGGAAATTAGGTATAGTAGTTACAACGGATGTTACTAACGTTATTAAACTTCAATAATTAAGCTTCATAGTTGTAAAAAGTGGTAGCAAAGCATCGGCGTTCCGATAAACACATGTCGACAACTATCATGGCTGACATGCAATGATAACAAAGATAAGCGCGCCAAAATCACACAAGGGTACAAGGGTGCCACTGTAATAAAAAATTGGAGCCATGCGTGCACTGATAAAGCATTTTAGATTTTAGAGGGGCTTCTAGGCTGATGAAGAAACACATTCGGAATTAACAAGAAATAGAACAATTCTCCTCATGCTAATCTAATAATACTGCAACATACGTGGTAGCAATAATGCGGTAATATCAGAAATTCAAAGGTTGTTACCTCGGTGCTCCCTGCTGTGGTGTCCGCAACTCACCAGTCCTCACGGTCAACGAGAGGGGAGTGNCGACAACTATCATGGCTGACATGCAATGATAACAAAGATAAGCGCGCCAAAATCACACAAGGGTACAAGGGTGCCACTGTAATAAAAAATTGGAGCCATGCGTGCACTGATAAAGCATTTTAGATTTTAGAGGGGCTTCTAGGCTGATGAAGAAACACATTCGGAATTAACAAGAAATAGAAAAATTCTCCTCATGCTAATCTAATAATACTGCAACATACGTGGTAGCAATAATGCGGTAATATCAGAAATTCAAAGGTTGTTACCTCGGTGCTCCCTGCTACAAATAAGCGGAAAAACTTGACCAATCAACGGCAAGCGGATAAGCGGATCTTTTTGAAATCCTGGCGATAAATTCAAATAAAAGAGCGGGAACCTATAATTGCGTACGTTTCTTACTTTCTTTTTTTCCCCTGAAGAAGTGTATACTTTTTCAATGTGATTCGTCAAGGATTCTGATGCGGTCAAACTGGCATGGGATATGTCGTATCGCTTATGACAAAAATCTCGGCAGATTTTGAATTTTTAGCCAAAAAAGACGATAGCCCTTGCGCATTCGATTGCAATGATTCCTCGTATGATTCTTTGGGCTCATGCGTCCTTTTTTCGGCTAATAATTCAAAATCTGCTGAGATTTTTGCAATGCGGCAAATCGAACATATCCAGTTCGACCACGTCAGAAACCTTGACGAATCACCTTAAAATTAACTCATATTGACGGTGTAAGTCCGCTACCAAGTATCTCGGTTTGCGACGTCGCGGACTTCCTGTCATACTTCATTTTTTAAACGGAAAACTACTCCACGGCAATTCTTTATAACTGCCATGAGTTTTTTCTCTGTGAGAAGAAAATTCTGCTAAAACTTCAAGGGATAATGTCAATTTGTTCTCCTTTAAAAAAATAATATACCTAGAGGCGGAGATTTTCACACACCGCAAATGAGATACGTAGTTTCGTGGTTGCAGACTTAGGCCGTCGATATACCTTGTTTTATAGATGCCGATATTGGCCGATATTGTTACGCGGGATACATAGAGAAAAAAAAGCGCGGGATAAGCGTCAGAAGCGCTAGGCGTTATATGGCGGCAGACACAAACCAAAAAAAGAATGACGGAGGAGAAAGAAAAAGGTGAATTTAAAACAAAAGAGTGTAAGAAGCGAGGAACATAAAAATTAGTAAAAAAAGAAAAAATACAGAGGTATACAATGAAAAAGAAATTGAGAAAGAAAATTAACCACCCCCGAAAGCAAGGTCTTTAATGGAGAGCGAGGCTTAGCTTATTTTGGTGCATACGCTGTTTTGTCGTCTCTCCAGCACTCATTGACCAGATGTGGCTTTTTCTCGGGGGCTCGCAGTCAAAAAAAAAGCCAGTGGCGTGGCGTGAATTGCGATGTATCGATTGTTATGCCATTTAAACCAATGGTAAAGAATCGAGGTGTTCGCTGCGAACACCCTGTTTATCGATTTTTTTCCATAGGTTTAGATATGGCATATCAATCGATATATCGCAAAGCACGCCACGCCACTGAAAGAAGCATATCAATAAAATTTGTTGGGTGCCTCCATATTTGCTTACTTGCGCCGTATAACCTCTTTCCAGGGTTGAAACTTCAATTATTTAGCAAAGCGATAATATCCAATTTTGCGCAAAAATTAATGAAATTAAATTTCCAACATGTGCTGAGCAGTTTCTTTTGGTTCTGGTGGGTCAAAGTTTCATACCACTATTTGCATTATGAATGCTGCCACAAGCGACTGAGGTGAATTGTTTCGAAAATTGGCAACAGGTCCGGCGAACTTTGACAGTGGGTCTCTCGTCGAAATTTATCAATTCATTTGTCTTAAAATTTTGAATCGCTGGACAAGAAATTTTTTTCGAAGGGTGTGCTTTGCACCAGATGATGTAGAGTTTTTTTCCTGCTGGTTTTATGGCTTCGTATCTCGCACATTCAGCCAACTTTAGACTATGTTTACTGTCCTTAGACATCGAGGGATTTAGGCGCATCCATGCTCGAGGTTTTTCACATTTTCAGGGATTATGGCCGAGTTGAATCTGTTTCAGCAGATTTAATCGTCAATTCCGTGAAAATTAGACGCCACCAAATCAGGGCCGGATTTACCTACTTGCCGCCCATGGGCCGCCTGTATTTTGCCGCCCCCTTCTCATAGTTTCGAAACATCAATAAAAACCATCAAATGAACGTGCCAGCGGGGGTGGAGTGCATAAGACGCGTTTACTCGTGTTGGACACATTTTTTGCGAAAGCCATGTCAACACTACTAGCAAAAGTTCACGGAACTTTGCGCGAAAGTTAAGTTTCGTAAACCTATCCCTGTGTGGACAAGGCCTTCCATTCATAAGAAATGAACGAAAAAATTATGAAAGAACAAACATAAATGTGGATTAATGATTTTTATTTCCGCCGGCGTGCCGCGCTGACCGCAACGTGTTTGGCGCAATGCGTGAAGTATTCCGACAGTCTTGTAGGCGCTGTGATTTTCACGCCGACCGCTGCTGAACGCACTTTGTTTGACGCAATGCGTGAAGTATTCACGCAGTCTTGTAAGCGCTATCCGTTTTACGCTGACCGCACTCTGTTTGATGCAATGCGTGAAGTATTCGTGCAGTCTTGTAGGCGCTAATATGTGTTATATGCCGATTGCCGCGCCGAGGGCTTCTCCTTTTCATCTCAAGTCCTCGTCATCATTTCTCTCTAAGTCGCGCCGTTCCGGGCCAAATTGCGTGTTTTAACTACTTATTTGGTTTCTCCTGGTAAATAATTAAAGGACCTGTCTCTTGTATCTCTAAAAGACGACAAAATTAGAAATTATTATACTCTCAGGAAATGAGAGATTTTGTCGCCTTATCTCGTTTGTAATTTTTTTTCTAAATCCAATTTTTTTTTAATACCTGCATTTAAAAAAATTGCAAAATTTGCCGCCATGGGCCGCGGCCCATGTGGCCACCCCCTTAATTCGGCCCTGCTGGAATTCGAACCCGGGACCTATTGACCTAGACTCAGACGTGCTGACCACTGAGCCAACCTGGCCGGCAGTGATGTAGAATCATCCCCTCTGAGTCACGGTGTAGGTATCCCCCCCCCCCCNTACATTGAGGTACATTTTGCCGAACTCATCGTGAGTCACGAATATAATCTAAATTGAAAAGCGCATGTAGGTAAGTTTTCTTCTTTTTGTCAACTTGTGACGTTCATGCAAGTGCCTACCCGCACTCGCACAGGAAATTTTTATAGCTCTTTCGTTTCGGGATCGAGAGCGTTCAAATAAAAACATCAGCGGACACGCGGTAAAATTTACTCGCCCATAGACGCAACTGCCGGCAATTAGACAGAATATAACGACACTAATTGATTAAAGTCAATAATTGCAAAACCGCAGGTGGCGATATCCAAAAATTTAATAGCCCTACCCGATTGTGTCAGCGTTGAGTTTCTTCTACTTTAAAATATTATAAGTACCGCGGAAAAACCGTGAAAAAATAGAAAAACAACTACATAAAAATAAAGGGAAAGGAAATAAGATATTCCCTGTATCGAGCGGGGACTTTTGGATCATGCATTCGTCTGTATTTGACCGCCCCAAAAACGGACCGAACCAACATCGACGAAATATCAAACACCATCAACGGTAATTGAGGAAAAAGTGGAACGAAACCACGCAAATAAATTGCTGGGCGGAGAGCAATGTTTACACTATGAAATAAACATAGGAGACTCTAATTCATCGACGCACCTGACCGAGGTTATAAGAACGACCGGATCGCCCTTTCGGCGACTGGTTCTCGACTTTCAGACCACCTCGCACTACTCCTCACCCAGTTCCCTCGTGATAGTGTTCATTCCCTCCAAGTGAATCAAACCGGACGCGCGATGCTCCTGTTGAAACTCAACCCTCTCGTGATCATAGCATCCCTGTTGGTGTTCCTCGCTTTGGTCGGCCTCTCCACCTCGCTCCCGACGGAGAGGAACGACGCGCCGATGACCAAACACGCGGAAAACGCGCTCCATAGCGTCGGAGAGGGCGGTCAAGCAGCAGTCAATGGGGCGGCTAGGGCCACCAATGGGGTCATCGGCACTGTTGTGCGGTGAAATCCTCGGCAGAGTCAGAGTCCGATAGTCATCCAGCACAGAGATCGGATGGCTCCATGATCAGCCTCACTTCGTCAAGTTGAAATTTCTCTGTTTTTTCACACACAAAAAAATTATAAAAATAAAAGGTATTTTGTACCCAGTCGATGTTGCGAGTTTTTTTCTTCCTGCAGGACTACTTACGGCGTTTTACTGTATGTTTAACCGCATGGAAATAATTACTCTACACGTGAATCACGTGATTCAATTAATTCAAAGTTTCAACCTTTCGTACGTTTAAAAAGACGCTATTCCCCGCCTATCTGATCGAGGAGGGAGGGGAATTACGGTTGTTGTGGGATTCTATGCAGACACCCCCCCCCCCCCCCCTCTAACGCAGCGCCCCGTCGCGTCACTACTACGGCGGCTTTTTCCTTCTCTTTCTCATCATAAGAGCAGTTTCGTACCGTTAAAGTACCGCATCGGTACCAGTGGCGCACAATTGGTNGGGGGGGGGGGGGTGTTGAGCAAAATTCGGAAACTTCAAAAGCTCAAAACTCCATTTACAAAACTTTGGGGCTCTGAAAGTGGTTCCATTGGTTTTTTCGTGAAAATTCCATCGAGAGCCAGCCCTTAAAATTTCAAATCGACGGTGAAACTACCAAACCATGTATCTCGGTTTGCGACGTCGCAGACTTCCTGTCATACTTTATTTTTTAAATGAAAAACTACTTAACATCCGGTCTTGAAAATTTCTGTGATTTTTCCTCTTTGTGCGGAGAAAATTCCGTGAAAATCTCAAGGAATGATATTGATTTGGTCTACTTCAAAAAAATAAAATGTGAGCGTATATTTTTAAACACCGCAAACGAGATACGTGGTTTGGTAGTTTCACCGTCGAAATGTGACGGAAGCAACAAAGCAGTTTTACTGGAAAATTTCATGTCCGACCTCTTTGATTGACTCGATCCACTTTGTGGCGTGGCGTGCTTTGCCACATATCAATTGGACGTTTTCTGTCAAACGGAACTAAGCGCCAATCTGAGTTCCTCTTGAGGAACTCAGAATGCCGGATAGCGCGTTCTGTCAAACGGAACTAAGCGCCATGGAAAAGCATTGCGAGTATAGGACGGAACGAGCCCGACACCCGATTCCGCCGCCAATCCAAGCCCCCCCGTTACCTTCCTCCTCCGATGGCGCTTAGTTCCGTTTCACAGAAATACGTCCTACTAATCTGTCATTTAAACCTATGGAAAAGGATCGATAAACAGGGAGTTCGCAACGAACACCTTAACCATCGATTCTTTACCATAGCTTCCGATGAGGAAATATCGATAATCGATCATTCACGCCTCGCTACTGATCGGCACTGAAAATTGAACCCCTTGCCCCCGCCCTAGGTGACGAGTCCGAAGGGTGCGGTTTACGTGCAAAAAAAATTATGTATATAAAGAAAAGAAGAAAACCTTTCTAAACTGAAATTTAGGAAGTTTAACAGCGGGTGTCTTAGACTAATCAAGTGGTAAAAATAAAAGGATTTCCAGCACTTCGCTTTTTTTTAAAACTGTCTATTACGACCGTAGGGAGAGAAATTAATTCCAACTTCCAACCCGTTAATCCGCCTTCAATTTCATTGCATACCATTGAACATACACTACAATATTAGCGACAGAGCACAGGGGAGAATTTCATGAGCTGCCCTGCGCCGCACCGTCTGCAGCGCGCACGACCCGCCTTTCATTATTACACTTCATCTAGCGTTGAGAGTTCACTAATTACTTCACACGACTAGTGTACAATTTTAAAAGAATAAAATAAAAAATTTACACGATACACGAGTTTCTCCGCCAGGGATGAGCTCTCCCCGCAAAAAATCGTTTACCACCCGCCCGTCGGGAACGCTGCGGCGTGCTGCCAGCGCGAAACGCGCACTTGACGCCTACAAACCTAAAGGGCTACTTCACGCATTGCGCAATGCTTGAAGTATTCCCTTAGGTTTGTAGGCGTCAGTACGCGTTCCGAGCTGGCAGCACACCGCGCCGCGCCGCAGCGTGCCATAAACTTGCCTACAATTTATACGTCAGGGTGTCAAAATGTAGGTAATTTGACATCAAATTCGAAATTAGCGACTCTGAAAACATTTGATGCGAAACTTTCGTGTCTTTCAGTCATTGTCCGACTTATTTCTTCCTATTCTTGAGTTTTGGATCATAGTGCGCCGCGGGTGGCGACTCAAGAAATTCTCCCCTGTGCTCAACGTACCTAATAATAGCGCCGCGCCGCGCATAAACATTTGCGCGCTTTTTTCTGATTGGCCGCGGCTGAAAGGGTAGAATCTCATCTAAGGAAACACTGCAAGGTTTCATTCAACACTTTATTAAATTACTGAAAATGGTTGCAAATTGTCTATCGAAATTTTTTGTGAATAGTCTTCTTGTAAGTCGATGATTCGTTTTTGTTTCCACGTATACCGGTATCAATATGTAAAAAGCAAGCTGTCAGATGAAACTTTGAAACATTGCACTACTGCAAAACATGAGCAATGCTTGGCAAGTTTGTCAACTTACATATTTTGCAAACTAGCTTCCGTCGATGTGCCTTCAATTTCATTGCATACCATTGAACATGCACTGCAGTAAGTTCTGCTTCGCGCATGAGCAATCGCGCACTTTTCTCTGATTGGTCGCGGCTTAAGCTTCATGGATTGCATCATGTTTTGTTATGGTCAGGTGTACGATGCGAATGAATCTGAACTTGTGACTTGTCCCATACTTATACTTCTTTATCGGATTCACAGCGTATCAGTTTCATAGTTCATCATGACTTCTTTTCACGACTTTCTTCGTGGTGTATTTGGATTGAACAGACATAACTCCGATCAAAATCAACCAAAGTAAGTCACAAACTTTATTTTCGATTCAAACCTAACCTAAAATGTAGGTAATAGGATTATTCTTCGGAAACTTCTAGCAACTTCCTCCGTATTCTTTTTCCATTATAAGGCCAATGTCATAATATGAGGTTTTTTACTAATTCTTTTATTTTTTCTACGAGCACGGCAGAGTAAACCTTTGTCAATCCGAGATTAGTTAACAAGGAAGATGATGCGATATGCCAAAAACGTTGACCTCCTCATGAAGGCTGGATGAGAGCAATTCTGTACCTATCCACTGAGTGGGTGGATTGCAGCATGCTGATTATTAAAATTGGTAGACGGTGTGGTAGACAAGTTAAAAATGGAGCAATTATATTGATTGAAAGGGTGGCTCTTTCAGAACAAGTAGGATAATGATGGATTAAGTACCTACGACATCTCATGTGGGTTGCCGTTAGTTAGTCTATTACTCACCTTCATCCTCCGTTGACACCTCCTGCTACCACCTAATAAATTGCCTCATTTTCCCTCTGGCCTCCTTGCCCGTTGCTTTGTATATTAATTTCAATGATCAATCCTCAGTAGAAAGTAATTGGAGCTATCACCTCAATGTATAACTTTCCCAGAGCAGGATTGGCACATTATGTAACAGCTCCAAACCCTGTATCTCGGGGTTAGTTAACATAACCAACTTTTTTACGGACACAAATTGCTTAATTAGCATGTCGAGATCATAAATAACCTGGGCCAGATTTAGTGGGGGTTCAAATGGGCCATGGCGAATTTTGCAATTTTTTAAACAGAGATATACTTAGATATAAAGAAAAATTCAGAGTCAGAAAAAAAAATTATGAATGAGTTAAGGCCCATTTGGACCCCCACTAAATCTGGCCCCGGTTATTTGTGATCTCGACATGCTAATTAAGCAATTTGTGTCTGTAAAAAACTTTTGCTCGTGTGGACAGGGCTTCCAAAGAAAATACGTTCAACACGAGTAAACACGACATGTGCACCCCCCCTCCCCTCTGGGACGTCCATTTGATGGTCCTCATTGATCATCTTTATTAAAATGGATGAGAAAGGGGCAGGAAAATGCAGGCGGATTATAGGTGGCAAATAGGTAAATCCGGCCCTGCAAATAACTTGATTTTTCTAAGATCATCAGTAGGTAACATTTCCTTGGCTCTTAACTATTGATATCATTTTATTACAGCTCTTCATGTTATAATGCTTGAATTCACAATTTCACACACATTGATTTTTTTTTTTTTCATGAAGTACATCTTGTAATTAAGTTGTATTTTTTTCTCTAGTAGGTCTGAAAGTGGTGTACCAAGCGATTTCACAAATTCTCTATGGCAGAATCAGGAAGATGATGTCACTGAAGATCAACTCAGGTTTGATTTTAATTTTGTATTGCACCCATGGCCATCAAAATAGGTACTAAGAATAACCTTTGAGTCAGTGCCAGGCCTGCCACATCCCATCTCGGGCCCTGGTTCCAATTCTAAGGTCTGGGCTCCATGAATGCCACCCGCCTCCCCCTGCCTCCATACTACCAAAAAAACAATTTCTACATCATGAAAATCAATAAAGTTAGAATAAAGATACAGTAATTAAAGTAAATAAATGTTCGATAATTTTAAGGAGAGAAGTTTATTCACATTCAACCAAAAAATTTATGCACTAAAAATCTTGAAAGTAGATAGAAATCTTCAAAGCAGTAAAAATAATCACAGTGCCCCAGCGTGTTTTTGAAAATTTATTGGCCTTCTGCGAAATTTTCAGGGTAAATTTTTCACTTTTCCTTACGAGACCATGGTTAAGTATATGTCTATTCCAAGTAGTGTGTCTGCGGCAGCACGGGCCCCAGCACCAGGAACTCAGTATCCTCACCCTTGTGGCAGACCTGGGCAGTGCATTTTTATATTCATAGTAACTCACCAGGAGTTCGTGATGCTCATATTTCCATTTTTCCATAACTTAACCGAACCTTGGAAATTTATTTACTCTGCAGTATGATTCTGCAGATCATTTTGAGTAAAAAACTGCCCCTTTCAATAACTTTGCAATGAAAGTCACATAGTAAATGTGTAGACCTTTTGGGGTTAAAAAAGAAGAAATCCCCTCCAAGTATCTTGTTTTTATAGCAGAAATATGTGAGACTTCCGTGTTTGTGTGAGCAGCTCGGAGACAACTAGTGGATTTTGGTTTTGCTCCTGAAGTTTCAAGAATCACACAGTTAAGTGCTGTGTTCAAAAAGTGAAGTATAATGGGGAGTCCATAACTGCAACCGAGGTACAAGTTTTTCTAGTTTAGTCATCAATATTAACCTATATCAAAATTAATCATAAATAATATAAATATTTATTTGTCAAAGTGTGTGTGCAAGTATGCGAAGAGAGAGGAAGAGGGCTCTAAATTCTGATTTTTTTGTGGTTTAAGAGGCCTAAGCATCCAAATGTTTTGGTTTCTCGCGAGAAGGAAAAATAGAGGCTCTGCAACTTGTGCATATGCAACTGGGCTAATTGCGTGATACAGGTGAACACTTTGAGAACATGGAAAAATAGGGGAAGGCTATCAGATGGTCATGATGTTTTAATTTTTTGACATTTTTGAGGTGGAAAAGCTAGTTGTGTGGGAAATGAGTTGAAATCATTTTTGGTGGTCTGAAAGGATAAAGTAATGATAAAATTAGCCGAAATTGGAGTAAAACCTTCTTATTTTGGGAGGAAAACTTGAAACCCTCTCAAACCTGAAGAAAGTACCTAAAAATAATTCGTCCATGAACAGTAACATCTGTTTCTTCCAATATTAAGTGTGGAATGAATATCACCCTCATAATCTCTTTGTAGCTTTGCATTATTTTTGATCAATGTCTGAACCTGATTATTTTAATATTCATGTTATTTTTTCTGCAGGAGAGGTCCAATGATTGGTTTTCACATTTTCACAAATCCTGTAGAGATACATCGTTACTTTGAAAAGCAGCTCGATGAATTCATGAAAGGTTTCCAACAAAGTGGTTTTGGCGATGGTAAGTTGTTCAGTCAATAGCATATTTATGGTGAAACTGCAAGAAAGCGTATCTCAGTTACAGTGTTTCGTAATCTCCATTGTAATTTAGTTTCTAACAAACAAACATCATGGCTTGAAAATTACTTAAAATATTTTTCTCATGAAGAAGAAAAATCATGGAAGTTCTCAAGAAATTAAGTTTAGTAGTTCTCTATGTATAAAATAAAGTACAACAAGAAGTTTGCAATGCTGCAAACTGAGCTACGCATTCCTTCAGTTTCACCATCGATAAATTTGTAAGGTGCACTAATCTCTTGAAATTAAAATAAGGGGCCCTTTAAGTATTTTTAAAGATCTGATAATTCTTGGAAGGTACTTTATGTCCTCTCTTTTTCAGGCAGTGTTCTGCTCCAAATGATATGGTTAACTTGTCGTCACCTTAAATTGAGTCACAGCTCTGTGACTTAAAATTACTCTCTAGAGTAATTTTAGACAATACCAACCTTTGTTTACTATCCTCTGTCTGTACAAAGATAGAATCATCATTGACTTCCGTTTTCAGAGGAGTTATGATGAGACCAAGCTGAAATTGACCTCTGTGATTTGTTTATTCCAACATTTGACTGCACTTATTGCACCCTCACAAATCTGAATTTACAAGGGTAGTCAGCAAGCGGATTGAACTTTAATGCTCAGTTTGAAATTTAATCAATGTTAAACATGATAAAGAGTATCATATTTTCAATGCAGCTTATCCCATTGGTTTTTTTTTATCTAGGATGTATTTTTTTAATCAAGTGACAAAGTCAAACCTTGGCTCAGTCAACAGTTGGCAGATAAAAAAAAAGAATTTTCGCAAATGTAGGTTCAAATTTTTTGGAAGTTGAAATTGCACAAAATGCCCCACCTAGAACTTGAGCCAGCAATACACCTTCCTACTTTTAATTTTGAAATTAGGATAACAGGGATACATCGACTGTAGTATTTCAACATTTATACTTAAATTTTACCCCTTGCATAATAACAAACCTCCTTTACCAGATTTTTGTAAATTTGCTTGTTTTTTGTCAAGCAGAAAAAATGTATGTAAAATATGTAAGAATGATGATTCAGTTTTCTTTATTGAAGTGAACTCTAGTAGAATTCGGAAAAAAGAATTGTTTTTGTGTTAAAATTAGAGTCTTAGTTCCACAATCACTTTTTTCATACTTTTTGATAGTTAAATTGGCCCTTCATTCCATATTGAGGGTGAAACTGCATGGGTATCTCAGTTGCGGTGTCTCAAAATCGCCTCTCCTATCTCATTTTTCATTTTTCATTTTTCATTTTTCCTCTTTTAAAAGGAGACCAAACCAACATCATGGCTTGAAATTTTCACAGAGTATTCTTCGCATAGAGAAGAAAAATCGCCGAAGTTTTTAAAAAATGACTTTAAGCTGTTTTCTATGTAAAAAATGAAGTATGACTGGAAGTCTGCAACGCTGCAAACCGATATATGCATTTCTGCAGTTTCACCATTGATTCGATATTGAAATCAGTGTTACCTAAGTATTTATTACCTTTTAAGAATTGACGACTGTTGTCGAGAAATCGTGATGTTTGACACTTGATTAAACTTTTCTTTCATCATGGTACTGGTTGAAGTTTCTTTCTCATAGGCTCTCTTATTTGAAATTCACTTCATGGTGAAATATTTTCCTTTTTAGATTTGAGTAATGTGGCTGTTGGCATAGAAAATATTCAATGGCATTGTAACTATTCTGTCTCATTTCTCGTTTTTTTTTTTTTTTTTTTTTTTTTTTTTTTTTTTTCTCGTCGTTCCTCTCTTTTCAGACTTTGGTGAAATAGGCTCCACTTTGGATACTTTCTTCGGTGATTTCAACGGCTCTATTCCAAATGGCTCTGACAAATTTGAGGTGCCTCAACTAAAGGAGAAAATACAACCATCTGAAGATAAGGATTTGCGAAACTTTTATTTAAAGCCAGAATTTAAATCCCCAAGTAATGGTGTAGAAGACTTTAGAGATACTGATTTAGATGGAAAGTAAGTAGTAAGACTTTATTCCTTAGATTGGATAGTAAATGCGACTTAGAGCACCCAAATAAAAAGACAAGTCAGGTTGTTACAATGTAAGAAACCATAAAGGTTTCAAAACACTAGAAAAAATGTCTCACAAGTAAGGCCATAGGTATGTACTAAAAAAACCATGAAATGTTACCCACTTCTGGAACTCATTATAATTGCTAATATCAGTAAATTACTCAGTATGAATTTATTAATTAATTTCTGTAATTGTAAAACCCTCTTCGTTTTTCTTTTTTGAAAATAGAATTGACCCCAAAGATGTTGGAGAAATTCTTTCAAGGCCATCAGATTCTTTCAGCTCTATATTTGATCCTTTCTCCTCGGAGACGCATCCACGCATATCAATGTTTGGTAAAATGGTGACAAGTAAAACCATCCGCCATCCTGATGGGGTAAGTTCTCAATGATATTATTGATACGCCGATTGCCAAGGCTTTTTTGGTCTTAAATCCTACAGAGCCAACACCGGTCCTAAGAGACTGGCATTTCTAAAACTGAAGTTTGTTAGCCTCTTGTAGCTTCTTCAGGAGCCAGTGCTATCTGTTGGCTGGCTAAATATTCAAACTTCTCATTGTTTCTTGAAGAATATGTAACGGTAGTCCCTCTCTACTTTCTATATTTCTTGCCAGTTTTCTGCTTATATCAAATCTAAACGAAGCATAGTATAGTAATCTTTAGTAGTCTCGTTTCCACATCATCATTAAAGCAGCAATATATTGCACCTTCATGTCAGATTTTCAACATTTTAATATGGAGTCAAAATTTCATGCAGTCATAGTTTTTTCCCTGTCATCTCGTCCTCTCATTTTTGAGTTCAATATATTGTCATTTTTTCAGACGGTTGAAACTCAGAAGACAGTGAAAGAAAGTCAAGGGAAAGAAGAAAAGATCACAACTTTTCAAAAAGGAGACCAAACTTACTCAATCACTATCCTGAAGGATGCAGATGGTGAAGAAAAGCGTTTTGAAAATTTCATCAACATTGATGAAGGTATTTAATCTAATTTTCTTACACTGTATAGGAGTGAGGGGTAAACAACGATGTAGAAACTATATGTAGGGGGATTCTATGCCACGCCAATGGTGACTTTTGCAATACCCTAGGAGCAACCATTAGGTTAGGACGAGGATAGTCGATTTCCATGGCTTCTTATGAGAGTGTTGCTAAACAATGACTTACATCAAATTTGCAACCAACTGTTTGAAAATCTGTGTCTAGATATGAAACCTAGTTATTCTTCTAGTGAGTTTACGATTAAAATTTCAACGCTAAATCATTTATTGTAAAAACTCCCGTAAGATCCCACATAATTGAGGTTATGACGAAGATACCAATTGCCCATTTTCACTCCCCGCCTGCCTATCAAATGACCGCTCCATGCGTGTTATGTTTTTTCGTAGGCCACCACCAATCTACAGTTTCTAGATCGTTGGGGGTAAAGAAGGAAAATCAGGCTACACAAAATCTGAACCAAAAAACTTTAGGTGGCCATTGAATTTATTTAGTATTTGTAAAGAGCGACGCCAAGAATGGCACAATTTGGGCCAGAAGGGATTTTTCTGAAACCGGGCCCAAACGATACCTTATGATACCCTAAAACTCTGGTAAAAATTTTAGCTTGAGTATACGCCCGGTTTTTGAGAAATGGGGGGGGCAAAGTTGCCAAATCGCCATCATTCTGGACAGCATTTTTACAGCAAAAAGACGGGGAAAATGGACGAAAAAGTTACACTATTGATGGGTTCGGGCTGTAAATGTTCTTATTGAGCCCCCGTGCATGTAACTGTGTTCAGTTTCAAAAATTTTGGACGTACAGTGGTCCAAAATGGGGAGAAATCGTGGACAGATAAGGATTCTTTGTCAAACTTTTTAAAAATGGAAGTAAAATTGTTGGTCTCCTGCAGAGATCATGGGGAACAATGTTCTTATCGGTCTTCAATGCATTCAATTGAGTTCAGTTTATCAAATTTTCATCGAACAATGGTCCAAAATGGGAAATCAGTGGACAAATTAAGATCTTCTGCCTAACTTTTTAAAAATGATGTACGACTATTGGTCCCCTGCAGAGATCATAGGGAACAATGTTCTTATCAATGCATTCAATTGGGTTCAGTTTATTAAATTTTCATCGCACAATGGTCAAAAATGGGAAATTAGAGGACAAATTAAGATCTTCTGTTGAAATTTTTGAAAAATAACATGAAACTATGAGGTTTTTCACTAGATTCGAAAGGTGTAAATTCAAAATAAGTTAGTAGCCAATGAAAGCTATCCATGTTCACTGTTTTGAACTGAACAAATGAGGTCTGGAAACGGTAATTCAGGAGGAACTTAGCTTTTGGATCCTTAAAATCCGGCTAACTGGGTGTTTTTTTTCCTAGTTAGTTGTCAGAGAATAATTGTAGTTAGAATAATACTTTACAATAAATCCTTTCTAAGGATTTAGGAAAGGTTAGGTTAGGTTAGGTTAGATTTCGACAGAAGATCTTAATTTGTCCACTAATTTCCCATTTTTGACCATTGTGCGATGAAAATTTAATAAACTGAACCCAATTGAATGCATTGATAAGAACATTGTTCCCCATGATCTCTGCAGGGGACCAATAGTCGTACATCATTTTTAAAAAGTTAGGCAGAAGATCTTAATTTGTCCACTGATTTCCCATTTTGGACCATTGTGCGATGAAAATTTGATAAACTGAACTCAATTGAATGCATTGAAGACCGATAAGAACATTGTTCCCCATGATCTCTGCAGGAGACCAACAATTTTACTTCCATTTTTAAAAAGTTTGACAAAGAATCCTTATCTGTCCACGATTTCTCCCCATTTTGGACCACTGTACGTCCAAAATTTTTGAAACTGAACACAGTTACATGCACGGGGGCTCAATAAGAACATTTACAGCCCGAACCCATCAATAGTGTAACTTTTTCGTCCATTTTTCCCGTCTTTTTGCTGTAAAAATGCTGTCCAGAATGATGGCGATTTGGCAACTTTGCCCCCACATTTCTCAAAAACGGTGCGTATACTCAAGCTAAAATTTTTACCAGAGTTTTAGGGTATCATAAGGTATCGTTTGGGCCCGGTTTCAGAAAAATCCCTTCTGGCCCAAATTGTGCCAAAAAACGGTCGTTTTTGGCGTCGCTCTTTGTATTTATATGTTGAAAAAACAGACTTACTAACACTGAAATGTATTCTGTTTTACAAATTTCCCCTGGAAAGTAGACAACTTGTGTTCTTTGTAGGTATAAATTATTCCTGTCTAAGAAACAGGAACTCATTCATGAATTTTCATCTTCACTTGTCATCAACGAATATTTTCTTTCTCTTTTTCCAGATAAAATTGAGGACTTTAAAAAGAATTTCGATAGCAACAAACCCATGCTTCCTCGTCCTGACGAAAATCCTAGTAGTCTACTTGGCCCTCCCGCTGGCAGATCTGATGATCTCTCATACTGGTTCAACAAGTTTTTCAAGAATTAAGGTTGCTTCTCCCTCCTTTAAAATGTCTTTCAAATTTTCTGTTCGTTATTAATTGTTTGATTTAAGGTTATCCTATTATATGTAGGTACAGAGAATATCAAGATTTTTCTCGAAAGTGAGATATCACCAATTTTTCATCTTCCTAAGAAATATCCATTGTTGTGATATGGAACTTTCTCTCTCCATTACTGTGTCTCAAAACTTCCACTCCCGTATTACTTTTTCAAAAAGAAATAAGCCGACTTTATAGCTCGAAATTTTTACAGAATATTCTACCAACAGAAAAGAAAAATCAAGGAAGTTTTCAAGCCTTCGTTGACTTGTTTTCCAAAGTGAATATAAAGTATGACAGGGAGTCTGCAATGTCGCTAACGGATTATGATGTATGGAATTGGTGCCTGCAGTGATTATTATGCAGAATATGAGAATCCGTAGAGATGATTTGATTTCTTGTCCTAGTTGAAATCTATTATGTTAGACCCAGCTGCTTTGTAAAAAAAAGTTACACATTTTAAAATAATTTTTAGAGGGTAGTCGAATCTTTGGTCACTCAAAGGAAAGAAGCAAGGACGTGTTTAAGATATTCACACCAGGATCTTCATGGTATATCTCCATCAATGTACAATTTTGAAAAGATCCTAAGAGAAAACTGGGGAATATTCCCTTGTTAGAGGGAATGAAACGCTTGTTTCGAGGTTGAGCTACCCATTTTTTGGCTATTGATCAAAACATAGCTAAATTTGTTACAAATTCCCTCCAATTCCTTTTAGTTAGAATGTCAAAGAGAAGTGATAACTTTGCTCTAACTTCCCTGGAGCAAATTTAGATTATGATCTCAGGAGAAAAGTGCACAGTCATCTTTGCCCTATATGGACTACATTTTGCAACTAGGGAGTAAAATTTTTGGCTCATCTGGTAAACCTCTTATGTGCATAAGGAAATTAATGGTTCATACAGTGTTCCTAGAATGAGCCAGAAATTGTAGTTTCTGATCGCAAAATATAGTCCTCATGATTCTTGTCAGTAAGTCCCCTGCGCACACGTTTTCTACCATTCTAAAGTTTCACATCTTCTTTTCTCATCAGAAGTCACTAAATTATGTCTGGTTCAAACTAACGTTTCAGATTCTAAGGAACAACCCAAGTCCATCCTGATTTTAGTCATGTATCAATTAATATTTTAAATGATGGTCAACTAGATGATAGTCCCCCTCAACTGCAGTTAAAAGTAGCAAGAGATGATTTCTAAGTTTTATTGCTTTCCAAATTACTCGCAAGAAACTTGTTTGCAAGTCACTGTCATTCAGAATGGAAGCAAGTGACATTTATTTTTTTAAGTATCTCAAAATTCTTAAAAATATCCATGTATGCGATGTATCGCATGCCAGTTCGACCATGTCACTTGAGCTTGACAAATCACCTTAAGAGTTATTGTCCTTCCTTTATGTCTCATGATTTTGTTCCTGACGGATCCATCTATGATGAATTCGAGTTTCAATAAAGAACTTTTGTTTTGTTTTAGATTATTTTTGTATTGCATAATTTCCTTTGTCACCATTTGAAAACTTATCATCAATGACGGGCTAAGTGCCAAAAAGTTAATTCTGAGTTTTTTACATTTTTACTTCATGATAACTGGTACAGCACAAACTACTAACGTTATCCTCTGGACGTTATACGTATCACTCTGTGATCTCTGGAAATTAGTTCGTTATTCTGATTGTTGTTCTTGGAGCTTAGAACGAAAATTGTCCAAATCAGTTTCCTATTTTTTGGCACTGAGCCCATTATTGATAAGTCGTCATTTGTTTTCTTATAAAACTTTACTTTTTAAGTAAAGATTTCAGGCATGCAGTTTTTTTTGGCTATCAAAGAATTTGAACTCTGGATCCCTTTGCTAAATACAGCACCGAGAGGCAAATGCTGCAGCAGTATTTCATCATCCAACAATTGAAACTCTCATGCTCGTTTCTCCAAACGTTTCCTCTTTTCTACAGGGCTGAGGATCCAAATTGGCATTTAAAAATTTAAATCGATACCATGAAATCTTGAGAAGATGAGTTTTTTTCTCCGATCCCATCAATTTTCCCCACGTAAATAGTGTAATCGAATTTCGGTTTTATGAGATATTGGTTTTCGTTTAAGTTGGAAATTCGTTAATATCTGACACATTTTTTGGTCCTGTCAGAATAAGAAAAAAAAGTTGCGAGTCACGCAATAGCAACATACACCACCCAACGCCAAGGTTAAGACATCATTCCTCCTGATATTAAAATGATCTGAAAATAATTTATTTTAAATATAACAGTTGTAACTTTATTTAAAATCCACCAAGTTCACAAACAAATATTACTGAGAGTCCATTCTCATAACAAATGAAATTATTTACAGGATACACATACATATACAGGATACACATGATGAAGAGAAGGAAAACGCAGCATTCTGCAAGACACCACGTTATGGTACTTACGGTAGAATGGTCCACTTCTAGTAATTAGGAAAAACGAACGGCAGTGCCCCTTGAAGTTGACACCTGAGACTAAAACGTGTCGAATCATTTAAGGCATGACAGTGGATATCTGTTTTGGCAGTTTATTTTTTAGAAAGAGGACTTACAAACGTACAAACTTCCCACGATTTCTTTCTTTATTGCACAGCGCAAATAATGTGACGCACGGAATTGACCTCCACATAGGAGACCTCTATGGGCGATCCACAATATTATTTCAGGAAGCTTCATATTCGCTTAATTTTCAAGGGACTAAAATTGCAGTTAAGTTTGCTATCTATGGATACACCTCATCAAGAGGTTATCTTTTTTTGGCTAGCAGTCTAAAACACTGTCTGATGCAATGTTAAAATAGAGACGAGGCAACTTTCCTCATGCCAAAATGGACCACTCCATGGATACAGATCCTCGTAAAATGAAAATACACTCGGATGCTGGAGCTTTTCTCTAAAGCTTCATTATGAATAAGTGCCTTCCAATCAAATCGTTGGCCTCAGTTCAAAAATACAGATCAGGCTATGCAAATTTGCAAAATATCTACCCTTGATATTTTATCCTTGCTTGAGGAAACAAATTAACTTTCATCTTGAACTTCTTCCATACGATACTATTTTCTCTTAGACCTTCAAGCATTTAAGTTGGACAGTAATCCGGTAAAAAAATAAGACGCGAATAGAAATGTTGATATGTTTCAATTTCAAACTGAAGTCATGGGCATTTTTCAATAATTACAAAAGAATAGATTTAAGAATGGACTGAAGTATTTAGAAAACCGACTTCTTGCATAAAAGTCTGAGTCTCATGTTTTACCAATGGAAAATTTAGATACATTTTCGTTTTAAATGAGAACAGTGCAGTTTCCTCGGCTTAAAATTTACATTACTTATTTTTCAACAAGGTTTTGAGGAATTTTCAACAATATAGCTTCATTTGACATAATAAATGAACAGTCCAGTCTCGGTTTTTTACAATTTTACAATCAGAGTCTTTACAAGGTTGGTGCTGAGATGCAGAAAGTATTAGGGCTTTTCTCCTGAAACTGCGATTTGTACAGATAGCAACGTCCAAGTTTTACCTAACCCTAATGAAACATGGAATTTCGCTTCCACATCCGCAAATCGAAACATAGCCTGAGGTAAAATATTGTCCACCTGACCCTCAAGTACAAAGAACAAGTACGCTTCAATACTTCAAAACTTTTTCATACATAATTCCTTGACATTTTTCTTCATTTTACCATGAAGCCTTACGACCTGATACGATACACATAGATGATTTGGGAATTTTCCATACTTCGCACAGTTTTCGGAGTGTAATTTTGAGAGAAAATAAGTTATCATGTATAATGCTGACATTCATATCCTAACCACATGCTCATTAATCAAAATCATCAATTAACTTTTAAACCTGCTGTGCTGGATTCACCAAGTATTTTCTGCTTAATAAGTTAGTAGGGCTTCATAGAAACCAAGGAAGCCAATCTGCCAAAAACGCTAAATGAGCCTTCAGACGTTGCCAAATATCCTGGTATAAAATACGAATTGAAAGGGAAAGTTCTCAGTTTAATCTAAAATTTCAAGTAAAAGTGGATGTATTTATGCCGAAAGGAACTGTGTGCATAAGGTTTGCATGCAACATAGTTCCTTTTAGCATAAATACGTCCAAGTATTCATAACTTCTCTCAAAAATACTTATCAGGGAAAATGTGGCAACATCCAGATGCACATACAGCGTTTTTACTCGACACAGCAGAATGGTAGAACAGTTGGACCACATTTGGCAATTTGGAACTAAAATTTCTGGCTCATCTGTAAAAACGCTTATATGCCTAGGGAAACTAATAGTACAAACACTGTTTCTGAACAGAGCAAGAAATTATAGCTACTAATTGCAAAATGTTGTCCAGTTGATTCTAGGTTGGAGGAACAAGAACAAATTGGAGCAAAAGCTCAATCGTTTGGGACACAGTTTATTTATGTCCATATTGATTAGTTGCTGGGTGGTTGTTATCGAGTTTAATGGGTAACCATCTTATAATATTAATGGATGAAGGTGATCTTGTGATCCATCAGCTGAAAATATTATTCTGGTCCAGTTTGCTCAAATCAAAACTACCTTCAAGCAATCTAAAATCATCAATATCTAAAATAACGAGGAACCTAAAATTGAAGAAGCAACATCATACTGTTCCTTGAACTCAGCAATAGCATCAAGCGAGGAGAATACATATTTTTTCATCAAATTTTGAAAAATAACATAACAAAAATTTTTCATCACTACTAAAGAATGAATCTGTTCTAGAAATCATTCGTGACATCATCTTGACTAATTGAGGATTTGCACCGATTTAATACTAAGCCAACATTTTTCAGTAGTACAGCTCACATGAAATATAACACAAGCCTGCAACAATATTTTTTGCGTTTTAAAACACTAAGGATTTGATAGTTGATTCCTATGTAATTTTTCGCACTGAAAAAGAATCTAAAAATTATCTCAGTTTCCTCTCCACACCTACCACTTTTCTAGAAACTTGGTACATGATAGAGAAGAACAAGGGTTATTTCTGGATTCTGCAGCTTCAAATACAAAGGTAGACACATAACACATGCCTGAACAATTTCCCTGCTGTGTCTGAGAGCCAAGATTCTCCGGACACTTGGCATATTCCGCCCATACACTAACATGTAAAAACTTAGCCCCTACGTTTTTGTCTAAAAATACATGAAAATTATTTGATCAATGTGTCTAATGGAAACACTCCCGCTTAATTTTTGCTGCTAAATTCGGAGATGACATCAGTTATTTTCCATCACCTACCAATTTCCCGGATGATCTAATTTTAAAAAATTAAGATTTTACATGCCAAAAAATGCATGTTTTTGGAAAATTCGATTTGCAAGGAAATTGGCGGCTAATGAGAAAAAACTGAGAATATCGCATTCAGCACCAAAAATTAAATGGAAGCAGCTAAAAGAAATAATATTCCCAATCTGTCAGACAAAAACCAAAAGATAAGTTTTACGAAGGGGTACATGGGAAAATCATGTCATAAGAGCGGAAAAACTTCATCAGACACAACTTTAAAATTGTTAAGGCATGCAATACATGCTTTCGGTGTATTTTTAGCTCCAGAATCTGAAAAAGACTGTTGACTTTATCTTGTACACATACACCAATTCCCCTCAGAAAACCCTATTTTTAGAGGAATATCCTGATTTTCTGGAAAATTGGTGGGTAGAGGGGAAAACTCAGATCATTAACAGACTCAGCACTAAAAATTAATCAAAAATCCAGCATTTTCATTTTATATGTAGCTCTGAGTGATTTAGCTGAGAAGGGGTGGGATTGAAAAAATACAAACATGAAGCTAACGTTGCATATTTTAAGGTGCCTGAGTCTAACTACATATTGCCTACTTATTGAAGAAACAGAAAGAAAAGAAATTTTGACTGTGTGCAGAAACATACAACGAATGGTTGAGGGCTCAGAACACAAACTCACAAATTTGCGTCAGAAGGAACATATTACTTGATGCCTTTATTTCTTGCCTTGAAAAGTGGTGAGTGGGGTTAGATAACACGTTTTGTCCATTGAGTTAGCGCACAGGGATTGACTTTCTCAGTGAGCCAATAATAGTCTGTATTTTTAAAAATGGACCGAGTTGATTGAATAACAACAAGCACTAGTCACCACTTTTGGACTATTGACACCTAATAAGCCATAACAAAGAAATAAACCAATAAACAAAGACAAAAGAAGAAAGGCACGCAGCACTACATACATTTAAGGGTTTAAATTGTTTCCACGCCAATTAAAGATTCTGATTTGCGAAGCACGATCAATTCATTTTTTCAGCTCTTGAGAGAAGTTAAAAACTTGGTAGATAATTTGCCAGGTGTCTACTACAGAATTAGTAAACATCAGAGGCTATAGACCTAATGGCCATCATTGATCCAATGACATTAAAAAGTAAGTATTGGTCTCTTTCACTTGCATAGCGGACTCTTTACACTCATTCTTATTACTGAGTGTAATTATTGCTGTTCTTTTGAAATGAACTGGTTTTGAATGATAAATATTATTGATTGAATCATATGATATACCCGGACAGGGAGGGAGGGTTATTTATATCTTAGTTTAAAAATATATAGACATTTATATTTCATCAAAAATAATGTGAGCATCTGATTTAAAATAAATTTTAGTTCAGAAAGAAAGCGGTGGTATTAGTTACTAAAGCTTTGACCTAAACAGAAAAGAAGAGCGTAAAATGCGTTCTAAGCAACAGCTTTGTAACTATCCAAATAACTTTGACTAGAAAAAATAAATATTATGACTACTGCTGTTAGTGCTTTCTTTCATTTGTTGAAAGAGCATATCCAAGTCCAGTTTTTTCTTTACTTAATTCAGTGATTTAATGCAGGACCTAGTAATAATTAATTCCCGAAGAAAATTAACATTGATTAATGTACTTTAGTGCCGTGTATCACCTTCTTTCAATTCCGTTCACAATTTTCGGTGGATTAATTCTTGCATCAGAAGAAAGTTGATTACAAATAGAAAAGTGAGCACCGACTGTAGTAATTATAATTTTTATCAATTCTATAACCTCTCAGCTTTATTAGTAAAATTAAATTATCTACTTATTTCTACTTCCAAAGGCACCCTGCTCTTTGCAATCACAAAGCAATGGGGAGTTGTAGATTGCAGCTTTAGTGAGAGCAGTAAAATATCATAGAATCAACACTCTAAAATGGAATGACTTCGGGAAACTGGAGCTTTGATGAGAACTGCCAAGTATCCAAAACTACAAAATGCGAAAACTCGGTAGGATATTGTGATTCTTGATACATTCAGTATCGAAATATTTTGCACAATCATTGCAGGAGAATTTCCTTCTATAATCTACTCCTGGCCAAAACCTTCAGTTTCTTCAATAGCATAGTTGAGCTTCTCCACCATTTGATCGTAGCTTTTGTAAGGAGGAAGATCTAGACGGTTAAAGCATGTATGAGAGCGCGGTAACCAAGTATCTTTCCCAACTTTTTCAATGCAGAAACGTTGAGGGCCATTGCTACCTATAAAACAGCAAAGATAGAGTTTATGGTTGATTTCTTACGACAAAATTAATACTATCATTAGGCTGGTTATTGAAGCTGTTAATGACTCTCCTTAATAGTTTGTCTTGTCCTATGTCAAAGAAAGTGTTTTGAACAACCAGTAGAGCCTAGCGCACTGTTGTCAGACTCTTGACACAACCCTCTATTGACAACTATTTACGAACATGGCTCAAAGTATGTTGGCAAAATCGTAAACGATTAGAGAAACTTAAATTTTAGCTCAATTGATTCTGCCCACAAAGGTTGGTCCACACTCATTTGATTACGAACAGAAATTAAAAAATGGTTTTGGAGGAGTATGGAATGAACGGTTTACGAATTTCAATAACGGTCAACAAACAACAAAGGGCCATTGGACAAGGTCTGAAGTACAAGAAAACATCACATGTTTTCTCTTCAAAATCTTGCATAAATACAATTCACAATATGGGAAGCTTTGAAATCCATTTCTGAACAAGATATTAACGAGTCTTTTCAAGATCAAATGGAAGTTCAATTATACAAATGACATCACTTGTGTTTATGCCATTTAACCAATATTATTAATGCTTAGCGTCCTAGAAAAATATGAAATAACTAAGGCAGTAAAAAGAGGGGAAGAATTATTAAATGTACAAAAAGAAGTAGACCTGGCAACTAATCCCCTGTACCTAAAATGTGCTGCCATCTCTGATGAGAAACAGATACTAAACATACATTGACATTGTTTTGATTAGTAAGACTGATCTAATAGCTTGTTATCACTTGTTACCTAGTTTAAAATTTAAAGTATGGTAGCGGCCTTTGTGATATTGATTTTGTTGTTACCCTGACGATGAGGCGTCCGCTTCGAAAAGCTTCGGTATAAATAAAGTTATTAATAAAATGTAAGTGTTTTTTGAAAACATTTTTTTGCATTATTTCTAGCACTCGGCTACCAACCCAAACTCATACAATATTATTAAAAAACACTTACATCTTGTTCAGGAGTTGATTTTCAGACTTCCTTTTGTGTGATTCGTTTTCCTCGTTTAAAGAGAAAACCAGTAGTGTTGTGCTTAAATTCATACCTTGTCTGGAGGCTCATTCGGTTACAAGTCATAAGTTTTCTTTGATGAGAATCACATTTTAGGTTTTATGAGAATTTTTGAGAAACAATAATAGGAGAAGAAAAAAGATAAATACCCATTAGTTCCGCAAAACCTCCAACAGGAACACGACAAGTGCCAGTAACAAACTGCAACAATCTTGCTCTTTTCTCATTGTCAGCTTGACGTACAAACTGAAAAGAAGAAATGGTCCACATTAGCTTGAGTCGCAATCTTTGACATAGAAGAAACTAGGTAAAGGAAAATTTTGAAGTACAAGTCAAGGAGAATATGAGAAGGAACAGAGGGTGAGTTGCAAATGGAAGAGAAAAACAATAGGATCAATTCAATTAGAATCCATCGAACTACATCAAACGTCTAATTTCCTTTTGCACTTCATGTCTTCAACAGAAAATTGATCAACATTCTGCCTTACAATTTTGTGAGTATATTTTTCTCAAACCAAAGGAAATGTACAGAAAGTTCCAAAGGCATTATGATATTCGGTTTTCTATAAAGGGGAATATCTAAGAGATAGCATATTCGTAATCAACAAGTGCATGAAATGATGGAAATTGAGAATGACGTAACAATCAAGCACATAATTGAAGCGCTGGATGCAGAAAGGGCAATTTTTGGTTGCAGTGTCTCACAATCTTCGCTAATGTTTTATCCATTATGAACAAAATAGATGTACCAGATAGTCTGGATCACTCGGTATGTAGTTCGTTTTGATTTTTACAGAATATTCTTTATGATTTAATGATGCTGAAAATGAAAAATTTTAGAGAATTCACCGAATAGTTTCTTATCTAAAAAATATTATCTAGTACTGGAGATTCTGAAACACTGCGACCGAAAAATGCCCTTCGTGTACCAAACGCTTCAATGAAGAATTTGCATGCAAATTTGTTATTGCTTCATCTGGAATTGCTTGAAGAGCTGATTTCACAGTATTTTTTAAAAATTTTTTCTGCTATTGGAAATAGTATTGAAATAGATTTAAAAGTGAGAAAATGCACCGCCTAGTGGCGTCATCTGCCGGCATTTCCCATTTAAACCCATTTATTTTAGCAGATTAGATAATTTTGCCATATCTTCTCCAATAATTGCTCAATTTATGAACCAAGGGTATCCTTGTGTCCAGTTCACTCGGTAGTTTCCACTTAAACACGAAATTCATCAAATTTGCACCTGCAAATTCACAGACACCTGCAAATTCACAGACACCTGCGAATTCTCTGTTGGTAATTTTTCTGTTGGAACTAATTTTTCAGAGATTTTAGTTAGCTCATCGTTTTCTTGGACCTAAAACCTAAAAGAATCAACTATTTACAGACCTATCTCTCTTAAATAAACAGACTCATTTAGAGATATTGTCACCTTGCTTCTGACCAAAGTATCATAAGCGTCATTCACGCTTAAAAGCTATAGTGCCAGACATCTCAAAATTGTTTTTGCTCAATTATTTCTGTAAGACTTGTGCACTTACATGAAAATGTCAGGAATTTATCTTGATGACAAAAGGAATACTAGGAAAAATTTTCAGGGGATTTTCTTCATTACTTTCTCTGTAAAAAATTGGACAAGTTAGAGAAGATTGGCAACAGTGCCTGAGCACAAATGACACTTGTGATACTGTGACCGGGAGGCAACAACATTTGTATTAGAAACATCATTTCTTTTACATCCAAGTTTGCAACAGCTCTGCAGGCGAAAAAATTCATTTAAATGTCGAACATTGCTTGGATGTATTTATGCTAAAAGGAACTGGGTGCATCGGGTGTACGTGCAACAAAATTCCTTTACGCATAAATATGTCCAATTGTGTCCAATGAGGAGTAAATCAACAACTTACCTGCCAGAACCATTGTACTTGTTTACTGGAACGAGTGTAGTGTCTATAAATTGTATGTCTCTGCCAGTCATCGACATCAATCTCTTGCATGCCGCACAGCATTAGCTCTAGCTCACGCTCGTCAAAGTACTTAAGCCATTCGAGTGGGACAACCTCGTTGAACCCGTCTAGAAATGACTTGGTCTGGTCCTCAATCCCGCGAGTCATTCTCCATTCAGTCATTAGCCTGTAAGTTATCCATCCGACAAAATAAATTAGTGTAAGGAGTATTGAGAAAGTTTTAATTGTACTTATCCAATACCATACTGAGTGGCACAGGCACATCTCTGTCATTGAATGCAGATAATTGAATGCAAGTTTAAATTTAGTGAGTTTTAGATTGGACAAACAAGTCAAAAATAACGGTTTCACAAAATGGACGAAATTGTTTTGTCGAGGGTGTAAAAAGTTCCAAAATACCGACCTTTTGCTACGATTTGGCTTTATTGCCTCATAGCTAAACATTCTATTTTGTGGAAAAGTGCCCACTTTACAGGTAAAATGTGCGATCTGTACCACCATTTTAAAGAATGAGTAAAAAAAAGTACATGTGAGCCCTGAATTAAAAAATAAAAATAATCACTTGACTGACTCTTTATATGATCATTGGAGATTGACTAGTTTTAACAGAGGAAAAATCTTTTCATTTAAAAGTCATAATTGGAGATTAAAAATTAAAATTTGAAATTAAAATGAACTTACTTCATATATTCTTCTTTGTTTGTCTCTTCAACTTTTATTTTATCCCCACCTTCTTTGAGCTCGTGATGAATTACTTGACCGAGGATTTCGAAGTCCACACTGAAGTACAGTTCAAGACCACAGTCATCAATGTTATTGTCACGAACCCAGACCAATGAGTTATAAAATTCAGGGTCAATTGATTCAATATCTTTCATACTTAATTTCTTATGCAGCATTCTCTTGTAGAATGGCATAGTGAAGCCAGAGTAGATGAAACGTCCATGGTAAAGTGCCTGTAAAATACAATTATTCTGAATTAGAAAATGACAGTAGGAAAGAGAAAAATTATTGTCTTTTGCTGACTTCCTTTCACTTGAAAATATCAGCAACATATTGACTGACAAAGTTAGCCTCCACTAGGGTGTGCTATTTCTCGGGTTAAAACTGAAGTCTTTAAAAAGGGAGTGGAGGGAGGAATGCTGCTTTAAGTGCGAAATGGTACTTTAAGTCAATTTTAAACTTTTCAATTCTTAATCAAATTTTGCTGCAACTTCATGGGCTCATTTCGAAGCTGTTTTTTAAACAAAAAAATTGGGCTTTTGTAATTCTATGGTCATGGGATTTTTAAAAAAAGTTGGTGTTCACTTTTTGCTTGAGAAAATAATTTAAGTTATAATATGAAAATAGTTACCATGGCAATGAATCGACCAATAAATTTGAAGTATAGTAAATGATCAGGATTGACATAGGAGGCAGGATTGATTTGCAGACTGTAATTACTCTTATTGGCATACTCAAATAGACAATACATAGGATTCAGCACTTCATGTGATAACAGGAAAAACCATTCTCTGTAACACATTGAGTATAAATTTGGAGATTAAAAATCAGGAAGTACCAATGAAGGAAATAACTAGCTAAAAAAATTCCAATGAAAGAAAGAAAATAATTAAGATGTAATTAATAACTCTTACTTAGAAAATATATGTCGCTTGAGTGCAAAACGACGTATATCCATCCGTGACTTTGCAGACTTCCATAATGCTTCAAAGGACCCTACAAGAAAACGGCCAAATCGGCCTAAACACGGAATCCTACGATTTTCTCAGGGATGAAAGAGGGTCTTCCCGGACACTCAAAACTGGTCACATTTTTTTGCCTAACCCCCATGGAAAAGGGGGGATGGGGGGTCAAAGTCAAAAACTTTAAAGTAGCATAACTTCTCAACAGTTTGTCGTAGAAAGATGATCTTGGTGTCAGAATTTCCAGAAAAATGAGAGCTTTTAGAATATATGTATGAAATCAATAAAATTTTAAATTTTTACCCACTTTTGGGGGCATTATACAAGGTCCCCCTTTCGTAAATTTTCGTTTTTCGATATTTTCGGTCGTTCGGTTCGCACAGACCAAAACAAAAACAACCCTAAATGAAAGTAGAGGGCATAAGGTTTGAAACAAGCCCAAGTTCATCTTGGGGAAACGATTAGAAGCGGAGTTCTGAGTCTTCAAAGTTGACGCGGCGCGCGGGAACCTTGTATGTTCCAAGTCTCAAGGTCACCTGCGCCGCCCGGATTGCCTGCAGGTCGCAAGTTTTTGTGTTTTTATACTTCTGTAGGTCGTTTTTAATGTAAATCATTCAATTCAATTCAATTTCAATTCAGAGCAGAATCGTCATCGTCAGCAAATGTTAAATGAGGTATGATGGACATAATGGTTGATACTCTAAGCCCCCTCTTGCTCCTCCCGTAAAATTAAAAAATTCCGAATATTCTATCTTCATTGAATGATTTACATTAAAATAGACCTACAGAAGCATAAAAACACAAAAACTTGCGACCTGCAGGCAATCCGGGCGGCGCAGGTGACCTTGAGACTCGGAACATACAAGGTTCCCGCGCGCCGCGTCAACTTTGAAGACTCAGAGCTCCGCTTCTAATCGTTTCCCCAAGATGAACTTGGGCTTGTTTCAAACCTTATGCCCTCTACTTTCATTTAGGGTTGTTTTTGTTTTGCTCTGTGCGAACCGAACGACCGAAAATATCGGAAAACGAAAATTTACGAAAGGGGGACCTTGTATAATGCCCCCAAAAGTGGGTAAAAATTTAAAATTTTATTGATTTCATACATGTATTCTAAAAGCTCTCATTTTTCTGGAAATTCTGACACCAAGATCATATTTCTACGACAAACTGTTGAGAAGTTATGCTACTTTAAAGTTTTTGACTTTGACCCCCCCCCCCATCCCCCCTTTTCCCTGGGGGTTAGGTAAAAAAATGTGACCAGTTTTGAGTGTCCGGGAAGACCCTCTTTCATCCCTGAGAAAATCGTAGGATTCCGTGTTTAGGCCGATTTGGCCGTTTTGTTGTAGGGTCCCTTTCTTTGGAAAACTAGTCTATACTGGAACTAAACTAAATTAGAACAAATTTCTTAAAAACTTTCTTGATTTTTTTCTCTGTTGACAGAATATTTGGTATGATTTTCAAGCTATAAAGTCGGCTTGTTTCTCTTGGATTAAATCAAATAGGAGTAAAAATTGTGAAACATCGGATTAAAGATACTTGGTTTTGCACTTGGCCACTGACATGTTCACTATCAGGTAACCAATTTAGGGAACAAATTGTATAATTCGTTTGATGAGAAATCTTAACAGAGTTTTCAAACATAAATAAGTAGGAAAAACTAGAAAAACTCAGTTTCGATAAATTATTAAAATTAGACCATTCATTTCTAATAAACTGTATAATTTTTGGGTTTTTCTAATAAACCACTCACATAATTTTCCCTGCAAATCAAGAATTAGGTTCATTCTTCCTTCATTTAGAACTCATTTGCACTGAAAACTGCACGGAAAGAAGTAAACTTACCTTGATACGCCCCCATAGTCCAATCCCTCTTCGCCCCTGAAGATGATGTAAAGACGTCTTCTGAGCTCATACGCAGGCAATCGCATAATTTGATGATATGAGTCTTCAAACAAAGTCTGTCGTGTGACTGTGATTTTGATGTGACTTGGTAGGCCATTGCTTTGGCAGAGATATCTAAATTGACTGAGCTTCCAACGGAACGATCGCTCGTAAGCTCGAGGGACACCATACACACCTTTCGGACTGAAAACAGGATGAATGTTAAAACAATGTAATTAGAGGTTACTTAGGCAAGAAACACATAAAATATGTGCAAAGCAACTGACCTCCTAGTGAGGTTTTAATTATTAACAAGGACTGCCCTCCTTGACCTCTTTAACCTTGAGCCTTACCCTTCCCGTGATATCATACCTTTTTCGTAATGGTTTGCAAAAGCGTTTTGATCTTGGTATGTCATGAGGGAATATGTCTTAATGGCCATCTTTAGCAACTCCAATAACTGTGAATTTGAAGGAATTGAAAATTGGAAATAAATGGGATTCTGATTGAAAAAGTGGAATTAAAAGATTAAAAGGTACCAATTCCCCAAAATTATACATTTTGCAATTTTTTAGGTTGACATAAACCTGCAATCTCGTTCTTCATACCTTAGTGAGAGCCAATATTTTAAGTGTTGCCCCTAGTATTCTTTGGGTGTCAAGTCTTAAAATTCTGGTGCATACAGTACACTATCGAATACCCAAACTCATTTGGCTGAACTGATCCCCTTGAATGGGCCCATACTCAAGGCAAAATGGACTCATTTTGAAGCTGAAAGGACAGAGGGTTGACACATCGAAATGTCAGAAACATGCTGCAGCACAAAAGCAACGCTGTATTGCGGCGTATTTTCAATCGCAATGTAACTGAAGTAAGAGTTCCAATTGATGATTTAATACTTAGTGTTAGTATTGGTGTTCTATCCATTTTCAAAACTGGTCCGGTCCCAATTAGTCTACTGTATTAACATTTACCATTAGGCCGTTTGGAGTTTTAAGAGAAGTGTACTGCATTCAGCAGTAATTTATTTCTTGTTTATTTATTTTGCCTACTTAAATCCAGATCTTTGTTCTTTTCGCTTATGCAACGTAACTAATAATAATGATTTTTCCTTATACTATTGCAGAGTTTTGACAATTATTGGGCAATGAACTAATAATTGAAAATTTGAAACATACAGTTTTGGAAATATGTTAACATTTAAAAGGACCCCGCACACCTCTTATGGGAAGCTGCACCATGACCAAATGCTAATTCATTTATATCATTCGATTCTCCTCAAGATGCTGATCGAAAGTTATTATTGCGCCAGCTTTCTACGATGCACCGTTTTCGCAAAAAACCACCAAGAAGATTCAATTATTCGGCGACAATGAATAAAAAAGAACAAAGCATTTGAGAACAGGCCCAAAATAAATAAGGAAAAGTTGCAGTGCGTGTCCGTCTTCTTATCTGTACCTGCCGACTTTGGGGCTATCTCCCTCCCGCTCTCGTCCGGTTGACGTTCCTACTTTCCTGTTCTTATGCTTCTCAACAATCTGATTTGGATGGTCGAGCAAAACGGCGTGCGGAGTCCGAGATAAGACTGCTGCTGAGTGCAGGAGTTCCCATGATTTCCTTGTTGACACACAGGCGCTTGTCAATCGAGTACTGAAATGAGGAATCTTTCAGGCTTTTTATCGCCGAATAATTGAATCTTCTCAGCGTTTTTTTGCGAAAACAGTGCATCATAGAAAGTTGGCGCAATTATAACTTTTAATCAGCATCTTGAGGAGAATCGAATGACATAAATAAATTAGCATTCGGTCATGGTGCAGCTTCCCATAAGAGGTGTGCAGGGTCCTTTCATGAGATTATGTCACCCTGAATCTACTAAATTACTTAAGAGAGCCCTGAAACCAACCAACGTTGGATTGGCTTATATATGCATTGTGCTGTCTCTGTGAAATTGTAAGGAATAGAAGGGTTGCCAAGAAGATTATGGGTGTGAAAGGAGGGAAAATTTATTTTGCTACCCAGATCAATCAAACCTCAATGTTTTGTTTATTCCTCCGAGAATACTTTCAAACTCCCCAATTATTTAAAAGGAATTTGCAAAAAAACTTTGACTAAGAAATAAAATAGAAACTTCAGAAACTTACCCCTTGGGTGCTCCTGGTCTGGGATCCTGGAAGGTTGTTGTACGCGTATTGTGATCAACAAAGTATCGAACCCCTTCTTCTGTGTGGCGTACCTCCCATCCTGGAGGTAGAGGAGTTTCATCTCCGCCTAGTTGAAGCTCTTGCCTGAATAATTAATCAAGTTTAGAGTTTGGATTAGTCAAAATTGGTAAAGATTAATAAAAGAATTCTGGTTATAATTTATGCCACTGTCATGCAACTTACACTTGTCCCTTAAATCTGTACTCCAAATTTTATTTTCATGGATTTCTCAAACACGCATTTACATGGGCATTAATGCAGTATTAAAAACAGTGAGGCATTTACCTTTTAGCTGCATCCAGTGAAAAAATATGCTAGAGTAACAACCTTCAAGCAGATTTCTTTGCTGTAAATAGTAACCCAACAGTGGTTTTTAACATTATGAGTATCCTTTTCTGACCTATTTACTTTACTTATTTTTTTGCTTCTTTAGGTGTTTCCGATCTGCTCAGCTCTTTGGCTTCTGTATCAAAGCCTCTTCGATGTATTTTTTCATTATTCTCTGGACCATTAAGAGAAATTCTAAAACTGTGATGTAAAAAAAGGCACTTTAATGCTATAGCTAAGCTAACATTCAAAAGATTCAAACCAAATAGTCATTACAGGTTTGATTCACTTGTATAATTCCAGTTCAAAAATTTGTCTGGTTTTCTCATAGTTTGTTATTTATTTACAGTTTCTTGTAGATGAGTATAGTTTTTTACATTTTCTGCAAAATCTTGTGACTATCAGATTGTTTAAGCGTGATTGCGATTCTTTGAAAATAAACTGTTTTTTGCCTGTTTCATGAATGCTCATAGTTCTTTAATAGGATTTTGTTAATATTCCTATTATGCAACTTAATTTGGTGAGTATTGTTCCACTGAGAAATTTCTCATGGTTGTGACAGTAGATAATCAATCAAAAATTATACAATTTTTTTTTAAAAAAAGGCACAAAAAAAGGCACTAGCACAAGTGCTCAAAAAGCATATTCCACTTTTAAAGACTTGCTTTCCAATTTTATTTATGCTCGGTAAGGGAGAAAAAAATCTATTTTGCAGCCATCTATGCGGTCTTAGGTCTTAAAACGAGAGGAAAAAACTTGGAAATAGAACAACTGACCCTTGAGTGCGAGGGTCTTCCCACTGTGTAGTCCTGTTTTTGTGATTAACAAAGTAAATTCTGCCATCTGGTTGCATGCGTTTCTCCCAACCTGATGGCAATGGACCAAGTGCATCATCTTCTTCGACTGAAACTGAAGATGAAGCTGCTCCCATTGTATGCTGGAACAAAAGCAAAAAGAAGCAAAAACTTATAAATTCCACTTTTAAAACAACAGATAAGCTTTCTTTTTTACTATTTTCATCCTTAAAACCATTGAGATTTGATAACAAAAATTAGTAGAAGAAATTTTTCGAGTGAGTGCAATGCTCTGTCCTAGCAGGAGTACTGATAGGGTCACTCAAAAAATTAAATGTGCCCTTCAAATTTTCTCCTGCTAGAGTGAATATTTAAATCTGGATATTTTTTCCATGAATTATACATTGTGTAATCAAACTATCATCAACCCCTGTTGAGTCGAAAGCTGTGTAAGACAAATTTTCCGCTAAGACTTTTGTATGATCCTATCGAATTGCAAAAATATGGCAAGTGTGATTGTTACTAGATAAGTTGGATGATCCAACTTTACGATGGTAAGGTTCCTACCCTTTGCCTTGGCTCCAAGATGGCGGCGCATCAGTCAGCCTGGCCCTCACTAACTTAATACTACTGATATTTTCTTTTACCTGTGGATACAGAAACCGTTGACTGCCCTGGACCATTACATGCTGACGCTCTCCCTGCCATTGCTGGAATCGTTGAATGCTTTCTGTATTGGGTCTCTGCCAGGTTGTTGTGCGTGTGTTATGGTCAACATAGTATATTCTCCCACGAGGATCACGTCGTACTTCCCATCCACTAGGCACCGGTTGAGGTTTCTCCCATGATGTGGACTTAGTATTGTGGTCTACATAATAACGACGGCCATAGACATCGTAACGCATTTCCCACCTGCAGAGTTCAAAGTAAAAAAATAACTTTAGAGACACCCTGAAGGAATCAATTTGTTGCCATGAGCTTCTAGACAAGGTATGAATTAAAGTGTGACAAAACATGTTTCTTCTTCAACATTTCACGGGGAAAAAGAATCTTATGACAGAAAGTCTAGAAATCAACTCCTAAACAAGATACAAGTGTTTTAAATTAACATTGGTTAAAGGAGAAAGATACAAAAGACACCATTCTTATCATCTGATTTCCTTTAGTCTGCGTTGAGAATACTCGTTAATATTTCATTCAGGAGTAGATAGCTAGTTAGCTCTGTACCTCTTACATTTCGAACTTACTCTCATTGGTATTGATGTGACTGATCACATCCAATGTTCCAACTTTACAAGATGCCATGTACAAAATGCACCTAAAACTTGGGAAGGCTGGTTAAACAAGGTTGAAAAAATTAGACACGACCCGACAGGAATTTTTGAAGCACCAATAGCAAAACATTCTCAGCACAGAGGCAGCAGTGCACACTACAAGACAAGAACGAAAATCAAGCAGAATTACTGATCAGGTCAGTTTCATGTTCCATTATACATGATACATGTTGATTCCTAAAGTGCAAAATCAGGTACCTCCATTGCAATATTTGAAAATTTCCAATCTTATTTTATATTTTTGAAGAGGAACAAGCCTATTTTATAGGCTTGAAAATACAGGGTATTCTTCAGACATGAAAGGAATACGAGGCCTGTTAGATTAGAAACCGGATTTTGGTGATAACTAATCCATTATGCTTGCGTCCGAATTAGGTTTTTTTGGACTGTCCTGATAGCTGATAACATACTAAAGAACGCTAGATTCACAGATTTTGTTTATTTTGATCAGTGTCCATTCTGTGTTACCTTGAATACCAGTAAGTCAGGTGCGTTCTGCGATTTTCATCATGCAATCACTGATAAAGCAAAGATTTAACATTAAATTTTGTTTTTAACTCGGTATACTTTGTACCGAAACATGTGGTACGCTAAGTAAACTTTACCAAGATCATTGTATGAGTTGTTCTCACTGTTTTGAGAGGGTTAAACAATTCAAAACTGGTCAAAAGTCCGTCGAAGATGAGGAGCATGGGTATCAACCATCAATGGCAACTGACATTTTGCCACGTGAAAGAAGTGTGGGCAAAAATAATCGAAAATGGTCGTTTCGAGCTTGCTGAACGGTGTAATATTTCTGAAGGTTCTGTACATACAATTTTGATAAAATATGATCATGTATCGAGTTTCAGGTACTTTTGCCACTTGATTGTTGTCCGTTGAACAAACATCCAACCGAAAGTCAATCTCCCTTTAGCTGCTTGCACCTTCTAACAATGATCCTTCATTTTTGTTTAGGATAATTTTTGGTGACAAAACTTAAGTATATAGTTACAATATCGAGACGAAACTCGAATCACCCTTGTGAGTTGAAAAAGGTAGTGGAAGACCGAAAAAAGAGAGACAAGTTCTGTCAAAAATAAAAATCGCTGAACACCCATGAGGTTGCCTTACTTCAAGCCATATACCAACGAAGCTAATTAGGATTTTTCGAATTTGTGAATGTAACATTCTTTCTTATATTTCCAGCTATCAGGAAAGTCCAGAAAACTTAATTCGGACGCATTTTGGGCTTGTTATCACCAAAATCCGGTTTCTAATCTAACAGACCTCATATCAAAGAAGTTTTCGATAAGTTACTTTGACTTGTCTTTCAAAGGAATGATAAAGTTTAACAGGAAGTCTGTAATGTCGCAAACAGAGGTACATGGTTTTGCACTGTGGCCATTGATATGCAAAAAATTGTTTTCACCCCTTAAAAATTGTAGATGGGTCCTTATAATTTACCCTAAAGTAGGAACACTGATCACAACTTGATCAACTAACTTGGCACAGGGTTTATTTGCACGTACTTCTCACTGCAATACCCCAGGCAGATGGGGGGGGAGAGAAGGAATGAGCTATTACGTAAGCTTAAAGATGACTTGGATAAACTTAAGAGAGAACTTACCCAGGTGGCAAGGTTTCATCAATCAAAGGTTCAGCACCAGCTGCTGGTGGAGGCACGTACACTTGACTTGACTGGGCTCGTGGACCATTGCTACCAGCTGGTGTTCCTCGTCCAGACGCTGAGGTATCAGGTGTTACTGGTTGATTCCGAGACGGACGTGCTTGAGCCCCTGAAGCAGTCACCTGAGTATTCACCGTCGTTGAAGTTGTGATCGCAAGACTATTCATAGCAACTGGTGCATTCGAGTTAATTGAAGTGCTACAGCTGTACACAATTGGGTGAGCATGGCGGGACGGCGATGGGTCAGGAGACATTATCATGGCACACGGCACCTCACTATTAACTGGAGTAGTTGAAACAAAAAAAGTTTTATTAAAACATAATACGCATAACATTACATTAATACACAACTACACCCTGGTACATTCAGATCTTTAAATTTTTAAAGTACAAAAGTGTTGCGACTTGGAGATTTTGAAATGAATTCAGACACTCCCCTTCACCCTTATTTTCATCCATTGTTATATATGCCGCAGGACCAAGAACTAATATGTATTCATCAGTTCCAGTCTACTTGACTACTAAAACAAGTACACATAATTTCATTGAAATCAAAGAAGATCCAGGAAATCCGATATTGATTAGGCATGAAATGACCCAGTAGCCTCATGGTCTGCAAATGTTTTGGCTGACAGCTTAGAGGTTTTTAAGATAATTGTGATCTCAGTTACTCAGAAACATACAGTAATTCTAATATTTAATGAAAGGACAATCGTATTACCTAAATGATGTGACCGAGGAACGCCCTCTGTACTATTCCCAGTGTCGTAACAGATATTGTACTGTGGATATGTGAAGGGCACAGATGATGCTGCATTAGGAGCATTGCTCGGACAGCACTCTGCATTAGTATGATTGGCATGTGATTGATTTGCAGAGGTTCCTTCTGTACTATGGTTTCCGGTTTCTGAGCTATTTCCTGCGACTGTGTTTGAGGCTTGATGGTTGGTTACATGATTTGAGCCGTAGTTTCCAGCATGATTCGATGTATGGTTTGCAGGGTAATTTGATGTATGATTTGTCACATGATTAACAGCATGGCTGATTGCACTGTTTACAGCGTGGTTGGCTGCATGATTAACTGCATTGGTCGTTTCGCTGGAATGTTGAGCAGCAGCGTGCTGAGCACAGTTGAGAGCACCACTTGAGTTTTGCATTATAGCAGCTGAAATTTATTTTTTTTAAAAAAAAAAAAAAAAACTTATTTTAGGTTGTGAAATTGAGATATGGAGCACCACTGTACAGTTTTACATGAAAAAATGATACCCAAAAACCAGTAAAAACAACCACATCAGCACCACAAATTTTCAAGTATAAATTAGTTCGGAGCTGATCATTTGGCAACCATCCAGTTTACCAGACTATCGTACCAAATAAGATTTTTGCCCTTACTTGGGTCGGGTCAAATAATTAATAGTATTCACCATCTGGACACTTTTGGAAGTGCTTTTTTCTGCTCAGGAAATTTTGAGACTTCTGGTATTTTTGTCTTCAATACAACCTTTTTAGTGTCCTTCAGATGAGATTCGGTGTAAAGAGGAAAATAAGGATGTAATCCAGGACCCAACTCTGATTTTTCTCTATACTGATAAAATACCTGGTGTCCCGCTTCTGCTAGATAGAATATGTTGGTCTACGGATTCAAAGACCCAGAAAGTTCATTTCATCCCAATTTAGGGCTTCCTTCTTTTGGGAAAATTACTTCATATCTTTATTGAATAATACATATTTAAACTCACAAACAGCTACCTTTAAGAGAAAATCATACTTACAAGGTGGAGACTGTATTCCTTCAAGTCTATCTCCCCTCATTCGAGCTCTTATGCCATAAAATGGATTATAATGAGCATCAGCACCTATGAACCACACAAAATCAATCAATAAAAAACATTTGTTCATTGGTCATATAGATAAATATATACACTCCTTAAGCAGATTCAAAAATATGTTATTATTCTTTTGATACTCCCTGTACTATCATTCAGCTTCCTATAACTTCAATTTTTACTTCCATTTTCAGTATACACAAAAATAAACCTAGGTACCTTTTTGAAGAAGAATAAAAGAAAAATCTGATACACAAATGATGATTTCTTGCAAAATAAAAACTTTCAATATGCATATTCAAGTAGATCCAAAGGAGAGTATTCCTATGTCGATGGTGAAACTACCAGACCCTATATCTTGTTTGCAAAATCTCCACTCCTATTTTATTTTTTGGAGGGGGAACAAATCAATATCATTCCTTGAAGTTTTTGCAGAGTTTTCTTTGAACAGAGAGAATAATCATGGAAGTTTTCAAGTATTCACATTGAGTATTCCCCATTTAAAAAGCAAAGTATAACAGGAAATCTGCAACATTCCAAACCCGGATACGTGATTTGGTAGTTTTACAATTCATATGCAAACCTTATTTGAAATTGGAAAACCTCAAATAAAACCAATTACACATCCATTTCCGAGAGAGGTCAGCTTGCAGCAGTTGAATCTTGCTTGCTTGCTTGACAAGTCGTCAAATTTAATCAGAATAATAGATTTTACCTACCGATGTTTCCGAAATCAATTTGATAATTGTAAATGCAATATCTCACTAAGAATCTGCTTGCAGTTGGAATGACTCCCAATCAGAATGAAGAATTAAAATTAGAAGTAAAGTCTACTTCTAATTTTAATTCTTCATTCTGATTGGGAGTCATTCCGACTGCAAGCAGATTCTTAGTGAGATATTGCATTTACAATAATCAAATTGATTTCGGAAACATCGGTAGGTAAAATCTATTATTCTGATTAAATTTAAGGTGTATTTGCTTATCGTCTGAACTTCATGCCAAAACTGTTGACCATAGTGACGGTGAAACTGCAAAAATTCGTATCTCAGTTGCGGTGTTGCGAAATTTCTGTTCTTATTTTAATTTCTGAGAGGAGACCGAACCAACATCATGACTTGAAATTTTCAAAGAAAATTCTTTGGAAAGAGAGGAAAAATCACTGAAATTTTCAAATATAACTTTCGGTAGTTTCCCACGTTTAAAATTAACTGTGATAGGAAGTCTGGCTTGCTGAAAAACCAAGATACACACTTCAGAAGTTTCACAATCGATAGGTATTTGCTGATTTCAACTTAAATTTTATTTTTGTCTAAAACGTTAAAAATAATGAATTTAACAGTCTTAGGTCCAGCCCACAGGCTGGTGCATAGGCAAAACTTTTGTGAAACTTGTACAACGAACCAGATTTGACTCTGCTGAAACAAGTTTGATGAAACAGTGTAGTTTGACGAGCCACAACATAAACTTTGATCGCAGGCACGGGGAATCACAAAATAAGAGAAAAATTAGATGGTCTCTTACAGAATATCATCAATTTTATACTTACTTGCAATTTGCAATGGATGCAAAGTAGTGGGTGGTCTGACTGATGACATATCAACGACCAGATTTTTGATAAATATGATCAGTTCTCCAATTTTACTGTAAGCACTTGCGTTCCTGGCATCGTTCATCATGTCAATCGTCAATTCAAGTCCAGAGCAATTTCCATTGTAATGAACCAGTAGGTCATGGATAAAGAGATATCGCTCACCTACTATGTGATCCTTTCGGAAAGAATTATGATCGTACAGTCGCAACCGTACATTGGAGTGAGGTGTCACTAGGCTACAAACATAAATAAGAAAATACATGACTGATTATAATGATAACAAAGAATTAAGAGGAAAAAAAATTCCATAATGTAATTTATCTTGAACAGCCTGTGCAGTACATACGTTTTATACTTTTTTATCATGACAAAAAAGACTGCGGTCAATTATTAGTTTAATATGTGCCATTTTTCACTGAGAGGTCTCACGCTCCACTGGCACATTTTTCAATGAGTTTCAGAAAGATGTATAAAAATTTAATCCAGGTCAATTCATCCGGAATTTGCTGGAATAGAAATATGTTCAATTACAGGAAAATAAATCCGATAATTTGTGTGAGATTTAAAAGCAGTTAATCTTTTACTCAGAACAAAATGGAATACTTACACAGTAAATTCTTCATTCCACTTTGGCTGATAGGTGCACTTGACAACCTCTGATCTTCTGACATTCTTGTTGTCATCAACATTAATCTCCACATAAGGGTTCGGTTTTAAGAATCCTCCTGAACACCTCAGATGAGCGCATTCAACTAAATAAAATGAGAGGACAGCTTAGATAAAAATATTAGTGAGTAGTATTTGATAGAGTTGGATCAAGCTGTGCAGGAAGAATCAGAGTCACATCACAAATGAACCAAGAAAAAGTGGTTTTAAGTTTTACGTATTCCGCCATAGAACTGAATGTTTCAGATGAAGTTCAACACTTGGTTTCAAAGTTAAAAAAAAAATCTCTCAGCTTTACATTTGTGACAAAGGAAAATAAGTGGATAGCTAAGCTTACTACTCCTGATTCATTTTTCCCCAAATTATGACTTGGTGCCTCTCTGTTTCATTCAGTATAGTTTTAGTAGATTGAGATTGGTCCTTCTAGTAGGTTTTGCAGAATTTCAACCGAGATCTGTCATAAGTTCATAATCATGATTAGCATGGCACTCCATTCCTTAACTTTGACAGAGATTATTAAGAAATTTTCCACAGCTTTCGGAGCGTTCATACCAACTCAAAATTGACTACCTCTGACAACATTATAATCCGCATCACCAAAATGGTCTACTTCGGATGTTTGGCCTCTTATTGACACTTCATTACTATACTAAGATGCTAAGGAAAAATGCTGTAAGAACTTCAAATTTTGTCACCTTTCCATGCAGAAAATATTTACTTTTGAAGAAAGAGATGAATACTTTTCATTGAATTTTTTGGACATTTCAGATCAAATTGCGAACAAAATTCCCTAAAATATTGGAAGAAAAATATTTGCAAAGTTTTGCAAGATTTAAGATTTATCAAAAGAAATTCGGCAGCGTCTGGAGGCTCATACAGCCCTTTTCCTTAGCACGGCAGTATAATACTTCTGATTTGAGACTGAAGGACGCCATGACTGTTTTTACCATAGAGCTCATTTACCATTTTAAAAACTGAAAAGATTCTCACCTGTGACTGACAGTTGATGATAAGCAGCCTCATCATTTTCAGGACGATCAGCAGCCATGGTGTAATTTGATAAGAGGCTAGGATTTTAAGGCCAACTTAGGGGAATGACCAGATCTAAAGAAGGAAAGAGATTTCATGTTAAATGTAAAAGTTGATAAAATGTAACCACTAAAGACCTTACAGATAAATTTAAAGAGTAGAATTAATTTGATACTAATCAAGTTTTCTAATACATATTGATTGGCATTTTCTGTCACCTCTCAAAAGAACATCTAACTTAGCCTAAAAGCACCAAATTCCTGGTTATACCATAACTTTCTTGTTAGGTCTAAACTTTTCCTGAGTGTTTACCAGGGCTATTGGATGCTTCATTTTGATGCTGTAACGAATTTCAGTCAGGAGTAATTCAATGTATTTGGGTGCTATTGTCTTAGAACTAGGTAAACAATTAGTCTAGCTGAAGCAATTTATTATATTCCCCCAACAATTTTAAGTAGGAGAAACAAGAAGTGATTTCTTGAGGATAGCAATCTCTTTCAAGTGGATCAAAGTGTAATGATCTCATCGTCCAAACTCTTTCATAGAAAGCTAACATGAAACAGGTGCCTGCATCAGGTAGATGAAAATTAATTTCTTTCAAGGTCTAAGCTAATTAAATGCTACTTACTTCATTCTGTCCAATGGAGATAGGTAAAAAACTGAGTGCAACGAAGTTTTCTCCCATTTTCGATCCATCCAACTTTTCAGCTCATATTTTTCCATCTAAGTGTAGCGCTACAAATTTGCGATGTGTCTTCATGTGATAATTGAATAGACTTGGAGCTTCAGGAAAATGATTTGAACATCTCTCCACTGATAAGATATATCATGTCATGAGCGCAAATTCAATATTTGGAAACAGCCTTGAATGAAGCTGGGGGATGGAATGGAAATGCACTTCAATACAGGTGAAAGAAAGAGCTCTGATCTGGCTACATACAACAAGTGATTACAACAAATAGCACAATTCGTTCGATACTAGCCGAAAACAGGAATTTTAGGTGTGAGGCCGGAAAAATAATACTTCGACAGATCTCGTGACGTGATAATGTTGACAAAAGTCGATAGGCACTTGACTCACTTGACTCAATTTACAACAACTTACAATAACTTACAACAGTAAGTACACCCGTGTACACCCAATACCATCTCCCAATACCTGGCCATGGGTTTGAGGTTAAATGTTCGTAACTCCCGAAAACACACGGGATCGTATAGGGGAGGACTTATAAAAGTTGATTTTTTTACATGAGAAAGTGAATTTATTCTAGGCGTGGAATTTACAGTTGAATATTTTGGCAAGTTTTATCGAAAGAAACAAATTTGTTCGGCAGAATCACATTTTAAATTAAGGAAAAAAGTATTAAATGCATGTCACTGTACTAAATGTATGGGAGATAACCGGGAAACGTATGCAACCCGCTAAACGTAGCCCGGCGGCTTCCCTTTGTTTTTGGGAGATATTACTCACACACTCTCACACGTATTCTCCAATGGCCAGGAATTCTAAGTAGGAATTGGTACACCATTTACAAGCACTTCATTTGGAAAACAACTTCCAGTGAACATCCACCATCTTGCCGATGCTAGTGACGTAGTCATGTATAATTATAATAACCAATGAAAAATGTAGACGCGGCATAAAGTAGCACTGACGTAATCAAGGCTCGACTCTGATTGGCCACTCGTGTTACTGATAAGAAAATGCGAATGAAATCTGTCATCTGTCGTCATCACGCCAATCCATGACATCTCCATGTTATCAAAAAATGTTGTTTATATTCTTATCTGTCTATGAAAATTGCAAATTACTGATTGATTTTCACTTGAATGTTATTATCATTTCATTTGCCCTCCTCTCATCTAAGTAATCGTAACAGCGTTATCTTAACAAACCTTGGAATTTAAGGATAGCTGCTAATTTTTGTAAGTTTACATGTTTTGTTTTATTGTTCAACTCAAATCCCAAAGATTGCGTGAACCAGATAAGTTGCGTTGTTGTCCTACATAAGTTGTCAGTTGTCTACCTCTGACTGTCACACGCAAGGGGCAAATTCAGTATTATCTCCTCAGAGGAATGCCCATGTTATTGGTATCTGCACACAACGACAGCATGACTTCATCGCTACCCTTGATCGCTCCTCAAACGTTACCTAATAGTGGCAGCATAGTCGCTTGGGAATCATAAGTGAACAATTCCATACCTGTCTGAAGCAAGTTCTAATGATATAGTTTGAGCTTCAGGAATATCAATTTTTTTTTTTCTCTCTCTGCATAATACTCAGTTTTTTTCTGAAGTCGATTCATTTTGCATACTCTCCCACCTGTCTAAACTAGCGCCATTTCAACTTCAAGAAAGCAGCTGTTAAAGCTAGCCTCCCCCTCCCAACCATCGTTTCCACAGTCTGCAGGCATGATTAAAAAGTCCATCAGCACTTTGATTATTCCTTATTTTTCTTTTTCAGGTCGAATTCTTCGTTGTTATTTTATATAGGTCTACCTGCTCTTAAGGCGGTTAACTCCTCTTTTCATTGCTGATGGGTCAAGCTCAAAGTCAATTCTCAGAGGAGGAGCTTCAAGATTATGAGGTAATTTGTAAGCTTTCTGCTTTGCTCTTCAAAAACTTAAGTATGGCTCAAAGCCTTTATGTTATGCAAGGGTTAACTTCCACTACGGTCTATTCCAGTTTCTTACTCCTATTGCTAACTCAATCAAATCTCAAAAAAAGAAGGGAAAAAAAGCTCTGCTCTTCCAGCATTACTTAAGTTTCCTATCCTTGGCGCTGTTCCTCTTTAGCTCCTTTTCACATGGTTAGAAATGAGGGTCCAGAATTATTTAATCTGAAGTTCTAGACAAAAGACTTACACTTACGTTAGAAAGAAAGACAAACGATTTATACTTTTAGAAGTAAGTTTTCAAAAGACATCTTATATCAGTCGGCATAAAAAAGAAGTAAAAAAAAAAAATTGCTCATATGGTCCATTTACTGATTTGTTGATGTTAAGATCCTAGGATAACCTAGAATCAAAGCGGGTACTGGCATTCATGTCTCACGCAGAGAAGCGATGGACTAATCATAAAATGGGCTATCCACAGATTGCCGTATAAAAAAGCACTGTAGCTGGATAGTCCATTTTCTGATGGGTGATGTGATTTGAAGTGTGCAAAAGCACATCCATAAGCGAAGCATTGGCTTGGATTTTAGAGGTAAATTTCTCAGAAACCTATGAATATAATATTACCAAAACTTTGAAAATCCAAAGATCTGAGCACCAAAATGTTGATTAAATCAATATAACTTTAAAAAACTGACTAAAACTCAAGGTGAAGCAGACCAACAGCAAAGGCATCGCCCTTTCAACACACATAACTTTAAACGATCTGGAAAAGTGGATAGTCCACTTTTCGTGATGTGAGTACCCGCTTTGATCCTTGGTTACCCTACTACATCTTAAGAGAAAGCCCTGTAAGTTCCTATCCTCTTTTGTCCTAGGTCATCCAAATTGTATCGAAAAGTTACCACTGCCAATTAGTTTTTTTTTCTCTTCTTTGTTAACCATAAAATTAGAAATGTATTTTTTTACATCAGTTTTTTTTTAATCAAAGTGCAATTTTTCAATGACTTCATTAACTCTTAATTTTCTTCTTTTAGGATTTAACTTATTTTTCAAAAAGAGAGGTATTGAAGTAAGTACAAATATATTTAACTATTACTCTGTTTTATATTTATCTTTATTTGTTCAAGGAAGAAATTTACAATAAGCACCAAAAGAAACAAATTACCATTTCTTCCTTATTAACTTGTCCAATACATTTAAAAGGCTGAATAAAACAACAAAACAGAAATGCATGCCTCGCAAATTGACAAGCAGAGAGCCCTTTACAGGTCCTCCTAAGTTTTCAGCCCATTTGTTCTAAATTAGTTCAAGGGCAACTTAATAACACGACTCTTGGACATTTTTTTACATGGACTTGGCTCAAATGAAAGCCACAAAAGTAGCCAATACCGTTCACATGGCACAACCAAATTATGAAACGAAAATTTTCTAGCAGAAAAGAACTCCATCTTCTCGTATCTGAAACAAAGCACCCCTCAGATTTTCAACAACTTAGTAAATATTTAATTTTTCCTCTTGAAAATTTGCAGAGTTCATCAGAAGTTTAAAGCTCTTGCTCCAGAAAAAGTTGGCCACAACAAAAATGCAAAGCTATCCATGAGCAAAATTTTGCAGTATCCGGAGCTGAAAGTAAATCCTTTTGGTGAGCGAATTTGCCAAGTATTCAGCGCTAGTAGGGATGGAGATCTGACCTTCGAAGATTTCCTTGACATGATGTCTGTTTTCAGTTCTTACTGTCCCAAGCCAGTGAAAGCAGAACATGCTTTCAGAATTTTTGGTAAGTACATAATAGTGAATCCTACTAGACTTTTCTTGAGATAAGGGCATTTTCTCATCCCTTTTCTATTTTATCAGCCCTCTCTTGATGTCCTATTTATGCTACCTTGCAAGTATCGTAAAAACCTGTCGAATTCTATTCTAAAAGAGTCAGTTAAGCATAAAATGTTGTATCATTCAGAAATAACCAGCATGCTCAGTTGATGAAAGTGTATGCGATTTTTCTCAGTGAAGTATTACAAAAAGGAATATGTTTGAAAACTTAAAAATTTTTGCTATCCAAATGAAGCCTGAACTGTGAGCTCTAAAACAGGAGAAAGTTGGCAGTGAAATAAAACTTGTCACAACATCAAAACAAAGATTCAGAAGTGACAGGAAATAAGATGAAAGGTGTATCCCATTGAGTCATACTACCAAGCATGTTACCATTAAAAAACTTGGATATTGGAACCTCCTTTGATGAGAGAATGTCTTGAATGGTGCTAAAGATGCAGTTTTTGGAAGGGGCAAATAGATTAAATTCCTAAAGACTCCTTTCTTACTTTCAGATTTTGATGGGGATGATATGCTGGGACTGTCTGATCTTCGACAAGTGATTGACCGGATAACAGGTCCCCAGCACTTGAGCGAGCAAGAACTTCAACATTTCATTCAAAACATCCTTGAAGAAGCGGATTTGGATGATGATGGAGCTCTCTCTTTTGCCGAATTTGAGCACATAATAGATAGAGCTCCAGATTTTGCCAGGTATTTTTCTTTGCACCTCTGTTTGCTTTGTATTTTTGCAGCCAGATAATTTTAGCCCAGGTATTCGTGTCGTATGCGGTCCATCGGGAAAGTGCCTTCCTGTTGAAAGCCTTCATGTTTGGATAATGCTGTAGGTATTTTATCTTTACTGAATAAATAAGAGCACAATTATTGCGTGTAATTCAAATTAAAAAGAAATAGTTCTTTATTCTACCTCCTCAGGACCTGATAAGTTTTCCTTTTATTTTTTCAGAGCATTTTCAATGCATTTGTGAAGAATTATCTGCTTGCTTCAAGAGAAAATGAATGGAACAATTATTTTGCATGGATCTCAACATCATTCAAGAATTTTTCCAGCAAGAATTTGTGCTACTGGATGGTGACAGAGAGCTGTGAACTCTTTGAAGTAAAAATCAATTCATAGATCCATCGAACTTTAGAACAACACATCTAAAAAATCAATTTTTATACTTTTTAGGGACTCACCCAATTCAAAGCCACGTTTGAGGTCAACTCTGACTTGCCGAAACAAAACTTGGAAATGTGAGCTTTGTCGTAATGCCTTCTTCTACCAAAATTGAGGCCAAGTGGTGCAAAATGTTTTTGCTCATACTTTTAGCTCTCCATTGAACTAAAATGTTTCCAATTCAGTAAATAGAATCCAAAGACAATTTATTTTTTTGCGCCCACCACCTCTGTGTGGGTTCGACCCCTAAGGCTACCCTAAAAATTAACATATTTTCTTTTTCCCGAATTCATAATTACAGCATTAAGATGAAAGCCATGAAAATTCATTTCTTATACATTCAGCTGTCATATTTTTTTTTAGTTCAGTGGTAAAGCTCTATTCATGTAGTCTTTCTTGTAAACTCACCTCTGCTTTGAATGAGGTCAAACGTTTAAATCACTAAAAACTTGCATCTAAGGATATTCTTGCAAAACAGGGATGCTCAGTCCAAAAAATTAAAGCTGCTGTCTTCAGGATAAAAAAAAGTCCTGCTAACTTGAGTTGTTGTCATGTTGGCACCTTTGGAGCAGAAAAGCACGGTAAAGTTCTCTTTGGGCTAATAACCTCCATCAGGAGGTAAAACTCTGAACTCTCCCAATTAGCCAAGTACTGATGATGAAGGATTGTGCTTTGTGTCGTCACTCATAAGATTTTACAACAACATAAATACTCTCTCTGTTTTTCTACAACTGTATAATTACCAAACCACACAAGGGGTCAGTTTTAAATAAAATTCTACTCTGCTATAGAACGAAAGCCAACCTCCATATGTGAAACTTGCGTAGGTTATAATGTAGGCCTAGGTTGCGTAATTTATTTATGTTCTATTGATCTCTAGTCTCTTCTTACTTATTTACTCTTTTTTAGTTTAAGTATTTTCTTTTTGCAAATGAAAGTACATGGTTTTTTGCCTAATTTTAACACCTCTTTTTTGCTCAATGCACTTCAAAATATTTTGTGTAACTTTATTACCTAAAGCTCAAACAGTGATGAGTGTTACTGCATTTCTTTCAAGGAGAGAAATCTGCTAGCTGCAGGAAAATTTTATTGAACTAAATATCAAGGTTATCAATTTTTAAAAGCTCATTTTTTTAACAAAATTTATTTACTTTATTTCTTAGTTGCGAGGAAGTCCCTCCATTTCCTTCTCAGGGTTGCTCCTTCTTAGTGTTATTTGTGGAATGAGAAAAAGTGAGGTGCAAAATACATATTTGGAAATGCAGGCCACATACCATTACTTGATACTTTCTTCTGGGGCCTGATTTGTGGATCTACTGTTTGATTTTCTTTTATTTCTACCAAAGATTTTACTGTTGCCAAAAAAAAAAGGGTATCATTTCAAGAAAATTTCCTCAAATCCCCTGCTGTACCCCAAGCTGACTGCAGATTGTAAGACAGAGCATTTTCTACATCCGTGTACTGCTTCTGCCATGATTTTTAATTTGTGAAGTTTATTCTTTTCTTGTTAAATTTTTCTTCCCTCCAACCCTTACTCTGGTGTGAAATAGACATGATTTAATTGTTTTATTATATTTTGTTACTTTCCCTTATTTTCTATTTTTAACTAAATTGACTCGTTCAAAAATGTATTATTTAACTTTTATACTCTCTTTTTTCCTCTGAATATATTTCTAATTCATTAAAGTATTGTCACCTTGTACCTCATTCTTTTTAAGTTTTTTCCTACTTGGCAATTTGATGTCATATGAAACTTAAGATGTCAGTTGCCTCAATACCCTTGGAAAAGACAGGCTCTTGTTGCTTTTGCATGTTGCAGAGCGCCAGAGTGCACTGTAGGAGCGACATATATACATACGTTACAGGCAAATAATCAAATCAGGAATTTCATCAAACGCCTGGGGAGATAGTCAAATCTTGATGGCTTATGAAATTATGCATGTTTTTGACAAAGAGCTCTAGGAGTTTCAATGATTTAAATGTTAGAATTCATCATATCTATGAACTTCTCCTGTATTTTGCTCTCCAAATGCTCCTTATCAATTTTAACTGTCAACATGTAAAAAATTCTGTAATTCAAGACATGCTGAGAATCCTTAGAAAGAAGCTCATCTAAAGATCAGATCTAATTTACAATAGTTTGATGCCAATTTATACAAGAACTTCTTTCCTAGATGAGCAAATAATTATTTTGTCCAAAATCAGCAAAAGAACCAGAATTTCAGCATAAGTAAGAACATTTGACTATTTGCCTACCATTTGACAAAATGTCTGATTTGACTACTTGCCTACAACATATATGGATAATTGGATCTGCAGAAATTGCTCTTACAGGAATTGCTCTCAAGAGAGATTGACAAAGCTATTTAAAATACTATAGAATTCTTGAGTTTGTGAATCTTGATAAAAAAATTTTAATGCAATACAATTAAAAATAAACAAACAATTAGACACCTTTTAAAAACTGTGAAAAAATTACTAGCTAATCTTGTATTTTACACGTTTTGGTTTAAAAATACAATATTTCCATGAAATTCAGGCTTACATCCAGACTTTGTTCTTTAAAATTAGAGATTTACTTAGAACAAAAGTTTTCAAGTAAAGAAAGAAAATATCTGGCAGTATGATTGATATAATTTTGGAACATTTCAAAATAAGACCAATTCAGCAGCATTGGTTTTATTTAGAGTAACTCAGCGCATCCTCAGGAAATAGTCCTTAAAATTAGAGTCCTTTCATTGAAAGTAACATTTTGGTATGAGAGATAAATTCAGTGATAGCATCTACTCCCGATACCTTAGGTAACCTCTGAAAAGAAAAAGAAAAAAATGCAATCAAAATAATCAATTATTTGGAAGAAATAAAAAAAAAGCAGGACAATCACTCAGGGTAAATGGCCTTGCAAAGTTGTCAAATCTTAGGACAGGAAGGACAAAATAGAATATTTTGCTCTTTTTAATCTACAGCTAAGGCTTGGACATTTTATGTTTTGTTGAAAACGATTAGGGGAAATTCAAGGAATTTTGTATTGTTTTTACAAGGAACCCTTTGTAGGGGTGTTCAAACGAATTCTTGCCGGAACTCTTTCGATATCGTCTCTTATTGAAACTGGCGGCAGCACCGACAGTGGCGATGATATCGACAACAGCCGGCCTTATCGGATTTTTGAGAGCTCGCACTCAACGCATTGTTGCCCCTTGTGTTGGTTTATCAGATTGCCTGGCGCGGCGACGCATGAAATAGATGTACACATGGCAACAGCTTATTTTCGCCAGCTCCGAAAACTCTGATCGCTATCGGCAAGAGCGCTCTTATCGTAACTTTTTCTTAACGGAACAGTTTCGGTAGCTTACCGACAACCGATAGAACAGCCCTACCTTTAGGTGGCTGACAATTTCTGCAATCTTTGCCTCTTATCATTTGCTATTACATACCCTTCCTTTCTTCTGTTACTTGTTTTTTCATATTCATTTTTCAACCTAACTTCTTACATCAATAAAATAGGGGTGCCATTTAAAGGTAGGGGGGAGAGGGAGGTGTAAGAAATCGCTTGTTCAAGAATTGAATGGTTGATGGCTGTCAAGATTTTGGGAGACTGACAATTAGTCAACTCAAAACAAACTTAGTCCAATCCAGGATTCCCCTGTAAAGATGCCCCTAGAACAGAGGCAAACAGTGTTCGAAACTCATCTTGGAGTTTCAGGAGCCATGTGGCGCATCAAGCTCGATTTTTAGGGTTGACTTTCTGCCTATGTGTCACAGCACATTTAGTGACAAGTTGGATGCAACATGTTTTAGTTACAGAACTAGTAGCTGTTACTTGGGGGAAATTTCGAAAAATAACCCAACAGAAAAACTAGGATTTTTTTTTTTTTTTTGGGGGGGGGCAATTTTTAGGGGCCACAATGTCGCAGGGCCTTCATTTTTTAGGCGCATATGGTGCATTGGCGCCTGTAAGTTTCGAACACTGGAGGCAAAGTTACAGAGGAGAGAATTAACGTTACATTTTTAAAATTAATCTCATTGGTTTGACCTTATGAAACTGCAAAAAAAGTACTGGAGAGTGAAGGGCAGATAAACTTACGGAAGTTTCATTCGCATAAAGACCCAGCAAGTTGCAAATGAGATGACAATACACAAAAATCCAACGGTGACAAGCAGGATGCGATTGAGCTTGGGCGTTGATGGATTATGCGTCCTATCAAGAATCACAAATCCTAATCCTCCTAATACGAAAAGGAAACTGGCAGCCAACCCTTCCATAATATATTGGCCATTCACCCGGTACGGCATGAAAGCAACCTGAAAAGCAATGATGAGATTCTCCAGTTAAAACTTGATTTATTCATGAAAGTTTGCACATACAGATAACAGCCTCCAAGAGAGACTATGGTGCTTAGCAGGCACCACCTCTACCCTTCCTTAAAATTTATTCATAGCCAAAAATATATGCTAGCATGTTAAACTTTAAATTTAAAAAGTTAATTACACAGACATTAATGAGATAAAATAGACCTTACGAAATGCCAGACAAATAAGCAACTAACGATGTAACGATCCCACAAATATTAAGTGGCAGTAGGAAAAAAATTATTGCCACTCCTCTCCTGGGAGAAACTCCTACAAATTGCATAATGCCTTGAATGAAAGGAACTGACGAAAAGAACTTGGTAGAGTGACTCAGGACGTGTCTCCTCCACGTACAAGCTGCTTTTCTCCTGCCAATTCATCTTAAAGAGAACTCAGTTAGACAACCCTAGACCTCTCTTCCCAATGGATGCCTTACATATTTTATTGAAGGGTCATTCAAAGGGAGTTCATAATTTGGTACAAAAAGAAATAAATACTCTCAACTTGCCATTAATTTTATGATCTCTATTTAAAGCAACCTCGCTATTGGTGCTTTAATATTCAAAGGTGTATTCTTGAGATTTTAGAATAAGGAAAAGAAGAGCTGAAAAAGTTCAATGCCCTCTTCCTTAAGAAATTATAACGATGGGCATTGACTATGTCTTTAAGAGCTCAGAGAGTGGACATCTAAGCCAGAGAAGGCAAGGGGAGGGATTAGTTATCAATAAGATCTTACCGGCCTCGAATGACCATGCTCATCCATGGTAGAACCTATACTTGGCGGTTCAATGATAACATCATAGATTATACCTGAAAAATAAATAATCCACTGTATGAATTCGACAGAGATTTGTGCAAAAAACAATCTATTTGAGTCATAAGCAAACGGGAATTCACACAGCAGCTTACTTAATGGCTCTTGTGAGCTTACACTTACAAGCCCAGAATGGTGCCATTGGTAGTTCAGAACATTAATGGGGCTCCCAAGAGACCCCTTAAGGTCCTCTCCACACAACGGAGGTTCTCAGAACATATTCTGCCAACTTGCTCCCGGAACAAGTTAAAGCTGAGCTAAAACTTAATCCTCCAGACCCAGAGGGAACTTCCATCGAACTCCAAGCTTCTATTTTTCTTTTGATGTGAATTCGTTTGTTTTTATTGTTTACATCCTTTAGGTCTAGACATTTGCTCTTGTTACTCTCATGGCCCAAGTTATCTATCATTTTGCAATAACTGTATAGTTTTATTGAAGGTGTAATTTTATAAAAAGAACGGCTCACTCGCAAAGCCTTCCAAATTCTTGACATTAAAAACACCAAGTTCTGGTTCCCACTCAGGCAAACTCATGTGGAAAGCGTCCCTTGTTTCAAGGAAAAAGTTTCGGGAAACTAAGCAGTTCATCGAATTAGTTCCTACAACCTCGCTCGTGTGTGGACAAGGCCTCATAGCTTAAGTAAGACGCACCGAACAGAGATCTATAAGGCTCGTGCCATCAGCCATCCGCTGGATTATCCTCACTCTTTAGGTGCAAGTATGATATCATCTCCCTGGCACACAATGGTAGTATTTAATGCACTGAAGCTGCTATCATAGATTTAACTGTGCCGATCATAGAGTACATAGAGTCGTAATGTAAAAGAGAGATCTGGCGCCACTTTTAAGCATTTTCCATGTCCCGAATTCCGAGACTCCTGTGTGACGCCGGGTCACTTTTTCAATACATAATCGATTATTTGCGATACACCGGTACCCGGCCATCCAATGACAACAACAACAACAGCAAAGGAGATAGGAATTACCTCGTATTCCACACCGCCATTTGAGATCGAAAATGTATCGAAAAAGCGACCCGAACTCGGCGCACACCGGGCTCGGAATTCGTCGAGCAGAACATGGCGCCAGCTCTTCCACTTACATTACGACTCTATGTACTCTATGGTGCCGATTAACCTAGTGGAAAACCAAGTTAACTTTTGATAGAGCTCTAGCCTCGTTTCCACTACAAACAAGTAGAAATAAAAAAACAAAAGGGTGAAAATAAAATAACAATACTTGTAGAAAAATTCTTACCTCCAGTGACAAGAAAATATGATAGCAAAATTAAAGCATAAGTAACAAAGGCTGACGGTTGATGAAACCAAGAGGGCCTTTTGATTTTCATGTTCGGCACTTCCAAAACAAAGTAGGGTAAAGAAAATAAGAATTCCATTTTGACTTAAAACGATTTAAATCAAGAGACTACGATATTTTTCTTCTACCTGCAAAACTTAGACTTTTCAAGAAAAGAAATGAGAAAATGTTTGGACTTTAGTGATTAAAAACCGACTCCGACTCCGACTGATAAGTGATAACTCGCCAACTCGCTGCTCTATAAACATACGTCAAAACCAAGTCAAAACAAACTTGACTGAGGTGAGCTAGAGTTACCTACAAAGTTGATGTCCGATGTTTTCGGAACAGGTAGTATTCTGAGAGATCCGGAACCTTCATAAACCAGCGGAATTTGTTCCGGGATTTTATCAATTCAATTAATTAATCCATTTTGGAGTCCTCTATTTTTATGAGAAAAAGAAAATTAAATCATCCGATTTGACGGATTATATTTATTGAGGATGGATATCGAAGACCATCCTCCGAAAATTTCGAGAAAATCCTAAGAGGAAATTTCATGCAATGTTCTAATTGAATTGCTCCATCGTCCATAAATCGCGAGTCGCTAAAATTCAGGGCAGGCCCTGAGGTTTTCAAATTTTCATTTGTGCATCCCCTTCGACGCATAAGATATTGAGTATGCACACCCAGAATCATCCTTGGAAAATTTCGAGAAAATCCAAGGGGAAATTCTTTTGCAGTGTTGCCGAATTGCTGCATCATCCATAATTCGCGAGTCGCGGAAATTCGGAGCAGGACTGTCCTTTCATTGATTTCATTTGTTCATCCAATTTGAAAGATTTTATATTGAGTATGGACACCCAGAATCATCATCAGAAAATTTCGAGAAAAACACAGGGGGGGTATCACGAGCAACGTTTCCGTTTCCATTATGATGCATGATGATTCTTGAATTGGCCGCCAAGAATTTTTTTTATCTTTATTTAAGCTAAATTTTTCTTGATAACTGAATGAAAATATTGAATTAAGCAAATACGCAGTTTGTAATAAGGAGATTATGATCAGAATTCTTGATTCAAGAGAAAATACTTCTTGGCGGCAAATTGAAGATTTTTTTTTTTCTTTCAGTGATTATTTACTGGGACGTAGCCCTTCAAAATCTACGAAACTTCATCTCTCTTGTGTAAAGAGGTTAAGATTTTAGTAATCTTTTTCAAATCCTGCAAAACGTTCATGGTTTAAAATTAATGAGTTTCTCACTCATGGTCACTCTTTTTTCAACCAATGTTAGTCGTTGTTGAAAATTGAATATGTCTCTTTGCAACGTTGATGATTTCTTGTCACATTGCCTGTGTTACTTACGATAAGCTAAGGAACATTATTTCTTGACATTTTTGCTGGCTATCCTGCATCATGTGCAGAGTGTTTGGTAAAATTATGAATAATTCACTGATTTTCATGTAAGGAAAAAATTTAAATGAAAATGAAACATCATCAGCTCTTCATGAAACATTCCAAATGAGAAAAGTGTTTTGAAACTTTCGCCATAAAGCCATCTCAGGACAATAAGATTCAGAAAATGGGGAGAAATAAAAAATGTGTGGCCTTCAGCAACAAAATGCGGCTATTATTAGTCAATAAATGACTGGAAGAAATTTAAAACACACATGAAAAAAGAGATGTTGATAAATAGACATAAGGTAGTAGAAAAAAGAAAATTTATTTAAGTTCTTGAAAACAAAACAAAAAATCAGTAATTCCCTGTTGACTTGCTAACGTAATGATATTTCAAGGGGATACAGGTACAAGATATGGGTTGAACGTGCTAAAGAAAGGCTTAGGTGAAATTTGCCATATTTGCACTGTTAGTCTAAAAACGAGCTTGTTTACATGAGCGCATGAAATTTATTCAAGTTTCCAAAAATAGGAATAAAAATCAGCATTACTTTGTTGATTCACTAACGTAATGATATTTCAAGGGGATACAAGTACAAAATATGGGTTGAACGTGCTAAAGAAAGGCTCGGGTGAAATTTGCCATATTTGCACTGTTAGTCTAAGAACGAGCTTGTTTACATGAGCGCATGAAATTTATTGAAGTTTCCGAAAATAGGAACAAAAATCAGTGTTACACTAGCAACTCACTGACACGTTCAAACACTAATAACTGAATATTAAAAATAGCAAAAAAACAAAATGACCATTAAATTTAAAAAAAAAAATATATTGTTTAAAAAGGGCAGTAAGAGAGAAGTAAAACAATTTTGCGCAGCGTCAATTCCATCTAAAAGTAATCATTGAGGAACGAAAATAATGGACCACTAGACAAGTTACGAATTTAAGCAATCTGATACATGTTTTTTAACCAGAATTTCTCGTAGAACACGATTCACACTACGAAAATTAGCGAAATCAACTTCTAACGAAGATATTAACGTTTTTATTTCGCACCGATTACGAGGAATTTGAACTGCCCGCTCACAAGAAACTCAAAGCTCTACGTGAGTCAAATCGCACACTACAACGGTTTCAACGAGCTTCTCAATCGAGCAATGTTTATTTTCCACCATGTGTTGTTCAAACTATTGGTAATTTGCTATAGCTGAGCCAAAGTGTCAAGATTGAAGTTGAAGATTTTTAAATCGCAGAGACTGTCATGATAAACATTTAGCGCGCGATGTGAATCACGTAGAGCATTGAGTTTTCATGAGCGGGTGGTTTGAATTCACGCATCAAGAAGCATTAAATATCTTCGTCAGGAGTTGATTTTGGTAATTTTCGTTGTGCGTATCATGTTCTACGTGAAATTTTGGTTGAGAAACATGTATCAGAATGCTGAAATTCGTACCTTGTCTAGTAGTCCATTGGCATTTTCTTTCAAGACATGTGTTCTAGGCTGCCTGCTTCAAACGTCTGAAAACATGAGAAAAGAAATAATCATCAACTGTCAAATAAGTGGTATAGCAGAGCAAGTTCCGGTTATTAAATTAATAGTCATTCAATCAGACAGGGTTGCCACAAAAATTGGAAAATGAAATTCCCTGACATTTTCCTGTTACATTTTGGTGAAATTCCCTGACAATTGAAGGTATGGCGAATGGCTAAGAGGACATAATTGAAAATAGTGTTTGGGCAAAATTTGTAGTTCGAGACCTCAAACCCATTTTAGAAAGCAAATAAAGAAGATTCAAATTCCCGGACTGTGGCAACCCTGCCCCCTATGAGGTGTTGCCAAGTAATGTGACCCATAATTCTAAGTTCCATAATTCATCTTTTCTGGCATTAATCATTTCATAATTGAGTCATGCCGTGCGAAAGTCTGTAATGTATATTTTTCCAGCTTTTAGTTTTCTTGTGCTTATAATAATTTTCAAGATTTGACACCACCATCAAAGTGTAAAACGAGTAATAGCACCACATTCATCATTAAATTCAACTCTCGAATGTATTATCAACTCAAAAAAACTTAAGACTGGAAGAATGGACATGAGCGGCCTCTGCATGAAACGATTGAAAGGGGTGGGTGCAAAATCGACAAAAATTCCTCCCTCATGGGGACGAATTTTCAGTATGTCATTCCTCACTATGGGATACGCCTTTTCCCAAAATTTCAAGGCCTGAAATGAATTTCTTTCCGCGTAGCAGCGTTGCCAAGTTGAAAACCGTCGAGTTCCATATCTTTTGAACGAAAAGAGATATTGAGGTGCGGTTTGCTCTAAAATTCTCCAAAAATTGCGTTCTTTTGAAATATGTACTCAATTTGATTGTTTAGGTAATTTCAGATTGCAATGATGCCATTTTTCACACTTTCTTAAGGGTCAATTTTTTTTCAACCCTAGTATATCGTCAAATGCCGGATTCTCGATTCGAAAAAAAAACTGTTCATTGTATTATTCGTACTTTTCCATTTCTTTTGATATATTATAGCTCTCAGGGAAACGATTGGTAAGGGAGATATGAGCAATTTAAGTTTACGCTCCGCGCGCGCCGACTGGAATCCGGGCGCCGCTCGCCGCTCTGAGTCGTCTGTACACTCCCTTCCTTGAGCTTCACGAGGTCATTCGTATGTATTTTTTTGCGTACTTTCCATTTCTGGCCTTTAAAAAGGGCTCCGATAAATTTTTAGGGGCCTTTGCGGTCCATTGTTGCCATTTTTTGCTCGTATTTAGGGGTTTTTCCCTATTTTACTCACAATTCTACTGGAAAACTAAATTTAAACGGAAAACTGTGTGCGTTGAGGGAAAGAACGTAAATAAAAAATAAAATTTCATGTATAAATTTTTCCTTCGTTGCCAAATCGAAGAAAAAACTCCTAAAAATAGGCCGAAATGGCAACAATGGATCGTAAGGTCTCTTAAAGTTCATCACGCGCAATTTATACTGCCAAAAATGAAAATTACAGCAAAAATACAAACGATACACCCCTACGGAGGACAACTAAAGGTCGAAAAACATTCAAAAGATCTACCTTACACACAAGAAAAGGCCACAAAAGGTGACATCCCGGACAATTTTCAGATCGTGGGAATCCAAATACAACTATGCTCTTTTAATATGTTGTATAGATAGGTAAGATCTGTTACGTAAGTACGTCAATATGAAAGCTATGCCCCACTCTCATAAACCATGGCGTGGGGATTTATCCAATTTTTCAAATATTTGGCTATTAAGTACGATTTTTCTCGAAAATTTGGCAACGAAGGAAAAATTTATACATGAAATTTTATTTTTTATTTACGTTCTTTCCCTCAACGCACACAGTTTTCCGTTTAAATTAAGTTTTCCAGTAGAATTGTGAGTAAAATAGGGAAAAACCCCTAAATACGAGCAAAAAATGGCAACAATGGACCGCAAGGCCCCTAAAAATTTATCGGAGCCCTTTTCAAAGGCCAGAAATGGAAAGTACGCAAAAAAATACATACGAATGACCTCGTGAAGCTCAAGGAAGGGAGTGTACAGACGACTCAGAGCGGCGAGCGGCGCCCGGATTCCAGTCGGCGCGCGCGGAGCGTAAACTTAAATTGCTCATATCTCCCTTACCAATCGTTTCCCTGAGAGCTATAATATATCAAAAGAAATGGAAAAGTACGAATAATACAATGAACAGTTTTTTTTTCGAATCGAGAATCCGGCATTTGACGATATACTAGGGTTGAAAAAAAATTGACCCTTAAGAAAGTGTGAAAAATGGCATCATTGCAATCTGAAATTACCTAAACAATCAAATTGAGTACATATTTCAAAAGAACGCAATTTTTGGAGAATTTTAGAGCAAACCGCACCTCAATATCTCTTTTCGTTCAAAAGATATGGAACTCGACGGTTTTCAACTTGGCAACGCTGCTACGCGGAAAGAAATTCATTTCAGGCCTTGAAATTTTGGGAAAAGGCGTATCCCATAGTGAGGAATGACATACTGAAAATTCGTCCCCATGAGGGAGGAATTTTTGTCGATTTTGCACCCACCCTTTGTATAACTCATGATAAGCCAAGGATTAAAAACATCACTGGTCAAGAGGACCACACACCTTGAGATCGAAAAAAGTAATTCTATTATTACCAACCCCTGCCTCACCAATAGTTTTTTTTGTCTCTTCCTACAAAGAACATATGCGTCTCTTGTGCCATTCACTGTCATCTGCCTATTTCTAGTTGGATGAAGTTTTCTGTATCCGCAAGTCCACTGGACAATGAACTGCTTTACCAGTACGCTCTTTGAAGAAACTCAATAATCTTCCATTACTTTTATTCCTCCTTTAGCTTTGGCTTCAAAACATCACCTTAGTGGAATGCAAATAGTCTAGGACTTCATTAACGTTTTGAAAACTTGACTTAATTATATCAGGCCAAGGCTTATACCCTTTGTTAATGGGAGATCTTTGTATTTAATTTGCCATTTTCCCTTTGAAAGCTTCTCTTATCTCAATTTCAAGGATATGAAGGTGGAATGAACATGCATGAAATCTATCTTCAAAATTTTCTGGAGGATAATACCATCATCATTAAATTTACACAAGTTTTGTACCTAATCCTCATTGGCAACCGTTTCGTCACCACAAGCTCCACATTTCCAATTGACAAGTTCTCACTTCCGAAAATTTGTAACTGTAGCATCCGTTTCATCTCACCGCATTATTTCGAAACATATCTCAGTTGACGAATACGAAAAGTGTCCTCAGTATCAGAAAATTTAACACAACAAAAATAATAAACAGCTAGGTCATTGCACTATTGAAAAACTTTTTAGGCAGATTTTCTTGAGGAACTTTTTAAATCTTGTCCTCATAGACCATACTTGAGAAGATGGGTAAAAACAAAATTTGTAAAAAAGCTGATTATCTGAATGACTAACCTGAAGGAGGAATAAAATCTTAAGGAAAAACCCTTTACTTCCAAGAATGATTTACTACGTATACAATTTTTCAGTGTACTGGCAAAAAATTGAAAACTCACTTAGTTATCAGGCTCGTCGCAGGAACACCGCCATCCCGTTTAATCTACTGCATCAGTGAATGAAAAAAAAAACGTGCAAGGTAACAACGCAGGAAGAGCCGCCATCCCGTTTAATCTACTGCATCTGTGAATGAAAAAAAAACGTCCAAGATAACAAATCAGGGAATTTCATACAGTTCAGAACATAAGTGTGATTTTGAAATCACGAATTTGAAAAACAGTAAACTTCAGTCAATGATGATATTTCATTGTGAACACAACTATATCATATCATCATGCTTTTCTAGTCAATGTTACAGGCTTGTGATAACATAACGAGCACCTAAGGAGTCGAGTTTGTTTCAATTTGAACCTCAGCATTGAGTTTTCAACAGTAAAAGATTCTATACCGAAAATTTTATTTCGGAAAAAACCCCTAATTGAAGATTGAACACCATGTACTTCCTCCATTAGTTAAACTGGCCCTAAACTTTAGTTCCTTTGTGACTTGCTGAACCTTTGAAAAGGGGTGTGGAAAATAGCAGATGGCTGCCCTGTGCAGGTTTCTAACATATTTTTTTTTTCTTTGTTTTTTTTTTAATTTTTTGTTTTGTTTGAAAACATCAGAGACAAATAGAGACCAAGCACGCCCTATTCCGCCAATGTATTTTGAGTAAGGCACATCTAATTCTCGCGGATTCAACAAAACAACGGTCATCATTTTTCTGATTTCGCCTAAAGTTGACTGGTGCTAGTCGCATCTGGTGGAGCTTTTGGCAATATGGCGATTTGTTTACATTCTTCCTTATCACTTGCATAGCGGAAAATTTTCCAATTTTTCCTTTGAAACTCTTTGAATTTGTCATAAAATAACTTTTTACCAAGTTAATAATTAATTCACCCCTTCTACTCAACATTTGTGATACTTTCGGTGGTTTCACTTCTTGCAGTGAGAAACAGATTCCTCGAGCTCGAGACAGCCTGGTCCTCAGATTGTTCAACTTCCTTATGGATGATTATTTTAGCAATCGAAATATTCTTTGACTGTAAATGGTGTATAATTTTTTCAAGATAATTCTCTGTAAATAATTCTATTTCCAAAATCCTATCCCGAAGCCTGATGTAATGCATTGAATGCGGAGCATTACGACTGCAGTGTCGATATGTGTCTTTAAGGAGCTGTGTAAATGAAACGGTTGGATAAGCCTGTAAGCAGTACAAATTCTTTTGTGTGTGAAAAATAACTGAATGTCTAGAATTCTAAATATCTGACCGTATCTCAAGTACCTGAAGGAAATGTTGGTCAGGTCAGAGTTTGTGAATCCTTGGCAGCAGTTAATGAAATTCTCCTACGTACTTAACAACTTTGCTCATTAAAGTTTGGTAAGTGAGAAATGTAAACCAACAATAAGTAGTGTGCGGTTCGAATCTTCGTCTGTTCTCGTCAAGAGGTAGATTTGACGCATTATGGAAAAGCTAAAAACTGCAAATAAGCTGTCACATTTCTCTCTTGAAAGATGCCTGTTCAAACTAAATTTAGTTTCTTTATTTCTGAATGATAAAAGAACCTTTAAGGGCCGAAATATCACGAATTTTGATCTATATCAGTTGTAAGAGAGCACCCTGGTGAGATCCTCTTTCCTTTTTTCGAGTTACACATTTTTCCAATTTTGCAGGAAGTAGTATTAGTTGCATCCAGTATCACAATTTATATGTACTCAATGTGTTTCCTCATCGAAATGAGCGAAGAAAAAACATTTACTTTTATTTTCACCGAATTAATGAGAGTTTTATTGCCGACTAAGCTAGCAAATGTTTACGGTGAAGCTACTTTATTTGTTTCACGGCTCCCAATTTTAGGAATTCTAAGGCGAAGTTGACAGCGTATACATCATTTCTCATTTAATGCAAGGTTGAAATACTTTATGATGGTGGTGGAAGAGACAATTCTGGTAAAATTGAGAGAAAAATCAGGAAGAAAAGTTCTTAAACAAATCTCACGAACTCCATCAGATGATGGGCACTTCACCCTCCAAGGAGTTTGACACTATGGAGTTATGGACTAATACAGACAAGCATAATATGATGGATCTGAGCGGTCTCTTACTTGCCTTACTTTGATGAGCGAAGGCCTTAAATACGTAGAAGAATTGCATTAACTGCTGCCAAGGATTCACAAACTCTGACCTGACCAACATTTCCTTTAGGTACTTGAGATACAGTCAGATGTTTAGAATTCAGGACATTCAGTTACTTTCCACACACAAAAGAATTCGTACAGCTTGCGAGCTTATCCAAACGTTTCATTTACACGCCTCCTCAACAACAAATATCGACTCTTCGCAGCCATAACACTCCGCTTTCAACGCACCACATCAGGCTTAGAGATAGGATGTTGGAGACATCAAGCATTTGATACACGATTAATACTTATCATAGTGAGCAGCTTATGACATATAGACAGTAAATTATTTTTCATCAAATTTCATTACAGTGTATCTGTAAGACTGGCAGTGCTGCTGTGATCAGGTTCTTGACAGATCTCAAATAGCTAAAATATCTCTATCCTGCGACATGATATGGAGGTTAATAGATTGAGAATTTGATCACAAGGTATTGATACTGTCTAGAAAAAATTATACACCATTTAAAGTCAAAAGAAAGTTCGATAACTAAAATTATCCATTAAGAAGTTGAACAATCTGCGGACCAGGCTCAGAGTCTCGAGGAATCTGCTTCTCACTGCATAAAGTGAAACCACCGAAAGTATCACAAATGTTGATTAAAAGGGGCGAATTAATTTTTTACCTAGTAATAAGTCATTTTATGACAATTTGGAAGAGTTTCAAAAGAAAAATTGGAAAATTTTCCGCTTTGCAATTGATTAGGAAGAATGTAAACAAGCCGCCATAATGCCAACAGCCGACTAGCATCAGTCAACTTTAGGCGAAATCAGAAAATACATGACTGTTGTTCCGTTGGATCCCCGAGAATTAGATGTGCCTCACTGAAAATCCAACGAGCTCGGTCTCTATTTGTCTCTGGAAAACATGCACAAGTTCTTTTGTTGGCAAGTGACAATCTGCTGCTGAGATAATATGTTCCTTATTATTTAAGTTTTTCTTTTCAACATGAATGGTAATTGAGAAGGGTGGGTTTGTCACTAAAAACATGTCGCCTTTCTCATTTTGACCAGAAAAATAAGAGTACTGGAGTCTTTGTCCATTAGTTGCCAACGCATGGATGATGCAGGGGTAGAGATGACGACTATACAGTGGATCAGGGTTGTATGTTCTCCCATCAACATGAAAACTTTGCAAAATACTCATTCCATTCTCTCTCTATGATCTTTGGTTCATTTCTATTTTACAGAAACATGTATAGGCTACATACATTTTATTGGATACACCATCTTACGAGGATTCAGAAATCTTGTACTCCTGAAAAAGGGCTTGCCCGTTTACCAAAAATATTCTTAATACATTTGTTGTCACTTCTGATATCCAAGTCTCCTCTTTGCTCTTCATTTACCCGCAAAAATGTAATTCTCCCCTGAATTCATTTAAGCAACCACGAGACACTACAGCCTGATTGCTAAAGCTTTATCAGGCTTTGTCAGCAGGCTAACACATGATAATCCTTCATCTGATCGGTTTTTCAAGTTTTCTTGTGCTGACATGAGCATTAATAATCAGGCTGCTGGTCAACAGACACTTCGGTTCGCCTAAAATTTGTCACTGATTCTAGGTGGACTCTTCACCAACGATTCTGAAAAGGTGCATTTAAAAATAACCTACATCTAATTGGGGAAAGAAAAGAAGACAAGTATTCGAGAAACACACCATTCAACATTAATTAAGATGGTAACAAAATGATAACTGATCCATTCAGGTTGATGCGATAATTGGTTCTTCTTTCCTTTCCCCTACCCTCTATTATTTACTCAGTAACTGAATTTCCTGCCCCAACAACTGAATTTTCTGTGGTAAACCATGATTTTTTGTTGGAGTACAGGCACGGTAAACCCAACGTAATTTTCGAGATCAGCCCTAAAAATACACCTAGAAAATTACGTTCCTTCTTGTGGCTTGGTTTCTTTGGGTCGATGCGACGACTTTTTCCTCTTTTTGATACAATCAATGTGAGCTTGGTTTATCAAGCAGATACGCTATCAGAGACTTACAATTGGTCTACTGGGTCATTCCTTGTCAATTCAACCAAAAAAATAGGAAAATGGCACCCACCGACTCGGATTTTTTTCATATTTTTTTTGCTAAAACTACAGATCAATCTAAGAGAAAGTACAAATTTTTAGCTCCATCTGTCCAATACTTTTTGAGAAAAAAATTATTGAACAAAAACGGCAGTACTTTGACATCGAAAAAGCCTCTTAATTTTTTTAGTTTTTAAGATTTTAAGCTGAAATTTGGCACACTGGTCCATGATAGTATGTATTCGAAGGGAAAAATCCCCGCTTAAACCTAACATACCCTGGAGCACAAAACGAGTTGAATATGCCCCTTTTTTGCCCTGATGTTCGGCTGTAGTACCTTGATCCCTTAAAATGAGCATAACCATGTGAGCTAACAACATATTTTAATTTTTTTTGTTTTTTTTTTTTTTGGTTAAAATCATCGTTAGGATTAGCTCTGACAGTATCTGAAATAAAAATCCTGGGTCTTTCACTTTTTCTCTGTCAAATCGCCCTTTAAAGCAAAAAATGCATGAAAAAGCTAAAAAAAGCAACTTTTCCCTGCTGTTTCCCCACAAATTCTTTTGAAGCTTAGCATCTTCTCCGAAATTCACTTGAATTCTTTCTGTTTCCACTAATTTCGCTTTAGGAATCCTTGGGTTTTCTTACCATCCACACTTGATCACTCATCGTAGCAAACAATGCATAAAAAAGTAGGAAAAACTCTGTTTTTGTGGTGCATCTCCAATAGGGTGGTTCTTATTTTTCGACTTTTCGAAAATCAAATGTCTGACTCCCCATAAAGTTGTCTTTTGGTGTAAAATGAATGTACAAACAATTTCAGCTGGATCGAATCATCCTAAGTGGTGTCGCTGAGGCCGACAAGTCTCCAAGCGGAAACTTCAAAGGGACAATCGCGTTTTCCCGTCATTTCGCGAATTTTTTCCCCCCTTTAAAATATAGCTACAGCTTAGAAATTTTTAGAGGTAACACACTTTTTAGGGTGCTTTACAAGAAAAATAACACACTTTCCCTTACCAATTTTAAAATGCGCTTTTCCACTCCTCAAAGGAGTCTTATCGTGAGATATTCCGCCGATTTTTCGTAACATTCTCCCAACACGGGTTGCCTGAACAAGTTAAAATTTGTTGATAAGTCAAAAGCAAAAATGATTCAGATTCATGAAGGAGAGTCTACCAAGTCATTTAAGCCAAGAAGAAAAACATTCTGAGTGCTCCTGGAAAATAAAACCGACTTAAAGGTATTTTAGGGCTAAAAGGGGCGACTTACCGATGGTAAGTCCCTGGTCTCTAAAAATAAATTTCCTCGATAGTTATAATGCCTAAGTTTCTTGATATGGTTGTTTGAATACTCAAACACTGAAACCACAGATTTTTAGCTGCATCTCAGTCGACCTTTCAAGAAGCAGCAGGAGTTATTTGCATAAAAATTTCTCCAAAACATGGCAAAAGAATCGGTTAAATGCGACTCGCAGACGCTGAAATCGGTGGCGTAAATACCCCCCCCTCCCCATAAGGCAAAATTGTTCAGTTTTTTAATTCGGATGGTCTCTAGCCTATTTGGAGGATACAATAGACTTAAAAAACCATTACAGAATCTTAAAGGCGACCAACAAACCCGGGTGTCATAACTACCAATATACGCCGATTTGGCAACTTTGACCCCCAAAATGGGGGGTAAAACTTCAAGATAGGAAGAAACGCCCATTGACACTTTTGATCAGTAGGTTAATACCTACAACATATCAAAAGCGCAGCCGAATTAACCGGGCCCACTTTTCCCATAAGACCGGTCCATCATCCTTTTGGAGACCTGAAATTGCCCATCGGGGCCGAAAATTTCTCAAATTTTCCATGAAGCTCTCTAAAAATGGCCTGCTTTCTGGGCCGTCGTTTCGGCCATCGAACCGAATTTGAAATGGAAGCTTATAATGACCTACAGCTCAGAGAAAATATTCAATATGAGCATGGAAGCGGTTTCTCAGGGGGGGGGGGGGGGGCAAAATCCCATCTAATATTCGCTGTTTTCTTGTTGAATTGATGTTGCCGCGGGCTTCTGGTTGTTGTTCACACATATTCATCCTATCAATACTGCACTACTTTTTCACACAGAATTTGAATTTCACGTCAAACATACAAAGGTGTAGCTATATTTTAAAGGGGGGGAAAAAATTCGCGAAATGACGGGAAAACGCGATTGTCCCTTTGAAGTTTCCGCTTGGAGACTTGTCGGCCTCAGCGACACCACTTAGGATGATTCGATCCAGCTGAAATTGTTTGTACATTCATTTTACACCAAAAGACAACTTTATGGGGAGTCAGACATTTGATTTTCGAAAAGTCGAAAAATAAGAACCACCCTATTGGAGATGCACCACAAAAACAGAGTTTTTCCTACTTTTTTATGCATTGTTTGCTACGATGAGTGATCAAGTGTGGATGGTAAGAAAACCCAAGGATTCCTAAAGCGAAATTAGTGGAAACAGAAAGAATTCAAGTGAATTTCGGAGAAGATGCTAAGCTTCAAAAGAATTTGTGGGGAAACAGCAGGGAAAAGTTGCTTTTTTTAGCTTTTTCATGCATTTTTTGCTTTAAAGGGCGATTTGACAGAGAAAAAGTGAAAGACCCAGGATTTTTATTTCAGATACTGTCAGAGCTAATCCTAACGATGATTTTAACCAAAAAAAAAAAAAAAAAAAAAAAAAATTAAAATATGTTGTTAGCTCACATGGTTATGCTCATTTTAAGGGATCAAGGTACTACAGCCAAACATCAGGGCAAAAAAGGGGCATATTCAACTCGTTTTGTGCTCCAGGGTATGTTAGGTTTAAGCGGGGATTTTTCCCTTCGAATACATACTATCATGGACCAAAATCTTAAAAACTAAAAAAATTAAGAGGCTTTTTCGATGGCAAAGTGCTGCCGTATTTGAAATCTAAAGAGTGCATTTTTACGAAAGGCGATGAACCTTCAATAATTTTTTTCTCAAAAAGTATTCCACAGATGGAGTTAAAAATTTGTACTTCCTCTTAGATTGATATATAGATTTAGTAAAAAAAATATAAAAAAATCCGAGTCGGTGGGTGCCATTTTCCTATTTTTTTGGTTGAATTGACATGGAATGACCCTACTGTCCTCTGAAAATTCTGTGTTTCAGCAACCCATCAACAATTTGGATCAAAACAAATACACCTTGAAATTAATTACTGTGCCCTCCTTTTCTTTATCCATCCGATAAAGTTAAAATAAAACCTGTATTTTTGTGGTTGCCAAGTTCTGGTGTTGTAGATACTTTCATTTACCAGTTCTCGATGTGTCTGTGGATGGCGGCTGCTCTTCGGAACTGATTCTTATTTCTCCTGCAACACAAATTTTCAATAGTATAATTAAAACAACAAGCCTAAACTAAAATAATTACAGTAACCCCTAAGAACAGTAACAGGTTTTGCTGACTGGCATTTTAGCCGGTCAACCGTTGAAATTCGGCGGATAACCCCGAATCTCTACCGAGGCAGTGCGTTTTCGGGAGTTTGGCAATCTCAACTTTGTGACAGACCGCCGGGCGCCGCCATATTTATTTACACAATTATCATCATCCCGCACGCCCAGGCGTCCAGTGCTGATCGATTATATTATATTAATTCCAAAGTAATTCAATTTAAATTGTTTCAGTTGTTCTGTACTAGCCTTAATAAGCTCTCACCTTCATTTAAAAGCCTCCGAACACTTCTGATTACTTGGTATGAAAATCTAGTACTCTCAAGAAATTTGAATATAGTTGCGCTGCTTGATTTTGTAACTTTTAACTTTGATGTAATTTGTGATACCTCTTTGTTGATGCATCAAAAGTAACACCAGCCTCTTGCCATTGTGTGTAAGTAGATGCATGAGGCATTGAACATCAAACAAATTCCTTTGATCTCAGCAGAATAAACCATTACTTCAGTATTTTCCAGACCCAGTGAAAATATGCACAAATTCCTCTGATGCACGCTGCCTGTTGGGCTAATCGTTTTTTTTATAGCTTTATTTATATCGTTGTATTATAGCTAATACTACAAGTAGGGAATGACAAAGAAAAACTCGGAAAAAAAGTGAAGAAACATAAAAATTTATCATCTTAATTTTTAAGCCTTCCTCACCCATCATTCGAATTTTTCATTCACTCCCTGGAGAGAAATCGTTTTGATTTCTCTACAGCGCAAAGTGCATCTTGGAGAGACGGATCAAAGAACACTTTTTGTCAATTCCTCAATTTCCAACCATTCAGGAGGAGTGAGAGATTTTAAAGACAGGTAGTAAAAAGGCACTAACATAGAAATTTACTTACGCATATGGTGGACTCAATAGCTAGAAGTGGGGTAAAGGGAGTGAATGAAAAATTCAAATGATGGGTGAGGAAGGCTTAAAAATTAAGATGATAAATTTTTATGTTTCTTCACTCTTCTGCTGAGTTTTTATTTGTCATTCCCTACTTGCAGTATTAGCTAGTAGTTAATTGCTCTTGCTGTTGTTAGCCACTGCCCACAGAGTTGGGTAGAACTGGGGAAAGAAAAGAAGAGACAAAAGTCACATCAGTCTGGATGCATCAATCATCAGTTGGCCCATTGGTTTACATGTAAATATTTGTTGAATGGTACAATATTTTGAGGTGACATTTGTCTCTTCTTTTCTTTCTCCAGTTCTATAAACTAAAAACTCCATAAGATGAAAATTTTTAGACGTGAAGAAAATTAATACCAAATAGGCAACAAAAGTTTTGCCTCACATGTCACATTCCAAAACATTTTGAGGGTGTCACGCAGAGGGTCGTGAAAAACAAATTTTCAATGTTTCGCCGAACAATCTCACCTCTAATCAACAAAATTGAAGGCAGCATTTTAATTACATTCTAGTCTGACGATCTCTCCCCATCACATCGAAAGAGAAGATGTATAACTGCGCTATAGATGCATACCTCATGCCTATGACATTGCCTGAGAGGAACACAGAATCAAGCCCCTGGTCATGTTTTCAATTTTTTTTTACAAGTTTTTCACGATCCGTTGCTACAAGGGTGGTGTTACATTGCTTTCCATACCTGGTTTGCACCATAAGATTCTTCACCTACAATAGTCTTAAAAGGGCATGAAAAAATATTTAGTGACCGTAGAGATAAGTGGTAATACTTACATCTGGCAGATTTCAAATCATTGTGAAACCTGAGAAAAAAATACTGATAAACTTAGAACTGTCTTGCTATGAAGTCAAGAACAGCGCAGAAGAAGGACTGACAATGAGACACATGGCCAAAATACAAAATCTTATTAAAGGTTCACGAATCGCCTGAACTTCAGTTACATTTCTTTAATTTAAAGTTTAGTTTAAAATCTAAGAGTATTAATGGCAGCGAGTATTTTTAAAAAAAACACTCTTCTGAGAGTAGTGTTAAAATTTCAATTTTGAGATCTTCTGAGTCTTAACTGGCTCAAGACTGGAACAGCAGTTCACTTTTCTCCCAAATTTTTTCCAAAACACAGTAATTTCCCTATGGTAAGAGCTTGAGTCCGCAATTTTAGATTCTCGTTTCAGAGAGACGGCCATTTTTTTTGTGAACAAGATGTTTTCTTACAATCAACGAAACATCAAAACATGTTTCTTTATTTCTTAAGATTAACTGCTGACTCTTATCAGTAGAGAAGAATTCAAGCCCTTTCAAGGACTTGAAAAAAATGTCAAAACCAATCACTTTCGAAGGTCGAACGAATCGTGAAGATGGGATGACATGATACTCACTTTAACCAGCATGCGCTTGTCGGTGGGTGTAAGCTGCATTCTTGTTTCGAACATGTGCAAGCACAGATTGACAATATAGGACAGACGCTCTTCGTAACCGATTATTTTTTCCAAATTATCTTTCACTGTGTCTCGAATTTTGTTCTGTGTAGAGAGAAACATGAATAAATTCTGCGACTCCAGCAGGGTGAGTGAATCTGCCATAACTTTCAAGAACTGGGTGGCACTGAAAAAAGAAGCAATGGTGTAGAGACTTGTCATAATACTTTTGAGCTACAACAGAGGTTTGATATGAATCGGAGGGAAGGGAGAAAACTGGTTGATGTCAAGAACAAAGGACTTAACTCTCCACAATGCGACACAGGGTTGCCACAGAGTTTGGAAAAGGAATTTTCCTGACTCATTAGGGTAAAATTCCTTGACAATTGAAGATATGTCAGATGGCTGAAAGACATAGAACTAGGGAAAGAAAAGAAGAGACTAATGTCACATCCAAAAATTGCACCATTCAACAGATATTTACATGCTAACCAATGGGCCAACTGATGATTGATGCATTCAGACTGAGGTGACTTTTGTCTCTTCTTTTCTTTCCCCAGTCCTACTAAACTCTAATTAAAACGTAAAAGATTGCAATATTCATTTTTGGACAGCTCTTGTAGAGACTTTTGCGATATTACTTCTGTACACACATTTTTTAAAAATTATCTTCATTCAGGTACACAGGAGAAAACTTCAAAATGGAGAAATTTTTTATTACTTTACAGCCATAAACTTACCGGTGATGGGTAGAATAATCATTTTTCACACTGGATTTCATGTTTTTCAGCTTATCCAGCACCGCAAACATATTGATAAATTTTCCTAGGGTGAGCAAGTAGGCTTCCAGCGCAATCCTTCCTCTTTACAGCATGGCACAGCCTTTTTACCTCTGCACAAAATCTTCAATAGCTTTTTGCTGTGAAAGAAATAATTGGAGTTAGAGATTAATGATCTCACTAAATTGATTTATTCATTGACAGTAGAAGTTATGTGATTAAAATGTGCACCAAACTTAGAAAACTCTATCACCTACGTTTTTCATGATCAGTATGCGCTGTAGTAACTACCCTCCTGGCCGCCATCCACATTGACAATCAACTGATGATTGTGACCACAGAAGCTGCTGAAATGCGGACTGACAAGGGGAACTTACGGACCTGCCGCCTCCGATTGGGCTGAATTTTTTTTTACAGACTCTATGGACCAATTCTAGAGGTCAATTTGAGCCGTTTTCCCGAATGCGCAATAGGAAGGGCGTAAAAAATTCCCAAAAGTTGCGTTTTCGGCGTGTGATTCGGTCGTGCGGCGCGTGGCAACACTGAAGCAGCCTCTAGTACCGCTTTATCGGCTTGAAGGGTTCAGCGGAGTCCGGAGCCCTACTGCACACGTCCTGGTTCCATGATAGTAATGTCCCGGGTTCGATCCTCGACTTTTTATTTTCCGCATTGATCACGTAACATTTTATTTTCAATTCTTCATCCGCATTTATAAATCAAGCAGTTCCGATCACTATCCCCCCCCTCCCTCATTTTACGTACATTTTCCCCCGATATTTATTCACATTGGCCACATATAATCGTATGAAACTTCATTGATATAAATTAATGAATTAAAAAGCAAAGGGCTAAAATAATGTGTTTCTTGGTGACCCTTGCATGCACATGGGTTTGGGGTTGCTCTTCGATTTATTTACACATTACATATTTTACCAGGAAAACATTTGAAGATAATGTAGTAACAAATAAGGTTTTCTTTTGCTTTTTAATTCATTAATTTATATCAATGAAGTTTCATACGATTATACGTGGCCAATGTGAATAAATATCGGGGGAAAATGTACGTAAAATGAGGGAGGGGGGGATAGTGATCGGAACTGCTTGATTTATAAATGCGGATGAAGAATTAAAAATAAAATGTTACGTGATCATGCGGAAAATAAAAAGTCGAGGATCGAACCCGGGACATCACTATCATGGAACCAGTACGTGTGCAGTAGGGCTCCGGACTCCGATGAAACCTTCAGGCCGATAAAGCGGTACTAGAGGCTGCTTCAGTGTTGCCACGCGCCGCACGACCGAATCACACGCCGAAAACGCAACTTTTGGGAATTTTTTACGCCCTTCCTATTGCGCATTCGGGAAAACGGCTCAAATTGACCTCTAGAATTGGTCCATAGAGTCTGTAAAAAAAAATTCAGCCCAATCGGAGGAGGCAGGTCCGTAAGTTCCCCTTGTGAGCGTAAAACATGGTTTGTAGGTAGAAAGTAAGACTTTTCTAGATGTCATGTATGGTTTAATAGGAGTAAATAAATTGAGGAATAATCAAAGTAACGTATGGAGAGAGTGATGGAGTGAAATTCAAATTCATTATTAGGATTTATTAAGTAATTCCAATTTTTGAGAAAATCAAAGCACAGAAAGGACACTCTTCAGTTGTAGTGTTTCAGAATCTTAACCAATTTTTCATCCATTATGATCAAGCAAATGTATGTAATTTGCTGAAACTCCGACTGAATATTCTTCATGATTTTATAATTCTCTAGATGAAAATTTTCAGAAGATTCACACAGTAGTTTCCTCTCTGAAAGCATGAAACTTCCCTCAGGGCAATAGTTCAAAAAAATAATTATCATTTGGCAAACGAGAATTTATCATTGTATAATCAATTGAGATCTAACCCTATGACATAAATCCTAGAAAAAATGAAATTTTCCGATGAATATTGGCAAAAATAAGATGGAAGTCAACAGACGGAAAAACTGAATGAAAATCAAAAAGACCAAGACCTTTGACAAGTCCACAGCCAAGACCCCTTTCTTGCTAAATGCGCCAGGTAATTTCAGGCACGGTGACTGGTATTTTGCACGTACTATAACAATTTTTTTTTATTATTGTTTCAATTGTACCAATTCATACTAAATAAATAAAAGATCACACAGTTGTGCAATATAGGCACCATCACCAGTTTTTGCTGGGACCTAAAAAGCAGAGGGAAGTAATTTTAGTTAATTAAGTAAATATTTTTATTAAAATTTTTAATATTAGAGACAAAGAAAATTAATTTAATCATTTTATCAGTGTAATTGATAAACTTTTTTTAAGTTACTTGTCTTTTAATTATATAACTAGAGACTACAGGTGTCAGGTGGGTAACCTAAACTGAGTTCTAGCATTGTGGCAATTAGTGGAAATTGTGGTTTGAAGCATTCAAATATCCCTTTTTTTCTTGCATGTTTTTCTGGCCCGGCAAGATCAGTTACACATCTTAGACACATTGGTAGAGAACGTGATGCAAGTTTTCACCTGTAATACACCACTTCAATTGCCTACTGAATGTCAAAAACTAACAAAATTAGAATGCTCACCTGAAAATACATGATATTAAGCAGCTTGTTCACTTCAGGAGCTAATACTTCAATAGTCTTTTCATAGATTTCCACCCAGTTCGGCTGCTCATTGGACTTTGATTGCGGTATGGCTCCAGAGCAACATCGCCACGTGTACAGCATGACCGCATGTTCCAAGCCATCTTCCAACAGTTCATTCTGGAGCATTACAAATGGATATTTTACAGGATTAGTAGATTGACAACTTCAAATTCACAACATGGCAAAGCTCTGAATTTTTAAAATGACCAAAACCGGTGTCGATTAAGCCTCAATGAAAAAACCTATTGACTGTTTTCAGTGCATATACCATAAAGGTTCAAAAATGGGTACATTTACATTTAAAGGTCGATCTGCAATGAATTCCTTGGATAGTTTTAAATCTTTAAAATTGAAATCAAGGTTCAAATGACTGTCCATCAAAGACATATATAAATATCTGCCTTTTTTCTAAAATAAGATGCCTCTACCTATTTTCAAAATGTCTGCTTCAAGTTGAAAACACTTGCATAGAACTAACTTTTTGGATATGATGTTTCTAATCCTGCAGTAGCTCTGTAATGATTTGGGTAAGGGTGAAAGAGTCAAATCATTTTTTCTGAGTATCGATTGAAGCATGTTATCGGTAGTTCTTGATATTTTTCATTCACTGCTAAAAACTTATGATTTCCTCTCATTTTTCTCAAAATTATCTTGAAAAAGCAAGATTTTTCAAAAAATCATAAATTATCATTTATCATCCATTCAATTAGACAGATTAACTGTGGTCAAGTAGCAGGAATGTGAAGCTTCCCAAACTGGCGTGAACAGTGGCTTCTTCAATGTACTTTGCTATGCCAGTGACGAACCCATTCCGGTCTTCGAAGTTGGTATCAAAGTTAGCTTGATAAATGACAGAGCATGGCTGAGCTTCGATAAGTGGTAGTTCATCAGGTAATGTAAGCTCATCTGAGGCGTCAACGTAGGATAAGGCATCAGTTAATGTTACCCTAGCTGCTGCCATTTTGAGATGTTAACTCCTTGGAGCAAAATACCATCAAAGACATAAAAATGTGACTTGGCAAGTAAGCATTGTTGTACATGGGACTTAGAGAAATGAATGGTTTTGAAAACATACCCACTCTATTAGATTAAGAACAGAGAGTACACTGTAAACCAAAAATAAATATTCTTGAGTGTTGCAAGATTCAATACCAGAGAAGGTTGACAGTTAAGAGTAGATAAAATTGGTCAAACAACTTTATGCCTTCAAGAGGTAGAAAAAACTAGTGCTTAACTATCAAAAGTTATGCTGCTAGCTTGAGGTAGAGGTGTCGTCAGCTAAGTTGGCACTTGACTACATATCGTTTGCAAGCAACTACAATGCAGTCGTCCAACAGTAATCGAGGAGTGACTAAGCTTAAAGTCAGGCTGCCGTCAATCCCCTATTGCTGTTGGACAATTGCATCGCAATAGACGCTATTGGTGGCACATCACAAAAAAGCGATAAATACATTGATTTATTCACATTAAGTAGTAGCAATGAAAGAGATTACGCCAATTTTATTGTATGGATCCAATTCGATATAATGGAGAATCCATATGATGACATCGCCACTAACGGCGTCTATTGCTTCCAAGTGGAATGTAAACAAGTGCCTACTTAGCTGACAACACCTCTAGTGAGCAGAGTAAACAGGTAATTGCGAAAAAATTTAGACTTGAAACAATGGAAATAAAACATTGGAGTGGAAGAATAGGTCAGTTGTGCTGGTCTCAGAATCGAGTTTTGATACTTTACTCATGCAGATCAACTAAAAACGATAAGATCTGGCCAAACAGTAAATTTCTCGTTGAATACTAACCAAGGTATCTCGCCTATAAAAACTTGATTTATGATGTTATCCATCACGGTAGGACGTATCATGTTACGCACTACCGCAGTGGATGACGTCATAAATCGAGTTTGTCAAGGTGAGATATCTCCGTTGATATTCAAGGTAGAGAGTTGCTGTTGGGACTGACGACAGACCTTTTTATTTTGAGCTAATCTACTAGAACCAAGCATCAAAACATGATTCTGTTACCAGTGCAACTAGCCCATTGAATAAAGAAAGAGAAATAATCAGGTGAAACAGAGGCTAAGCTATCGATTCGCAGGGAAGAGATAATCTAGGTGAGCTTTCGAAATGATGAAATTGGCCGCATTATCACAGCATGCAGACAAACTAACTCTTTCCTTTAGAGATTAAACGACATGAAAGTGAAAGAAGGAGAGAATTAGAGGATGTTTAGGGAATAAGGAAATTTAGGCAGGAAATATCTAGCAATGGAGTCCGAACTAGGATGATTATTAGGTGTAGTAACGGTATTCACAGTTCTTGCTATTTGAAGGGGATTGGGAAACAAAACCTGTATAACACTCTTCACTGTGCTCAGAGGTTCCTTCTTTAAAGTTAGCTTCAGTCTCACACACAGGAATCGATCGTTGAAACTCTTGTCGGCACGCCCAGGCCAAGGGGATCAAGGTCTTCCAAGCGCAAAGCTCACACATTCCTCATCTTGTCCTGGCGTACCAACAGAGTTTCAAGAACCGGTCTGCATTCATTGATTGACTAGATAAGGTAATAGGAGATAAAGAGATACATCTTGGTCCATAGTAGAGTCTCCAAGCCAAGTCCAGCAACAGACAAAAAGACATGTTCCGTTACAGGAGTCTGATGACAATTCTGTTGTAACATCGTAAGTTATGGGAACAACACTACGTTCTCATGTAGGAATCAGTGGTGTAAGCTTCCTCGATTTAGTTGAAAGAGAGGCGATTGAAAGCAATACCAGAAAAACGACTCATACACTCATACCTGTATAGATCCACTCAGAACTTCGGTTTCACAGGTTTCACCACCGCACTTCCCGTGGCTTCTTCTTGATTTTCGTTGGCCCTGGGGTTAAATCTTCGTCTCGAATTGATGAAATACTTCTAAATGAGCAAAGAAGATGACAGTTTCAACTGCTAATAATTAAATAAATTACAATTCAAAATTCAACCATTACAATTAACTGAGCGATCCAGAATTCGGGCACCGGCGTGATTGCGCGGGAAAATAATGCATTGTTCTTGTTCATGGCCGCCATGCTGAATCCTACAGCTGGGCGAATATCGAATATCGTATCGAAGCGACTATTCGAATATCGCACTATCGATTCTTTACCATAGCTTCTAACGGGGACGTGGCGCCATTCGATCATTCACAAAAGTTGGCAAGAAATCCGTCTCTCAGCAGTCTCAGCCACTGACTCGATTTTCGCACCGGCTCGGCTCATCATAGTCCAGGCAAGTAAGTCATGAAAAGGGCTGTAGCCTGCAAGAATCCCGGGTAGCAATGTTTTCATCAATTCCTATGTAATTTTTGACGCTGAATCCGAATTTCAACTTTGCGCCATTAAATTCGGACCGGAAAGTTGCCAAATTTGGCAAAAATGGTCTAAAATCGGACTTTTTTCCGGATTATGGCCTGTAACTTGCCAAAAATTGATCTGACGATAAAATTGGTTATTTTCAGAAATAAAGCTCGTTAAATTTCCTATAAAAAAGTTCCTATAAACTTTTTTGCTCAAGGCAAAATCAAGCGGGCTGGCGGGCTCCAAACTTTGAAAAATGAGCGAAAATTTGGTTTTTTGCGGGTTATGGCCTGTGACTCGTCCAAAATTGATCTAACGACAATTTGGTTGTTTTAAAAAAAGTTCGTTAAATTTCCTATGAAAAAGTTCCTATACATTTTTTTGCTCAAGGCAAAATTAAGCGCGCTGGCGGGCACCGAACTTTGAAAAATGAACGAAAATTGCGCTTTTTTGCGGTTTTTGCAAAAATCCCGGGTAGTTATGCTTTCAGTGATTCCTACGTAATTTTTGACGCTGAATCCGAATTTCAACTTTGCGCCATTAAATTCGGACCGTAAAGTTGCCAAATTTGGCAAAAATGGCCTAAAATGGGCCTTTTTTCCGGATTATGACCTGTAACTTGCTAAAAATTGATCTGACGATAAAATTAGTTATTTTCAGAAATAAAGCTCGTTAAATTTCCTATAAAAAATTTCCTATACACTTTTTTGCTCAATGCAAAATCAAGCGCGCTGGCAGGCTCTGAACTTTGAAAAAGGAGCAAAAATTGTGTTTTTCGCGGTTTTTGCCCGATGTCTCCTGTTTTAATCGTCCGACGAGTAATTTCTGGACAAATTAAGTGAAGATGATACAATTTACACTTAGTGAAATTAATTGATGTAAATAATAAGGATAACCCGACATATTACAGTATGCGCAAAGCGCAATTTTCGCACATTTTACAAAGTTCGGAGCCCGCCGGCGCGCTCCGCTAAGATATATGATGACACAAACGATGATGACAAATTAAGGGGGGGGGNGGGGGGGGGGGGGGGGTTGTCAGTGGCGTGCGGTCCGGATAAGCAAGGCAAGCACTGCTTGCCAAAATATTTCAGAAGAGAAAGAGGAAAATTACAGCTATTAGATGTTTTAAATTTTAGCTAATATATTATTGATCAAATGTATCAGTAGGTAAATTGCATTAAGAACAGAAAGAGAGTGAGACAGAAATACGTAGGTACATAGCAGCTACAAAAGTAGGAAAGCGGCAGAGCGGACGGTGCGGTGTGGTGGCGCCAGCGCGCTGCGCGGCCTGAACACGGCACGGGCCATCTCACGCATGCTCTGCTCAGTGCTCACCTTCAGAACAACAGAATAATGCTACGGACAATAACAGCTTGATGAAAAAATTGGTTGTGAAGCAAAAGAAGGCTGTACCTACGAAACATGGAAAAGAGGTTGTTCCATCCCCCATTAGATTTGGCCCCCTATCAAATATGATCCGTCTTTTCAGGAGTTATACAGTAGCATGCAAGACGTTCAAATATGGCGATCATTTTGACTTAGGCCCCCCCAGAGAGGGGGGGCGGGGTGTCAAGGACAAAACCTTCAACTATGCCTATAACTTTTGAGCGAAAAATCGGATTGAGTTGAGCTTTTTTTTTAAATGAAAGATCTCAAAAAGATCTAACTGCTGATGCCAGAAAAATTGAAAAAAAAGTTAAATTTAATGCCAATTTTTAGGAATTTTTCGATTTTTTAGGAGACGAAATTTTCAATTTTGTCGTGTTTCGGCACCGCGCAATGATTTACTAAAACAAAAACCAGTTTTTTAGATTCTACACTCAATTTCCTACAAGATGCAAAAAACCGCATCTTGGGGAAACGTTTAGATCGCGAGCTATGGCTTGTCAAAGGTAGCCCCGCGCTGTTCGCATATTCTCCACGCGTCTGCCACCGATCCTGTTGCCCCTCCTCCCCCATCCTAAATGCAAATTAACATTCTACTGCCCAGCTTTCGTATATATCTGCGTTATAGGTACGTGAAAATTTCAGCAAGTTCGTGATTTCCAGTGGAATTGATACTTTATTTCGCTCCCCCCCCCCCCCACCCGGCCACTGGCACTGAAGTTTGCCCCTGCCTACAAGTTGTATTAGTTTTTTCTTGTGTCTAACTGGAGGTATTTGTTTTCTAGATTACACGCTAAAATGAACAGAATAGGTATAAAACAAGTAATTTATTAAGTGAATTGAAAGCAGTTACACAAGGATACACACAGGTTACACAAGGAGGTTGGGAGGTGGTATAAAAAATTACCTCAATTCGATTTCGTAGTCACAGGGTGCTACATCAGCAAAAACATGTAACAAGAAAATGTTTATAATTCTTTTTCGCACAATATTTGGAGCACAGTGGCCGGGTTGGGGGGGGGGAGAGATATAAAGCATTAATTCCACTGGAAATCACGAACTTGCTGGATTTTCACGTACCTATAACGCAGATATATACGAAAGCTGGGTAGTAGAATGTTAATTTGCATTTAGGATGGGGGAGGAGGGGCAACAGGATCGGTGGCAGACGCGTGGAGGATATGCGCAGCGCGGGGCTACCTTTGACAAGCCATAGCTCGCGATCTAAACGTTTCCCCAAGATGCGGTTCTTTGCATCTTGTAGGAAACTGAGTGTAGAATCTAAAAAACTGGTTTTTGTTTTAGTAGAGCCATTGCGCGGTGCCGAAACACGACAAAATTGAAAATTTTGTCTCCTAAAAAATCGAAAAATTCCTAAAAATTTGCATCAAATTTAACTTTTTTTCAATTTTTCTGGTATCAGCAGATGGATCTTTTTGAGATCTTTCATTTAAAAAAAAGTTCAACTCAATCAGATTTTTCGCTCAAAAGTTATCGGCAGTTGAAGGTTTTGTCTTTCACCCCCCGCCCCCCCTCTCTGGGGGGGCCTAAGTCAAAATGATCGTCATACTTGAACGTCTCGCATGCTACTGTATCACTCCAGAAAAGATGGATCATATTTGATAGGGGGCCAAATCTAATGGGGGATGGAACAACCTCTTTTCCCTCCGAAACATGAGCAGTTTGAGAGCCAGACCCTGTGTGCATAATGTAACATACAAAAATATCTCATTCATTAGGAATGGCCGGCCAGTGTATTAATAGCTAGTATAATACACAAAAATGGTGAACCAGGGCTCAGAATGAAACTCGGTCATTGCAACTTGAATGCTTTGTTTTGTTTACCTACTATCAATCCCTGGTCATGGCAGCTTTCAAACTTAAAATTTTAAAGGAAACGATCAAAAATTAAAACGAAAGTACTCACACTTTACGATTAAGTTTCCTATCAGCTATTTCGTGCGTCCATTATTAAACATTTTATTAATCGATTCAAGCACAGGAACAAAAGCACATGAAGACTCAGCACTCCTCACATCATCGAACAAGCAAGTAATAAGCAGCAAGGCAGTAAGCTTCCATCATTGAAAAGGACCCCGCACACCTCTTATGGGAAGCTGCACCACGACCGATTGCCTTCTGACTTATGTACTTCGATTCTCCTCAAGATGCTGATCAAAAGTTATAATTGCGCCAACTTTCCGTAGAAAGTTTTCGCACAAAAGCTAAGTAAAGATTCAATTATTTGGCGATAAAAAGCCAGAAAGATTCCTCATTTCAGTACTCGAGTGAACAAATCAGGGGAACTCCCGCACCGACCGGCAGTCCTATCTCGGATTCCGCACGCCGTTTTCCTCGACCACCCATCGTGAGGAGCATATGAACAGGAAAATGAGCGTCAAACGGACGCATCGAGAGCGGGAGGAGGGGGATAGCCCTAGAGTCGGCAGGTACAGATAAGAAGACGGAAACGCGCTAGGTACGTTTTTTCCTCATTTAAATCGGGCCTGTTCTCATAATGCTTTGTTCTTTTTTATTCATAGTCGCCGAATAATTGAATCTTCACTTAGCTTTTTTGCGAAAACGGTGCATCGTAGAAAGTTGGCGCAATTATAACTTTTGATCAGCATCTTGAGGAGAATCGAAGTATAAGTATAAGTCAGAAGGCAATCGGTCGTGGTTTAGCTTCCCATAAGAGGTGTGCGGGGTCCTTTGAAATAGCGACGTGTAAGTCGGCAAACACATAACTCGTTTGCGGTGTCTGAAAATCTCTGCCTCTTTGTTGTTTTTTAAAGGAGAACAAATTGACATCATTCCTTGAAGTTTTTGCAGAAATACTTTTGCCGCACGAGGCTAGACTTCTTGACAAGATGTGGTTTTCCGTTGAAAAAATGAAGTAAGACCGGAAGTCTGCTACGTCGCAAACCGAGTTATGTGATTGCCGACTTACACCGTCGATAGTCAACAGCTTACCCACGCTAAACATGTTTGAAAAATTATAAATAAAAAGCGACACTTTACCGAGATTTCAACAACGAGATTATCCGATTGTTTACAAAAAAAAAAGAACTGTCAGAGCGATTTCCCTCACACAATTGGCAAGAATAAAGCTAAGAACCTGCTTTACGAGTCTGAAAAGTCAAATTTCGAAAACAACGCCGCTGAAGCCCAAAAGAGAGAAAAGTTGTTTCTCCCTCTACTAATGCATGGGAGATAGGCGGTTCTTCCTCGCGCCGCGCCGCTCAGCGCTGGGGAGCCGTTGATAGTTTCGCCTTGCCGGCAGGCTACGAGCTCAACTTACCCCCACTCCTTATATTTCCGACTCTTATTCCTGTATCTCTCTCCCTCCCCTCCTTCGGTAGACGCTCTCGACGCTCTGCCCCCCGCGCCGCGCGCCGCAACGGGCATGCTCTCCCGCCCGTCCCCCTCTCGCTCAAATCCAGGTCCGGTTTCCGGTCGTGTGAACCCTGTGCGTGCCGCAGGATTTTCTCTTCCCGTTCCGCATGCCACAGCGCCCGTTAATTATTTGCTGTCAACTATTCTGTATGTATTGTTTCCCATATCCTTAAACATAATTTATTAATTGTTCCAAAATATTTTAGGGTTTTCGGCGAACACTGCGAACCTATGGACGCCACGCCACTGAAACGATCAGTTGGAATTTCAATCTAAAACTTGATAAACTTACAGTATTTCCATCGTAGAAGTCAATTTTGGCCTTACTTTTGCTCGTTTGACCGAAATGTATCATTCGTGGAGTTTATGAGTTGTTGGTTGGGGTTGGAAAAAAGCTGTTTTCATTCTAGCTCACACAAATGGACATATTGATGGAGAGTACATTAAGTATAGTAATACTTGTTCTATCAATACCTACTTTTGAATGAAAGTGTTCGTTATACATATGTGTCCGCCCTTTTGCATTGGTTTAAGAGTTATCTTACCCACGAGTCTCCAGCTCTATCCAGCACTACTTCCTAGGATTGTGCTCATCTCAGCTGACTCTCATATTGGGTCTGGTAGAAAAGGGCTGAAAAAGAGTTGTCCTTGAATAATAAAAGGCATCTAAGAGTGGAAAAGGGTAAGTAGAGATGGTATCAAAATGACTCGAAAGGTGGTGGGAGGGGAAAAGTGCAGTTTTAAGGGAGTGAGATGGGGCTGAAAAATCGCGTATTGATGTGAACCATAAGTAGGTAAGGTCAAAAATGGGATTTTCGATGAACATACCATACCATCAAGTATGGAAAATTCAACGTGCATTTTCAACCGGAACTACAGCGAAATCTCTCTTTGAATAACTTCTTTTCACTCTGATACTAAAAGTTTGGAAATTAGTGGCGTGCGGTGGGTTCAGTGACAGGGCAAGTTGTAGCGTTCGCCATCCGGGGGGGGGGGGGGGGGG